GAATCAGGGGGTTTAAACTGTTCTATTTGATTTCTAGCCACATACGAGATACTACTACAGCTCAAAAACAAAGCTAAGTGCTGTGGGATGGTTAAATGCTGGCTTGATAGGGCACTAGCTTTTTTCTTGTTCAGGTCCATTGCTCAAGAACACTTACAGTCAAAAGTCAAAACAGTTGACAGTTACAGTCAAAAGGGCAAGATTTGTACTTCACTGAAACAAGCAGCAGAAATTCCCTTCAGTTTAGCAGAACCAGAGAGTCCTCTGCTGCTGACTTTAAGGAAGGACTGATCTAAAACAGCAAGTGGTGCATTCTGAGGAGGAAATCCCTATACACTCATACAGCATCCGGTCTGATTGAGCCTCAATTTGTACTCCCCTCTTTCTTCATTTTAGGCCTGAGAAGCTGCAGTACCCGAACCAACAGTACATGAGCCATGACAAGGACCAACTTGGCTGCAGCTTCCCACGGAGAACCAGAATGTTTATCTGAGCTGAAAAATCATGTTAGAGCCACTCACCTTGTGGCACTTGTTGACTTCAGGGGCCACAAATCCAAACGCGGGTTCATAGGCAGAGCTTAAGACTTTGCCTAAGAATATTATTTTCTGTGCTATACTTCCTGTTTCTGACAAGAACAGGAAGAGCAATGGAGCTGTGCATTTTCTGCTGCTTTTGAGAGGAACATCTTAACCTGTTTTCAAACAGTGCTGGCTCTGCTTCTTTAGGGTAACCTGACAGCAGTAACAGGCACTGATCAGGAATAACAATGATTGGCCATTCCTTCCTCCACAGTGCACGTGCTTTGCCTAAGCCTTTGGGAAGATAATGTAAGCAGATGTACTTCCCACATCCTCCAGAAACTAGGACTATTTTACTTCTACCTTCTTCATACCCCATATTCATCACTGTGGCATCACTTTACTATGGAGATGGCTGAATCACTCAAGGGGGAAAGGTATTCCCTAGTCTGAAACCCTGTCACCAGAAACCCTGTCAACAGCAGCTTTGGCTTACATATGTTCTTATTTCTGGAATTCTGAGCAGCTGAAGGCAGTGGCTGCTGGCAGCAAGTTGCAGAACCATGTCATAAAGTTAATGTCTTAAGAGAAAGCTACACATTGCTCATGGGAAATAATGCTAGCATTGTTCCTTAGGTTTGAGGACACAGTCCCTTTACAGTGGCCCAAATGCAATCAGCTTGTTGAAAGAAGTAGTGCTGTTCTTGCCTCTTCTGCCAACACCATCCTAAAGCCCAAAGAATTGCCGAGATTAAAGAACAGAACCAGCTGGAAGGCAGCAACTGCAAGCTGCTGTGGAAGTGCTTTCCCAGAAGCACGTGAAAAATAAAGAGTGTGCTTTCATGCACTCCTAAGACATGGCGGGGAAACAGTTTGGCTGGACAAGCACTGCCACAACTGTTCTGCATTATTCAGAGCCAAACTGCTTGAATTCCTGTGCCACAGAGTACAAGGAGAGATGTAGCATGCAAGCTGAGGACAGTGGTACGTACCTTTTTAAGAGGAACTGTGCTTCTGAACCAGTTGTAGTCAGGAGAGACTTTAATCTCTCCCATGATGTTTAGGAAAAACTCAGGTCAGACTGAAACAAAGAAAAACAATGTTTGAAATCAAAAATATGGGTTTCCCTTACGCAGGAGGCAGGAGCTGTGCCATGCACACAAAGCATGTGCAGGGAGTTGCTCACAGCAGCTGACTGCTCTGCCTCTGACTTGCACCGAGTTTACCTATCCTTATTTTTCATCACAAACCACATAACTGTGCTCCCAAGAGGGAGTCACCCAACTGCCTTACTGTACTACTCTAATTAGGAAATGACAGTGCTCTTGTAACAGCACGTTCCCGGTAACAGTTGTAGAGAAAGACAACTGTTGCAGGCTGTAAGGGCCTTACAGAGCTAACAGCATATTTTCACTTTGCTTTTAAATGCACTGAGGAGTCCTGAGGCTTTGATCTGTCCATGCAGCAGCTGACTTGTCAGGAGTTATGCACAAATGTATCCTTACTTAATACAAATTGATTTCCAAATCAGACTTACAGAGAAGTTCACTAATTTACTCTGAAATACATATTCAATACGACACAAATATAAAGGAGATTTTTTAAAGTTGATAACTTCTAGATTTAACTTTTTAAACCTGAGACCATTAGCTTCCATTCATACAACTGATGGCATCAAACAGTTCTGAAGCTCACAGACTTTGTAGCTTTACCCTTTTCAAAGCCAGCTGCCCCAGATTATTTCCATACAGCCATACATGGCACCGTGCACAATAAAACAAAGCGACTTTGACGATCATTACTTCACAGTCGCCAAATACAAATCAATAGCTTTTGTTTCTTAACTCCCAATAAAATAAGACCCTGGTGCTTTCTGTAAGCCATTCCAATTCATTTCACCTTGCAGAAAAGCTGCCAGTGTATAGCTTTAATTAGCTTTGAGCTACAGCTGGATTAGCGGTTATTTACAATCTCCTCATCTCTCAGTCTTCATTTGCTATTTCCCATGTACAGGAAGCATGAATTTTAAAAGGGGAAGCACTTTCCACACTACAAGGCAATGGCCATCTTCCCCACGTCGCTGCGTGATGCACCTCGCACGCCAGAGCCGCATGGTTTCATATTGGTGCCTGCAACCATTCTGCTACTTGTCAGAATTTGGCAGCGCATAAAACTGCAGTGAAGGTAAAAACAGCTTTTCCAGCAGCCTGCAGAGCACAGCAGCACACTCACGTCTGCACTAAGGAGACTGCTGGTCATTACTGAAAGGAAACAGCACTTCAACTACTAATTGACTTCCAGAGCTTGCAGTAATTAGTTTTCAAAAAGCCATTCAGCAAAACACGATGTGGCAAATTTATGGCAGAAATAACAAATAGCAGCGAGGTAATGCTGTAACGCAGCCCCTGAGTGTTCTATTACAGCAGGGCCAGTCATGCTCACAGCCTCACAGCTCTGTGCACAGACACGAAGACAACAACTTTCTGCCAGTAAACGTGCTCACTGCAAGCAGCCCCTGCGCTCCCACTGCCATCGCCTCTCCTCTTCTGCACCGTTAAGCTGACCCGTGGGCTGACACACGGCTGTCTGTCAGTGGAGAGGATAAAGGAGCAGGCAAGACACAGGCGAGCTCTGCCCTGTACCCTGGCCAGCACCCAAGCGGTCCAGAGTTCACCTGGATCTCAGCATCACAGGTTTCCAAGGGAACTCTCACCGCCTGTGGAAGGGGGCTGAGCTCAGCTCCTTCCTCACGCAGTGCCTCAGTGAGCGCCCTGCCTGCGGGCCGCCCGCAGGTCGGTGGGCAGCTTGGATTACAGAAGTGTTTGCAAAAGTCAATGACCTCGTATCGAAGTGGGTTTTTGTTTTTTTTTCCCTTTGACACAGAACTGCGGCATTAAACTTGCGTGCCGATGTGCGCCAACGAGGGCTGCGTGCAGGCAGGGCTGAGCCGTGGGGCAGCCGACAGAGCAGCGATTTGGGGCCCAAACACGTAACCCGATCGCAACCAAAATCGTACAAATCGGAGCTTCATCTCCAGCAAAACAGCACCCCGAGGACCTCCAGCCTCAGGAGGGCTCCTCCGCGTGCAGAGCCACATCAGCAGCCCCGTGCCCACTCGGCAATGAGGTCTCTCCCCCGCGGCGAGCCCCACACCAGCGCGGCCGCCCTGCCCTGCCCTCGCCTACCCACACAGCTCCCGCCCCTCGGCCTCAGCCCCGGGCGAGCTTTCCTCGCACAGCCCCTCAGGCCGCCCCCAACCCACCGGAGCCTAAGAGACCCCGCAGCCCCCCTTTGGCGCATTGAGGGCCCCGCCGGTCTCCATGGCAACGCCCCCACACACCTCCGCGCAGCGCTCGCGGCTCGGCCCTCCCCGGCTCAGCGGGGCGCGGTGCCGGCTGCGCCGCTCTCCTCCGCCGCCGGCCGCTACTTCCGGGTGCTGCCCCGCGCCGGCCACGTGACGGCAGGGAGGAGCGCCATCGCTACTGAGGCGGAAGAACAGAAGCAGAGAGGCGGATCACGTGGCCACGCCTCCGGATCGTGATTGGTCGGCGGGGCTGTGAGGGCGCTTTCGTGATCTTGCTGCCCGCCTTCGGTATTTCTCCTTTTTGCGCGCGTGTGTGTCTACAAACTAAGAGAAAGCCGTGACAGCTCTGTGCTTGGGCTTCTCTCCCTTCTCTGATCTGTCATGCCACCCAGCGGGGGACTGCATTATCTGCAGCTGTCTGTGAGAAACGTCGACTGATTTAAAGTGGAAGCGCTGCTGAGGTGAACGCTGTGCTTCAAAGAGCTCCTGGCAGGACGTGCACAGCTGGGTCTAGTGCAGATTAAAGTCAGGTTGGCAGCTGCTGTAGCGTTGAAGCTGTGTGCTACCAGATTAGAACCAACAGGACCTGAGCAGAAGTTAGGAATGGCGCTGCTGGGGGTCGTTTTCCCCCCTGACTGAGGATCACCCAGCAGAGCGGTCTGTTTCTCCCGAGGTTGTTCCTCTCAATGATTTCCAGCTGCTTTGTCAGTTTCATTGTTATGAAAGGCTTTTTAGGAAAAAAAAAAAATCTTTGTCGAAGTATTTCTCTTGCATTTAAGATTGGGAAGCAAAAAACAACGTGGTGATGTCAGAAGTTCTGGGAAAAGACGAGGTTAATTGCTATCAGGAGCGAGGAATTACCTAAAATTGACGTGCGGAAGGCAAACTGAATTGCCAGAAATCGCCGCGTAGCCCCGGGAGGCGGCAGCGCGCAGCCGCACCGCCCGCACTACACTTCCCACCATGCAACGCGGCGCGGCCCGCCGCTCCCTGGCCTCCCGCGAGGACTACATCTCCCAGAAGGCCCCGCAAGGCGGCCACCCCCTGAGTTCAGACGGGGAGCCCCGCGCCCTGCCTGCTGGGAACGGTAGTCCAAGGGGAGAGGGAGGCGTGCGCGGTGACGTCACGGGGCGGCGCCGAGCGGGGGGAAGGGGTGTTTACGCCGCGGGCGGGGCGCTCACCTCCGCCGCCAGCGAAGGCCTCGTCGGGGGGAGCGGGCCGGGCCGGGCCGGGCCGCGGCCGCGCCATGTCCGCCTGCCACAGCTGTGCCGCGGCCGCGCGCCTGCTGGGCTCCACGCTGCCCTCTGCGCGGAGAGGTAACCGCCCCCGACCCTCCGCTCCTCTCGGCCCTTCCCGGCTCCTTCGCGCTGCCCCGCGGGGCCGGGCCCTCCTCCCGCGCTCCGTGGCCGCTGTCAGCGCCGCAGGTGTTGTGCGATAAGGGCCCGGGGCGGCCCTGCGTCTGCTGAGCGTTCTCCTCGGGGAGGTTAAGGGCTGTGCGGAGCCGCGGGAAGCGGGCTCTCGTTGGCGCCGTTCCGTGCTGGGTTGGCAGAAAGCGCGTCCGGCTGACCGGCGGCGCGAGGCCCGCGCCGGCCCTGTGAGGGGACCGCAGCCTTCCGCCTGCTCCGGCCTCTCCTCGTGCTGTGCCTCCGGCAGCTCTCGCGGCGCGGCTGTGGGCTGCCCTCCCCGCTTTTCAGTGAGCTTTGGGGCACTCCTTCCCCTGCCAGGGGCTCGTAAGGCAGAGGACCGTGGGGTGAGCTCGGTGCTGCGCCCCTTTGTGTGTGACATCTGCCCCGAGGGGGCTGAACGTGGTTTTCAGACCCACGCAAAACCAGGGGAACAAGGAGTCTGAAAACAGGCAGTGCTCTACGTTTAACTCAGAGCTGCTGCTTTTTTCTGTGCCTTTCTAAGGAACAAGCAGAGCTTGTGTTTTCTCCTCTCAGAACTAAGAATTCAGGGGGATGTGTACAAGAGTGAATAAGGCTGGAACGTGTTTGTGGAGTCATATTGCACATCTGGTTACTTAGAGCTTATAAAAGTCTTCACTTGGCACATCTTGGTGGTTGTGACAGATCAGTTTGTGGGGCATCGCTGCTGGGTGTGGTGGCAGTTGGTATAAACTTGAGGTTGTCAGGGCCTCATCTCCTGTCAGTCTCCCTGTGACAACATTGGGCAAAAGACTCTTACAGAATACTTGAGGTTTGGCCCAAAAGTTGGCATTTCGTTCCTCACCTCCCAATTAATCTTTAATAAGCTGTAAAGGAGCCTTCTGTTTTGTCACAGCCTGCTGATCTAGGCAGGTTATGGGGAGGTGCTATTGCTGCTGCTACAACTCTTACGTTTGATACGTGTTCTTAAAGCTAGAAAAAGTACCCAAACCTGACTGCTGGTTCGTGTGAGAATGCTGCTGTGCTGCCATGTATCTGCACCTTTACAGTGCCTGCATCCTTCAGCAGGAGGTGTCAGCACTGGGCTGGAATTGCTTTTGTAATACTGCCTCTAGATTTACTTATGCAGAACAGTCATTGTGATAACTTTCTTCCTCCTTTAGTCTTTAATCGTACAGTGAAGTTCTGTCCAAAAAAGATATTAAAGCAAAAAATCACTCGCATCTCTGGGTTGGCTGAACACGACAAGCTTTGTCCCGTGGCCTGAAGCTGATGGAGCAGTAATGTGGTTTTGTTTTCTTCTGCTTCAACCAATCTGTACCTTTTAGGATTCACGTGTGGCACGGTCAGTTTGATGTTGTACCCTACAGACTGACCAGCTTTTGTGAGAGGGAGGAAAGAAGTGATCAGCAGCACAGGCACTGCTGCAGGGTGGGTGGCTGCCTGGATCCATTGCCTGCAGCCCAACAGACTCTGGGTGCAGTCACACAGCTGTGGTGGTGCTGATCAATAGAGCAGAAGCGTGGTGCTTATCAGCTCAGGCACTTCTCATGTCATTTCATAGCCAGTGTGTTTTCAGGACATCTTCTGTGTCATTCAATTAAAATTGGCCATCTTCTGTCCCTGTATAGCGCTCAGCAGTAGTAAAGTGTTTTGCTCTCTTTATTAGGACTTTGTTCTCTGTAGGCAGGAGAACTGTGATATTGGTTTTTTTCTCAGCAGAGATGCTTTTTTCTTGTGGTTGTTGTTTTCTTTTTAAGATGTCCTGTTCCTTTCCCTTTAGAAGAAGCAAGACAAAGCTCAGTAAAGAAACCATTTATGAGGAATAAGCCCCCTAGGACTGGGAAGTGCTGCATAACAGCTGTAATATGTTGGGCACTCAGCACAGTGTGTTTGGTACTGACAAGTGCACCCAGCACTGGGAACTGTCGGTGCAGATTTGCTCAGCAGAGCACAGCTGCTTGTGAAACTGAACCAGCATTTGCAGTTTGTTTCTGGTGTGGAGCAATCTGTGCGTTTGCATCATTAGTGCAGTGTTGTAAGCTAAGGTGCTTTTCCGTATTGTAGTGTCTCTCAGCAGGGAAGTTGAAATTCTGTTAATTCTTTCTGTGTTTACACATGTATTTATTATATATCTTTTAAAACAATAAACCAGAAATGTTTACTTCTTCCAGAGTACATGAATTGTGCTTCTCTTGCCAGTTTTTTTTTCTGGGTGACTTCTTGGGGTTTTTTGTAGATTTTTCATCTCCCTGACTTAATAGAGTAAAAACCAGGCAGGAGCAGCAAGGTTTGAACTCTCCTTGTCACTGTACAGCTCTTCTGTCAGTAACATTCAGAGCTCCCATCAAGTACATGAAGCAAGTCAAAAAAGTGCTGGTTTAAATAAAAGAAAGGTGGAAGGTAACGATTGCAGGCTCCTTGTTTGTGCCGAGATGTTGCAATCACCAGGATGACATATGTTGATTCACACCATACCTCGGCATGGAGCGTAACCTTACACGCTGCTTGGTTTCTCAGTATGTTTTTTTTCTCATTGGCAGTAAGCCACGTCCACAGCATTAACATTGTTTAATATTTATTGTGCCTCTCTGTGAAGGGTCAGTGTGTGCCAGCTGTAACTCTGCCTTTTCTGTTTCCCCTGGAACAACTTTTTGTGTGTGTGTGTGTGTGTGTGTGTGTCAGACGTTACCTCTGATTCCTGGAAATGACTTCTCAGTGGAGCTGACAGTGAAATCCAAATCCAGACACAAGGGCTGGGCCTCTGACGCTCCTCTTTGGTAACTGCTGCATAATAAGGGGACGTTTCAATGGTCTCTTTTTTACTCTGATGGTTTCACAAGAGCTGGATGCTGGTTGTTCTGAGGATTGCTTTCACACGTGGGATGTTCCCAGTCCTATGGCACAATGAGACTCTCTGATATTAGAGGACATGGGATTATTTTCAGGTCATTTTTGGATGATCTGGCAGCTTTTTATGGAGTAAACTTCAAAGTGGTGAAATGAATTCACTTTGCATTACTGAAATGTGGCTGCTCGGAGTTCTGCTGTTGGTGGCTTTTATTTAACATAAATCAGCTTTGGGGTTTAGTGACGTCTGAGTCAGAACTGGAGTATTTTCAATTGAGATCCAAAATTTAGGTGCTTAACGTGTAGGTAAAAGACTGCATTTTGAACAGAGTATGCCTGAGGAAAACATTGGCTTGGTTTTATTTTAATGATTTGTCCCTAAAGAGTTGGATAAAAGTATAAAGCACTGCATTGAAACTATGCACACTGAGTATTTACAGTCACAGCCAGCATGCTTTTAGTCAGATGCTAACGAGGTAGTTCTGTTGTCTTGCTGTGATATTGGCAAGATTTTCACCACGGTGTAATGGTTGGTGAAATTAACTGTTTTCCTTCTGTGCTTTCATTTGTTTTTAGGTATTACCTGTGGCCGTACACGCATCCCTGTTCTGGGGAAACTTGGGACTTTTGAAACTTGTTCTCTCAGGCGGATTCCTCTTAGAAACTTTTCAGAAACACCGGCGTATTTTGCTTCAAAGGATGGCACGGGCAAGGATGGCTCTGGAGAAGGAAGCAAGGTAATCTCAATGTTATGCTTCTCAGTAGTTTTTGTAAAGATGTTTCCTAAATATTTTTAGTAGATATACTAAAATCTGCAGCTGACAGCAAAGAAGAATTCTACTGTGAATCTACTGGCAGACAAACTGTATAAATATTCCATAATGCTTTTCCCAGTTTTATTAATCTTTTTGCAAGGGGACACTTCATAGGTCTCTGTAGAATGTTATAAATTCACAACAGTTTTCAGGAGCTCAGGGAAGAGTAGTGATCACTACTGTTCTTCAAAAGCCTGCTGCTGCCAAGTGGGCTTTCAAAAGTAAGTACAGTTTTCAGTGTTCCTTTTCAGCGCTGGTTTGGTAGTTGTGTTTTAACTGTCACAAGGCAACTTTGTGAGGAGACCTGCTTTATTCTTGGGAGTAAATTTTAATTTATTTTCATCCTGGTCTTTCTCTATAATTGTAGTTAATGAACAGCTTCTACAGATAAATGATTACCTGAGAATAAAATTGCTCTTTAGTCAGCAAATAAGATTTTGAGAGTTTGAGCGATAACTTTTGCCTTAGCGTGGCAGTATGTCATCTGAGTGACTGTCCAGATGACACAGGTGTCTTCTGAAGCTTCAGATTAAACTTACTTGAACAATGAAGAAGGAAATCTTCTTCTTTTGTGCTTTAGAAAGATTCTGAGGAAAAATAGGCATATAAGGCTTAAAGTGCAGAAGTGTCTTAAAAGAGGGGAGACGGATCTTTGGTGTTTTCTCAAATTAATTACTACCAGTTAACATTAAACACCACTGAAAGCAGAACGTGAAGAAAGAGCAGCAGGATTCTGCCTTAGAGGTTAGAAGAGCATTTTTTCAAACAGTTTCTGAGATGCTTGTTTTGTAGGCATATCTGCCCTACAGCCATCTGCCAGCGTAGGGACGTCTGCCAAGGACACAAGAAGAGATGTGGCATCCAGAACCCTTAGAATAAACACAGTTATGATAATGAAATGACCCTCTATAAGAATCAACTGTTTTCTTCTCTGTGGTTAGTATAAACTGTGTTGGAATGTGCTGTTAAAACACTCTTAACACAGCATAGCTTGCTATTATTGTAGTGCCAATCAAGCAGTGGTAATGTAGATAAGGAGTGCTTCTGTGAGCATCCAGAATTGGTGCAGCTGGGAAATGCAGGTACCCATATGCTTCAGGTTGTTTTTATTGTGCTGCTGAGTTATCAAAACCTTTAAAAAGTCCTGACAAGAGTTACTTCATTATACAGGTATTACAGTATTCACATGGCTGGATTCCACAAACACACTGCCAAATGCCCGGTGTCACAGCTCTGCTGTTTGGCACTAATTGTCTGGAAATCTCTTTTTAGAAGTCTGTCGGTGAGGGGGGTGGTAAGAAGTCGAGCTCTGGAAGTTCTGGAAAAGGAGGGAACCAGCTGCGCTGCCCCAAGTGTGGTGACCTGTGCACACATGTGGAGACCTTCGTGTGTAAGTGCTGCTGGATAACTTTTATAAATAGCTGCAGATGTGATTGTGTTAATGATCTAATGCAGTCCTGATCGTTACGTTTTAGTCTGTGTAGAACTTCAATTAATTACACAATAGGGGGGGTGGGAAAGTTTAGTTTGACCACGTTGGAATAAGCACGTACTGTCTGACGCATTTGTGTAATTGCCTGTGATGTGGAGCAGAACATGATAGTGGAATTTGGACTGCAATTTTGAATATGATCATTTATAATAGCTTGTCTACATTTATGGGGTCATAGAGATGCCTGTGTAAACTGTACTGCTTTAGCTACTAATAGTTCTTTTCTGTCCATTTATAGATGTAAATGTTAGTAGTGTCTGTCCTTTGCTTACTAAATAATAGGACTAATCCTGTATGCACTGAAACCAGAGTAGTTATCCAGCAGAGGAATCAGCATGTGACAGATGGCTTACTAGGTTGGGTTTTGTGACAAAATCAAATGCATAATACATTCTAAATAGGAATCAGGGAAGTCCAAACAAAATCCAAAGTGTATGGGATGCCTGATGTCCAGCAGGAATAGCAGCCTTTTGAAGTACAATTCAGACTAATGCCAGTTATGCTGCAGGTTCTGTTGCACTCAAAAACGTTTCTCCTTACTTCAGCACTTATGAGAGCAGTCTAGAAAATAGGTGTCAGAAAGCAAATGCTCATTGTCACTTGGTGGGGCTCAAGGAGGAAGTATCAAATCCTAATCAGACTTGTGCAGTAAGAAGCTTCAGACAGGGACAGCATTAACTTGTTAAATGGTTGTTAATATCATAGTGAAAATGAGCAGGTGTGCTTTTATTCACTGCTGCTTGTGTAAATCATGCTATTTAATTAAAATGATCAGGCAGCATGAATCACAAGACTGTTCTGCAGTAACGGTGCACTTAAAAAAGGATCAATCATTGGTAGCCATGTTTTGTTTTTTCTTTCCTTTTTAGAAATAATGTGTATTTTTATTTGAAACCACAGGCAACAAACCATTCTGAAAAATCCAACACAACTGATGTAACAAGAAATAGAATGCTTTGGATGTTGTCCTTTAATTTGGAAATACCATTCAGGCATTGACGTGGAGTAGAACAATGGCTGTGTCCCTACACAGCAGAAATGTAATTTGGTTTATTTTCATTAGCGCTAGGAATACTTAAACATGCTTGAAAACTTTCTTATGAAGGGAATTAATTTCTACTAATATTATGGGAGAAAGTAGGAGCAAGTCTGCTTGTGGGTAGCAGAGTGTATCTGCTTCTTACATCCTTGTGTTCTACTCTGAGACTTCAGGATTGTACAGCCTTTAAAGAAAGTCTGTTAGGAATTCTAGCTGAGCACCGTGGCATCCAATAGTGGACTAGAGTGGACTTTCTTATTCTGAGGTGGTCTTCAGTTTTCTATTGGTTGTTAACTTAAAATCTTTGTCTTCAATTTTATTTTACAATTGCTCTCAAGTTTTCTCTGGGTGTGTCTTTTTTTCTGGCTTAGTCTGTTAATTCGATCGTGCTGCTTCCAGCCAAATTATAGAAATGTGAAGGAGCTGGAAAACAAAAGGGATAAGTTCTAATCTTTTAAAAATATTAAAAACAAAGGAAAAGGGAAAAAATTGATCCAAAATGAAAGGGTTTCAAGTTTTCTTATACGTTGTAACTTTAAGTTTTCAGATGAGCCTTTAACATTACTTAGCAAAGCTAATGAATTCACCCAATTCTGGTTTGAATTACAGGCTGCAGAGCTTTATGTACTGAAAACCAAAAGGAAAATAAGGAATTAGCAGTCATTTCATTTTTTTCCAGTAACAAACTATTAAGGAAGAATGAAACAAATTAAGAGATGTGTGCTTGACATATTTTCTCAGCAGTTCCTCTTCTGCTTTGGTTTGCCAGACTATGCAAAGAGTTTTGTGATGAGTGAAACAAGATGTGAGCTGCAGAGGTGGAGTGAAATCTAATAGCTTTAAAGCTGATTGGCATAAGAAACCTTAACCAGGCAATGCTTCTGTTGTCTTTAGCTGACACCATTAACTCTCATCCTCAAAAGCAAGACTTTCCTGCTACGTACTTCACAGGGTAGAAGCTCCCCTGATGCCCTTTTCCCTTAGCAGTTTGGTAGCCCTTTGTCTCAGCCCCACAAGTGTTTTCGAGATTAATTCTCTTGCTTTGATTTCCTGTGTGTATTGTAGAAACCCAGCATTTCTCTTTGACAAGATCAGTTTGTGTGGTCTTTGGAAATCTGTGTACAAACACAGCCTCTGGTACGCTATGGTAACATTGCCTGAATCAAGAACAACACTCAACTTGGTTTTTTATTACCTAATAAGTATTTGCAAATATCTTAATGACAGTGAGATAATTTGACCTGAAAGCTCTTCTGTGTTCGTGTGTATTTGCTAACTCACCACATAAAAACATGCCATATAAAAACAACCAGCAGCATACAAAACATCACTATTTAAGAACAGAAAAGTTGCTCGAAGCTTTGTGCTCACTTTTAGGAGTACAGCAGTGCTGGGATGAGATGTCCCTAGAAAACTGCTCAAAAGTTCTGCCACCCAGTAGAACTTCTGTTAATGCTCACACCAATGCTTGTTTCCCAGTGCTGTGCAGACAGTAGGAACTGCCTTCCACAGCTGTGTTTTGCCAGCTGAGGGTGGTTACCAAATTAATCTAGGGCCTCCAACACATCAAAGCTGCTCTATACCTAATTGTACCTAATGACCCTGTTGGTCTCACTGAAAATAGGAAAGGTCTCTAATTAATCTTCCTATCTGCTGCTTGGAATAATTGAGGCAAGTGTATTCTACACAATGATTGATATATATATATATATATATTTTTTTTTTTTGTGGATGATGTTTTAAGAGAGCATAGGATTCTTACAGCTTGCTGCTTAGTTGCTTGCTTTTTTTTCCCCACCATTCCTGTGGATCTATAAAGGGGACAAGTATTCTTGTGGTTACTGCTTCCTAACTAGGCTGCTAGTATTGCAGAAGGAAGGACAGCAGCCTTGTGGCTCTGCAGACATAAAGGAGAGCAGGGGTCTTCTGAGTGAGCATTGGGAGAGAGTATTTTCCTGTTGTGCTCTGACTCAATAAGAGTTAAAACAGATGAATGCAAGTATTGCATTCATATCAGGTAGATAACAGACAGCTGGAATGTTGCCAGAAGAACTTGTCAGCTGTTTTATGAATTTTCTCTGTAGTATTTATTAACTCTACTACAGTTGCGATGATCACAGTATGATGTGCTGTTTTATTAAGTAGTCTGTTGGTCTTTTTTTACTCAGCTATAAGGTGCATTTAATATTAATGCTGATGCCAGCTCCTTGGAAGGCAAAAACAAGCTATAAATAAGCAGTGTATTGCTGGAGGCTGCTAGTAAAATCAGCTGTACTAGACTGTACACGCCATTTTCTGAAAGCTTTTTATGAGTTCAGAAGTTCAGACATAGAAGATTTTCCTGTGGTTGTCTTGCTGCATTCACTTTGCTTTTAATTTAATAAATTCACTAGTATATTTAGTTTAAACCAGTCTTACTGCATTTAATAGAACACATCAGTATTGTTAGAGCTATTTCAGGTTATAAACTTGTTTTTCTCTATTGCCTATTTTAGGTTATTTCAACTTGGATTTCTGAAAGAAGTAAAGTAGTAGTGCAAGTTCTACTTTGCAATTCTTGAAGCCAGTCTTGGCACATAACTTGGCTCTTTGAGGAAATAATTCACAAAGTTGGCAGTAGGAGGGTTTGGCTTTTGGATTTTGAAAGTAAAAATTGACAGTAAAAATAAATAAGCAGAAGGTGTTGCAAAGCACGCCGAGCACCTGTTGCATCCCCAAACTGTCTCTTGTTGGGATGAGCAAGTAATTTTTCTTACTGTTTTGATTCTCTTTTTTTCACAGCTTCCACCCGTTTTGTGAAGTGTGAAAAGTGTCACCATTTTTTTGTTGTACTGTCAGAGGCAGACACTAAAAAGAGCATCATTAAGGAGCCCGAGTCAGCAGCAGAAGCTGTGAAATTGGCATTCCAGCAGAAGCCGCCTCCTCCACCGAAAAAGGTTTGGTTCTTATTGTCACCCCACTGTTCCTTTGTACTACAGCATGTTGGAATGCTTTACTTAATCTGCGTTAGGTATAATGGTCTACCCTGACAGAGCAACAAAGAATAAAGATGATTAGTTCAAGATTAAACCTTTAAGGGCTTTGTGACCTGGCAGAGCACTGATAAAGAAACAGTAGATCCCATAAGAGGAGTAGGGCTTGGTTTCCTCTGGCTTTGTCTTGTGACTGAGATGCAGTACCTTAATTTTTGCCTTGTGACCCTAAGATAACCTCAACCCTCTCCAACCGTGGTATCCTTAATTTCCTGCCATGGCCTCACATTCCACACTCTTGTCAGCTTCTTTCTGTGTTGCAAAACCTTTTGTTTGACTTCTTTGGTTGAGAATTATGGCAAGTTAGTGTGTGGCTGCAACCTGTCTACTGCAGCTCCCATCTTACATCATTTGATTTCCTTAGATAGTGAGGGAGAACTATTGGTGATAGTTGGATGGTTGGACTGGGTGATCTTGTAGGTCTTTTCCAACCTTGGTGTTTGTGTGATTGTGTGATTCTGGGAGCTTACTGTGTTTCACGCTTCCTGTGGACTGCAGTGGTTTCTGAAACACGGGGTTCAGCTTTGCTTAATTATGAAGTTTTCAGAATGTATGTCAAAATCTTAACGTGCACAAAAAAAGCCCTAGAACAACAGTCAAGTTTTGATTGTCCTGTAAAGGCTGTCTTTAAAAATAGTACATTATGGCAATAGTACAATTTCTGCACAGTTATTTAGAAATGTTATTAATACTGAGTCACTTTTTCAGATTTATAACTACCTCGACAAATACGTTGTTGGTCAGTGTTTTGCCAAGAAGGTGCTTTCAGTTGCTGTGTATAATCATTACAAGAGGATCTACAATAATATCCCAGCTAACCTGAGGCAGCAAGCTGAAGTTGAAAAGCAGACTTCTCTAACACCAAGAGGTTTGTGTTTGTTTTCTCTTCTTCTGTTCAAATAAAATTCACCATTTCAGAATCCTGCCTCATTTTTGACCTTCTAATGGTAGTAGCTGAGCTGCAATCTGTACATATTCATATATATGTTTCCCAAAGGAAGAGGAATGTCAAAGCTTCCCAAAATGACTGTTGATTGACTCAAGCATTGTGTTATTAGGTAAAACACAGCATTTTCAAAAAATTGTATGTGAGCAAATTATTGCCTTAATGGTGTATGAAAGCTCAAAAGTGATGAACCTGACTGTTTTCACTGTCTAAATATAATGAAGTGAGATAAGCAAATACTGCATTGGTGAGTTAACAGAATCTCACCTAAGGATAGTTTCACTTGATGCTCAGTATTCTGAAATTTAAATTATTAAAAAGAATATACAGTGAAATTCAAATTTTACACAAATAATCTTCTGTGGCTTATTTAAATAGCAGTCCAGAAGGTTTATGATTTCACAGGTGTTGTCTACCCTACTAAATCTTCAGTGTTTTTTTTTACTGACACATTATTAGGTATTTTCCTTTCTAAAGTAAGCTTGCCAAATTTTTCTTCTAATCTCTTTTACTGCATATCTTAATCTAATTGCTGCTTAATCTGCAGGCAGCAACGCAGGTCGCACAGACAATATTTTGCATAGTGAATTTGATGAATAGTTACCTTCCTAAACTCTGGCTGCTGTTGGCAGCACCTGTTGGTCACTGTAGTATTGTTCTGTATCTAGCAGGTGGAGTCTGAGCTCCTCTTGGCAGTACTTCTGCTACTGAGTAAATATAGAGCTATGTTGATCTAAATTATTTTTAGAAGTAGGATTAAGTGGCTGTCTCTGATTCAAAGCGTACCTTGATTTTTTTTTTTTCTTAAGGTGTTTTATTCTGTATTGCAATTAATGGTATGCTAAGAAAACAAATCGTCTTTGTTTCTTGAATTTACTTTAAAAAACAAAACAACAACAAACAAAACAGCACAAGCAAAACCTTGAACATGCAGAGGAGAACCTTAGTAGCAGTTTTGTACCTTGCATGTGAAAGTTCCTGATCCTCTGCAGGAAGATATTGTGTGCACTCAAAGAAACTGCCAGTGGATGTTTGTAATTTATAAATTTGCAATTCATAATACTTTGAAATACTTTTCATCTTCCATTCTGTCACTCAGATATAAATGTGTGAGTTTAAGAAAGTCTCTTCCAAGCAGAATTGTATTATAGCATATATATATATATATTTTTTCTTCTGCAAATGCTTCTAAAACAAAAATCCATGTAGAGGTCTCAGTGTGAATGTTTTACATAATAAGTAGCTTGCTTGTCACTTTAAAAGCATGCAAGTTGAACCTGGGGCTAAACTTGATGGTAATAAAAACTAACTTGTGGAGACTTCTTGTTAGAAGTCCTTCATACACATCAATGATAAGTATTCAGAAGAGGGCAAGAGGTAGAGAAGCTATAAGATTTTATAAATTTTCACTACTGTTTTCATCCTCTCTCTTAGAATTAGAAATCAGAAGACGGGAGGATGAGTACAGATTTACAAGTAAGTGATCTCTCTCCTCATGTCCTCCTCTGCAATACTTACCCTTTTGATATTCATGTAGAATAGTATTTAGTGACCACTAGCTAGAAGTGCTGGGTAAAAATTCTGCTCACTTTTCCCTTTTGTTATTAAATTTAATTGATGATGTTGAGCATCTTTTTGGGGGGTGAGGTGTTTAGGATCTGACTCTTTGTTTAGTTTTATATGGAAAGCAGCAAAGTGTAAGGGGGAATGTGTCTATATAATATTGTGCCATTAGAGATTCTCTTCCTATATGCACTTAAGCAAAAATATAACTGAAACTCATATTTTTGTAGTAATTGCTTGAAGTTTACTGCAGTCCTATCTCTAAATTTCTGTACAAATAAATGATCTGTAGATCCACAGAACAAAACAGAAAGCTCTTGCTATGTATTGAAGGTAGTGATAGACCTTGCAGTGCTCAAACAGTACTGTTACTATTCTCTTCAGAACTGCTGCAGATTGCTGGGATTAGTCCACACGGCAATGCTTTAGGAGCATCTATGCAGCAACAAATGAACCAGCAGATACCTCAGGAGAAACGGGGAGGTGAAGTACTAGATTCGCCCAACGATGACATAAAACTTGAAAAAAGTAATATTTTGCTGCTTGGACCAACTGGATCAGGTATACAGCTGTATGATTTTGTGTGTCTTAATTCTTTTTTGCTTTTTAAATCTTATTTTAACGCCTTTTTGTATTGACTGATTAAAAGATGCAACTTGCTACACTGAAACAAAATGCCTCTAAAGTCTGTCTGCTTTCTGGGAGGCAAGTTGTGATGCAGTTAAAGTGATGCTTCACCTCTGGGACAGATCAATTACAGGTGGTTAAATGAAATGGTGGCTGTGTTCTTAGGAATTGGGCTGATGTGATAACATTTTGCAGATTATTTGAGAGAGCACTCACTAAATAATATGTTACTTCTGTTTCTCTCCAAAGAAGGAGCAGTGGAACTTTGCACTGCACTTTGAGTGTCTGCAAAGGACTACTGATTGATTTAATCTGTAGTCTATTCAAGTACGTGGATTTTGTTTTATGTACTGTGTGATCCTTTGTTTGTGGTACAGTATGCATTTCAAGCTGCCTCGATACAGAACTGGTCTTACTCAAAAATACAGCTTGCTTGTGAACACTGTCTGACTTGGAAACTTTTTCTTGTATGAGCATATATGAATATACTGGTAACGTTTTAAATGTTTGATCACAGTAATGGCAATCCTCTGATAAATAGTTGAGTTTGTGTGTTCTAAAGAACTACCTGGCAGCTATAACATACAGTTTTTATTTCACCAGGTAAAACCTTGCTGGCTCAGACTCTAGCTAAATGCCTGGATGTACCATTTGCTATCTGTGACTGTACTACCTTGACTCAAGCTGGCTATGTTGGTGAAGACATTGAATCTGTCATTGCAAAACTGCTGCAAGATGCCAACTACAACGTAGAAAAAGCTCAGCAAGGTAAACTTATACAGTGTTTTCTCAAGTTGATGAGCAAGTTTTGTTAACCTTACTTAGGTGCTGTGAAGCTGCAGATCATCAGTATTTCTGCCAACTATATTGTTGTGGCATGAATTTTTCTACTTTCATATCAAAAATAATAAACATAAAGAGAACTGTGAACATATATGCTAGTTCTTGTTTTAGCTTTGTTTATGTATTCTGGTCGTACATTTTTGCACTCTAAAATACAGAAGTAGAACAGTCTCTAACTTAAATTGCTTTCTTCCCAGTGTGTAAATCTTTGTCTATCTTAAGAAGTACAATCTTCCTTAAGTCCATTTTCTCTAACTGTAGGAATTGTTTTTCTGGATGAAGTGGATAAGATTGGCAGTGTTCCTGGCATTCATCAGTTACGGGATGTTGGAGGAGAAGGTGTTCAACAAGTACGTACTTGCGTGCAGTGGCTTCACTTCATAAGCAAACTGTTCATCAAGTCTGCTGTGTCAAATAGCACAGATCAGTTCCTTCATTATTAACCCCTGAAACTCTCACTTTTCCTCTTGAATTTCTTTTCTCAAAAAATCCCCAGAGCAACTTAGGACCACATTGCAGAGAAGTTTTAATTTAAAAACACCCTTATAGCATTCAGATAGGAAGTTTCTTAATGGAGGCAATAATGGATAATATTTTCTATTTTTCACAAAACCCTCGATTTATTACTACGTGCTACTCATTATGTGTATGGGAATGGCATTAAAAGATTTTTGTCTGTATGTAAGTAGGATTGTTTCTCATTGAAAAGTGATTTCTTTAACCGTTTACTTGACAGTATGTGAGCATAAGAAATTATAAAATGTAAGTACACCTGTGAAGATATACATAATGTGGGATCTTGTATGCCTTCATGTGTGATGCTGCACAGTGAATTTTTGTATTGCTTATTCTTTCTTCCTCAGGGCCTGTTAAAATTGCTGGAAGGCACAATAGTAAACGTTCCAGAGAAGAATTCTCGTAAACTACGTGGAGAAACAGTGCAGGTTGACACAACAAACATCCTCTTTGTAGCTTCTGGTGCTTTTAATGGCCTGGACAGAATTATCAGCAGGAGGAAAAATGAAAAAGTGAGTACAGCAGGGGTGTATTTGAACTGAAAAGTTGTTATCTTGATTACCACTCACAGCACTGGCTCCTGAAGGTCTTGCTATATTTGTAAATCTACTAAATTTGTGCACAGAGCAGCAGTTTTCCATCTGTTACCTCAGGTCAAGGAGGCTTAAGAAAGGTAGCAAAGAGCAAACCTATTGTTAGTAGGCTTAAGGAGCTTGCAGTAGTCTCTGTTTCTACAGGGAATTTTTTTAGCATTTGCATTAAGAAAGACGTTAAACTGTTGACAGAACACTCGCTGATACAGTTCTTAATCTGTTGCAAAACCCTATGTTTCTTAAAAGTCAGAATGAGAGACACATTGTTCTAGCAGTGATAACAGGATTTCTTTCATTGGGAGTGTGCCAAGTATGACGCTGAGAAAACATCTGTATATCAGTAGAGGTTTGGAAATGTCTTAAGATGTGTCACTTTTTTTTAAAGAAAAACCTACTCTTATTCAGTCAAGCATCTTAATGCCTTACGGTGGCAATCAAGTATTATAAGGAGCTGATTATGTGCAAGGGGTTTAATTTTACTAATAGTAATTCATTCCATTTAAAGTAATGTGTACTGATGTAATTATTCCTTTACTGTATGGAGCTGGAACATGATTTAGTTACATAAAGAAAACTGAAATAGTTTCATAAGCACATCAGGTTTTTATTTTTACTTTTTTGCAGTATTTAGGATTTGGTACACCATCTAATATGGGAAAAGGCAGAAGGGCTGCAGCAGCAGCTGATCTTGCTAATATAAGTGGAGAGTCCAACACCCATGAAGATATTGAAGAAAAGGATCGCTTGCTGCGTCACGTGGAGGCCAGAGATCTCATAGAATTTGGAATGATTCCTGAGTTTGTGGGGCGTTTGCCCGTTGTGGTTCCTCTGCATAGCCTAGATGAGAAAACCCTTGTACGGATTCTTACTGAGCCACGGAACGCTGTGGTTCCCCAGTACCAGGCATTATTCAGCATGGATAAGGTTGGAACTTGCGACAGCTTTTCAATAGTCTTGTTTACAAATAATGTTAAAAAGCTGCCTCACTCTAAAGATACATCATCTGTTTTGTGGCTGAAGAAAGTGGCTTTATTGTACTTACTAGCTTTGTAGGGAAAGAAATAACAGACTGAGACACACAAGCTCTAAAAACTTGCAGATTGCTTCTTTAGGCCAGTGTTCTGTGAGGAGATTGCTTACAAAGTATTGAATGAGAATTTGATGCTTTTTTTTTTTTACAATGCACATAAGAATTAAGTAGTGTCTTCTCTTTACCTAATTGTTCTGTCATTTCAAGGCTATGTGTCCAGCTTGTTTGGTTTGTGCTTGTTCTTTAAAACACCTTTCCTTTCCCTTCAAAAAATGAAAGCTGCAAATTCTTTCCTTTTTTTACTTTGAAGGGAAGTTTTTATCTGCTTGAGTTGGAAGTGCCCAATTGTTCCACTGGATATGTGCATAATTTTTTTTTTCAACTCCAGATTCAAATTCTTGGAAAGGGCCTTGACTTCAGTGATTGAAGGCTAGGGAGTAAGGAGGCCTTTGTATTCTGATCATCACTTCTTCATTCTTCCTTACTTTCCAAAGTGTATGTTCACCTTGCCTTTTCTTTAAATGCTGCTTCCAGTGTGTGAAGTGTTTTGGAGATCTGCAGAGCACAAATATCTGAAGGATGAATTTAGTAGTTGTCTGTAATTACTATTCTTGTCTTTCTGTCCTTTCAGCATTTGTAGAAGTTGTATGTATAGGGACAGTCAGTACTGGTAACTTCCAGGTAAAACTGAAGTGTAGTTTAAATGTTAACTGTTCTGGTCTGCAGCGAGTGAAAGACAAATACTTGCACTGTTGCACTTAACGTGCTCTTGAATTACAAATGAAATGTTAACTGAAATTGCTCTCTTTCTATGTGTAGTGTGAATTGAATGTAACTGAAGATGCATTGAAGGCTATAGCCAGGCTGGCCTTGGAGAGGAAAACTGGTGCAAGAGGTCTGCGATCTATAATGGTGAGTAAATTAAGTCTCATCTTGTGCAAGTGAACCTACTCATATTAGTTCTGTGGCCCTCATCATGGCAGTTTGCAGTCAATGCCTTGCTTATAAATGTGTGCATTCAGATTTCTTCCAAGAAGACCTCTAGCTCTGATGATCACTTACTATATATTTTTTTTTTCTGTAGAAGACACCATACCTAAATATTTGTTCTCTTTGTGTTCTTGTAGGAAAAGCTGTTGCTGGAGCCCATGTTTGAAGTACCCAATTCTGACATTGTATGCGTGGAAGTTGACAAAGATGTTGTAGAAGGCAAAAAAGAGCCAGGATACATTAGGTAAAGCCATAATGAAGTATCAGATGAGTAACAGTTAGGCAAATGGTCTGATGTTTGTCATAGGAATGAGTGTATAAACACAGAACTATGCACACAACCATGCACACAACCTAAAAAGAATCCAATATCTGTATATTCTACACAGTTGTCTTAGTGCCTATTCTGTCCAAGAAACTTTGGGTTTGTATTTCTTTAGTTTTTAAAAAGAAGCTAAAAAATAAACTTATACTTGAAGTTTCTTTAAATCTCGTGTGTGTGTGTACCTGGAGAAATAAAGCAACCAATCAGCATCATAAGATAACAGTAAAAAAAACCTGAAGTTCTGAATGTGTTTTCTAAACACAGTTGGGAAGATTCTGAAGCAGAGTTTTTCCTCCTTGCAACTTCTACCACTCCAAGGTACTTCTAATGCAAGCTATGGGCTGCAGCAAGTTTTCTCCTCCACTGTGCTTGGAGGCATAGTGTTTTAAAACAAAAAAAAAAAAAGTGCATCTGTTGATTGGCTGAACTCATTAAAATAATGACAGTCATAAAGATTATATTGTGGTAGAGTACTGAAAATATAGGTGTAAAAAGTAATAGTTCTAATGACCAAGCAGTGGAGTTGGGGTGGGGGGTGGGGGGGTGAATCAGGTCAAAATAAACAGAGGAATGATATTTAGGAACTTGAGCTTGGTCCACTTGGACTTTGTCCACTGAGATGTGTGCTCTGCATTTGTCTGTATGCACATAATTTCCCAAAGGAAAGGTTACTGTAACTTGTTTTGCAGCGCTCGTGTTTGCTGAAAACTTAACATTTACTGATGAAATCTAATGACTTAACTGAATTCATTAGCCTTTTGATTGATGTTCAGTAATGAGCTTGCCTAGTTTAAATCTGCATAGCACCACTTTCAGATCAAAAGGTCATTAAACAGATGGAAATCTGAACATCTTTCATCAGGGCACCTTGCAGGTGGCAAATTGACCGCAAGATATGGAAACTCTCTCCATCTTTTTCCCCTCCATTTATATATAGTATCTGATCCGTTCATTTTAATTATAGGGCTCCCACTAAAGATTCATCTGAAGAAGAATATGACTCTGGAGTTGAGGAAGATGGCTGGCCTCGACAAGCAGATGCTGCACACCATTAAATCCTGTCAGAATGCTCTCCCGCAAAAAGCGCACTTGGTTATTTCCTTAGGATTTGCCTCTGGCTTCACAATCTGATACTAACAGCATTGGATCTATCTCGGATACGATACGTGATGAGGAACCTTATTAGATAAATCAGATCATGTCTTTTACTGTAACATCACATTGATTTATTCGATGGACATTGTGTGGACTTGAATGGCATAATGTTCAAATATAAATTGTATACTACATTTGTCCAATTAAAACATAGCAAATACAGCAACACCTGGATTGCTTTTTCTAAAAAGTAAATAGCAATGCAGGTGCTGCTGATAGGTAGATTTTTACAGTAATGCTACTCTACAAATGGGAAAACAAGTTTAATAATTAGCAGAGGGTGAATAAGCGATCAGCTCCTCATACAACTCACGTGGGGGTGTGCTTGGGTCAGTGTTAGCTTTCTGCTGGTGTTGGGAGCCAGCGGTGCTGGAGTGACTTGTTACATGGGCTGGAAGGGAAGCCCTTGCACCAGGACTCTGAAAAGCTTGGGGACACTGCAGACAGTGCTGGGAGATACTGCTAAAAATGTACCACTGGTTTGTTAGTTAAATTGGATACTGAATACATCCTGTTGTTCACCTCTCCATTGGGAGAAAGTTTCGGTCACCTTAAATGCTGTGGATGAAGGTGAAGACAATAATTTGCTCACTTTTCCAGAAGGGTAAATGAAATTGAGGGAGTGGTAAGCTGGCAGAGTTTGGATGACAAGTTGGCATAAATTTTTAAATATTAATGTTCTAATATAGTACATTTTGTTTAACATATTGGAACTATCATGCATCAATTTTTTGGTGCCAGGTATTTGCCCAACCTATCTTATAATGTTAAGAGACGAAGAGTAAGTGTATAATATTTTTGATGTAATCAGTAGTGAGTGTTCACATGGCAGTGCTTTTTAAGTTATATGCTCGAATGCTATAGTATTGCATCTTGTGCTTTTGTCTTTGGTTTTTAGGCTCACAGCAAAGCAGTCCTCCTGTTCTACACCCAAATGAATTCAGTCCCTCAGGAAAGCATTTGTAAAAACCCAATTGGACCTGTATGTTTTCAGTTTGTTTCGGGAATTAAAATTGTTGCTTACAACTCGGTTTTGTCCTTCAGTTGGATGGATTGGGGTTTTACTGAGCCCTTCTCCTAAAGCTTTCACTCGTGCTTTTTAAAGAAAACTTGTCTCATTCTTTTCCACCCTGTAGGTGTTTTATGTAGGGAAGGGTTCTGTGGGTGCTTGGCCCTCGTTTTTTTTGTTCATTTTTGTCATGTAAATTTGAAGTGACAGTCATGTAATCGTTGTGTTCTTCCATAGGAAGCAGTGTGAGCCAGATGCACCAGGTGCTGCATTAGGATCCCACCGTTTTCTGTTCAGTCACCCATCCGTGGTTCGGAAAAAGCTGCTTTTAGAATTGGGAGTGTTTCTAGGAGAAGCTTCGTCGCCTCAGATGGGGATCTGTGGTGAGCTGTAACACGTCCTCATTTTCCTTTTTGTAGAGTGAGAAATAGAATCGCTTTTAACTCAGCGCTCTTTAATTCAGATTGTTTTTTAAATGGATTGGAAAAAAAAAATAACAACCATTTTAGGCAGAACTGTTAAACAACTTAGTTTTGGAAGTTGTTTGGGATTATTTGCAATTATGTAATCAAGAACTGTTTTTAAGGAAACAAATGCTGTGTAACCGCAGTTTGTACCTCACTGCTGGCGTTTGAATAAAACCGATGAATACTGGGAGCTGGAGCTGTGTCATCCCTGCTGCACAGGTGCTGGTTGTTAGCCTGGGCTCGGGATTCTGCTCTATTCAGCTACGGGTGGACACGAAAGGAGCTCAATAATGGCGGCGAGGCTCTTTTAACTCAGTTTTAATAAATTAGGGTGAGAGCTAACGCCCTCAAGTCGTGCCGGGGGAGGGCAGGTTGGGTGGCGGGTGAGGCGGGCGGCGGTAGGGGGCGGGAACCGTGGGCACGGTGGGGGTGCGCCGATGGCTGGGCTGCGATCCGAGCGGTGTTGGTGATTCCACGGCTCTAAGCAAAGCAGCAGCCTTTCTTTTGGGTTACGCTGCCCGCTCCTCCACCGTGACGCCGCCGCCCCGTTCCCCGCCCGCACCCATTCGCTCGGGCCGTTCTTCCCCTCCGGCCCCGCACGGCTGTGAGCGGAGCGCCGGCCCCGCCCCCGGAGCGCCGTCGCCGCCCGCCAGGCGGCGCTGCCTCAGTCGCTGCCGCGCCTCCAAGATGGCGCAGCCGCCGCCGTTCCCGGGCCGCTTCCCGCCGCCGCCGTTCCGCGCCTTCCCCCCTCAGGCGCCGGGGCCGTTCCCGCCGCCTCCCGCTCCCTTCCCCGTCCCCGCCGCCCGCCCGGCTCTCCCTCCCTTCCTCCCGCCTCCATCCTCCGAGCCCGGCCCCTTCTTCCGCGGCCCCGCCGCCCCGCCGCTCTTCCCCCCGTGGCCCTCGGCCGAGCGGCCGCCGCCGCCGCCGCGGGACCCGGAGGATGAGGACGCGGCGCAGCGGCAGCGCGACGAGCGCTGGTTGGCGCAGTTCCTCGCCCGGCGCGGCCCCCCGGCGCGGCCCCCGCCGCCTCCCCGCGGGAGCGGCCCCGAGCTCGGGCGGCGGCTGGCGGTGCGGGCGCTGGGGGCGGTGCGGCGGCTGGCGGCGCTGTGCCGGGCCCTGCGGCGACGCGAGGCCGAGGGCCGCGAGGACGGCTGGGAGCGGGAGCGGGACGAGGCCGAGGAGCTGCTGGAGGAGCTGAGGGAGGCGGCGCGGCCGCTGAGGGAACCCGGCTACCTGCGGGAGCTGGGCAGGAAGGCCGAGAGGGCGAGGAAGAGGAGGGAGCGGCTGCAGAGGAGGAAGCGGGAGGCCCGAGCGGCCGAGGAGGAGGAGGCGGCCCGCGCCGCCGAGCGGGAGGCTGAGATCGACCGGTGGAGGGCGGGGCGCATCCAGGAGGTGGAGGAGAAGAACCGGGTACGGTGCGGAGCGGAGCTGGGGTGGGGCGGGCAGGGAGAGCAGCTCGGGTGCGGGAAGGAGCCACGTAATTTTCTAGGACGGTATCTCTGGTAAAGCAGGTTTTATTCGCGATTGCAGTGGCGGGCCTCCTGCAAGCAGGAGAGCACCCAGAAAGCAGAGTTACATCTTTTATTCCCTATTCCCTGACGCTTCTCTCTTTACTCCCCTGGTTCCCCGTTGGCTGAGTGTTCACAATCTTCTGGACGCTTCACTAAACATGGAAACACTGGGCAAACATAAATTTTTGCTGCATAAGCGTAAATCTGTAGTTAATTAATTAACTTTTCCACACCTGATCATTATTTTGCGGATATCTGCGTGTCCTTCTTTCTACAAAGATAAGCTCAGGAGAGAGACAGGAGTATCGTGGTGCTGCCTTCACACCCCAACCTGCTCACGGACTGAGACAGTTCAGCCTTGTGTAGAGGCTTTGATGTTTCTTTGATGTTTGCTAAATCTCTTTCTTTTGCTGGCAGTTTCTTACCCTAACAGAACAGCTCTACAGTATGTTTTCTAATCCCTAACACACTGTGCTCGCATTGTTTGGAACATTTAACAACTATTACAGCTTGGCAAGAAAGAATTAATCACATAATTCAGTAATAATGTTTCTAAAACACACTGCTAACATATATAGTATTTTACTTCTTAGATCAACTATTTCTAAGGATAAGTTACAGAATACAAATGCATTGTGTTCCACTTCTTCAAACCAATTGCTCTTTTAATATCAAATGCAGGAACAACACTCCATTCCCACAGGGGGGCAGCTGACTGCTCTCCATGAGCCCTGGGAGGAGGTTGTGCAGAGATGGGGTCGGCCTCTGCTCCCGTTGACAGCGATGGGATGGCGGGTGATGGCCTCCAGTTGTAGCAGGGAGGGTCTGGTTGGATATTAGGAGAAATTTCTAATCAGAGCAGTGCTGCACCGGCACAAAGTGCCCGGGGGTGGTGGGGGCACTTGTTGGAGGGGTTGTGGCACTGAGGGACGCGGGCAGGGAAAAAATAACAACAAAAAGCCACCCGAATTAAGCTCGATGGGAAGTGGTGTTGGCACTGCGTTGGCTGCTGAAAATTCATCCCTGTTGGTCTGCTGGGCCCATTGCTGGGGGGGCACAGAGCAGCTGATGTGCAAGGTGTTGTATCCAGACTGTGGCATGCTAATGGTCTGTAACTACACAGCTGTGAAGTCTGCGTGGTTTATATTCATTGTACATTTTTGCTGACTTCCTGAGGTTAAAGGCTTTATGTATTCAGCAGCTGTTCTGGGCCAAATTGTGTGTGGCTCACCATTCTTTTTTCCCTGAAATTTCATCGTTAAGGTGTTTTTTTTTTCCCAAAAGGTCAGCTGGTTGACTTACCTGCTACAGCAGTAACTAGGAAGTTGTGTTTGTTTGACAGTACCTTTTCATTCTAGTCTGTGTGGGATAATCCATGCATCCTGTTGCTTTTCTTTCCTTTGCAGGAGCGGGAACTTAAGGCTGCTGCAGACAGTGTCTTATCTGAAGTAAGGAAGAAGCAGGCAGACACAAAGAGAATGATGGACATCCTTGGCTCCTTAGAAAAGCTTCGGAAACTGAGGAAAGAAGCTGCTGCCAGAAAAGGTTAATTAGGAGAATTTTTCCAAACTTTTCTAATGATGCACACAGAAAATAAGGGGATGTGGAAGGTGCACTTTGAAGAAGCTGATTCTTTATTAGTTCTTGTCATTACATTGTTCTGCAAGAATAGCTATAAAATGCTGAGCAGCAAATTAGATAAAGTGACTGTGTTCCTATGTTTCCAGACTCTTCCTTACCAGAAAAAAAAACAAAAAAGTACAAAAAAGACATGGAGATTTTGGAAAGGGTCCAGAGGAGGGCCACGAAGATGATCAGGGGGCTGGAGCACCTCCCCTATGAGGACAGGCTGAGGGAGTTGGGTTTGTTCAGCCTGGAGAAGAGAAGGTTGCGGGGCGACCTCATTGCAGCCTTTCAATATCTGAAGGGAACTTACTCCCAGGAGGGGAATAAACTCTTCATAAGGGCTGATAATAGCAGGACACGGGGAAATGGTTTTAAGTTAAAAGAGGGAAGATTTAGGTTGGATGTTAGGGGGAAGTTTTTTACTAGGAGGGTGGTTAGGTCCTGGAACAGGCTGCCCAGGGATGTTGTGGATGCCCCGTCCTTGGAGGTGTTCAAGACCAGGTTGGACGAGGCTCTGGGCAACCTGATCTAGTAAAGGTGTATGTTTGGTGGCCCTGCTAGGCAGGGGGGTTGGAACTACATGATCCTTGAGGTCCCCTCCAACCCAGGTCATTCTGTGATTCTGTGATTCTGTGATTTCCAGACTCTTCCTTACCAGAAAAAAAAACTTCTCTGAGACATTGCCAGCTCTGCTTTTAGGTCTCATAACAGAGCTCCTTCTGAATTTGAAAACATGTTAATTCTCGTTCTCTTTAGGTGTTTGTCCACCTCCCTCAGCAGATGAAGCCTTTGAAAATCAGGTGGAAAGTCTCAGAGCATTGCTCAAAAATCGCACAGAGCTGTATGAAGCTGAGGAGAGAGCATTGAGAGTGATGTTGGAAGGAGAACAGGAGGAGGAAAGGAAGAGAGAAATGGAAAAGAAACAGAAGAAGGAAAGAGAAAAACTTCTACAGCAGAAACATGAAATGGATTCCAAGCTGTTTGGGGATCCAGGTAAATCCTGTCTGTCAGACTTCACTCTATTTACTGCTTTCAGCTCTTAGGCGTTGGGTTTAAAATACAGGCACAAAAGAGATTGTAGGTTGAGCTGAAGTGGGAATAAACAGAATAGACTGAAGATTTCCAGCATGCAGCAGATGCTTTATTCTGATGATTTGGTTAGTGCAGTTTGTGTAATTGGGAACAATTCAGTGTCCGTGGTGTAGAGGATGGAGGCTGGAAAAAGTTTTGCTAGCCTGAGCTCCACTCTGACAGCTTTGGTAAGGGTGAGAAGATGTGCAAAACATGTAAATAATAGGTAAGGATTTCAAGTTTAGCCAGGGAGCAGCAAACTAATCAGCAAATTTGGAACTTCTCAGACAATGGGGTCAAAGGTCTCTCTGGTTTATTGAACAATTTCTGTGTTTTAACAGATGAATTTCCTCTTGCTGATCTGCTGCAGCCTTTCAGGGAATATTACTTACAAGCTGAGCTTTCTGTAGCAGCTCTAATCCAGATCAGGTAAAAGCTTTGTTTTGGTGTCTAAGGTGACAAGTATTGTTTGTTGAGATTGCAAAATATAGTTCATTCACTTAGCTATATGATGAATTTCAGTTCCTTCTTTGTCAGTTAAATACAGAGCACAGTTTATAGTCTTGTGCATTGGTTGGTGTGAAGAAATATGTTTGTGTGCATGTAATCTTACTGCTGAAGTTGTCTTGTGCTGGATGTCCTCTCAAACACCTTTCTGTATTGAAGGCACGAATGGGATCAGTACCTGGTGCCCGCTGATCACCCTGAAGGAAGCTGCATCCCTCCTGGATGGGTTCTTCCGACTCTCCCCACGAATGACACTTGGGCCACTGCTGTCAGATAACTCAAATAAATTATTTTTGCACTGGAGGAGTGTTTCGTTGTACTTGGTGGTGTCAGTGTGAGAGGATCCAGCGAGGAGGTGGTCCACAGTGGTTTGTGCTCAGGAAGCCTGTAGCCAGGGTCTGGAATGCCTTGAAGAGAACTGTAAGGGATGGTTTTGCTTTCTAACTCTGCAAGGAGATACCTGAGTGATTCCAAAGCTGTCAGCCCTTTTGTGGCACAGAATTACAGTGCTGCTGTGTGTTTTTATTAACAAATCACAATCTCAATAAAGTAATGCTGCTGACAAGGTGATTTGTGCCAGGATTCATGTACTATTTTTAGTGACTTTATAAGCTGAAATCAACATGTTGAAATCTCCAGAATTTTGTTGTTTTTTTTTTAAAGAGCTCATTAGTAGATGTGTTTTTCTTCTCAAATGAAGCATGTCAGGCATTGCTTTCAAAATAGTTTCTGTGTTTTTGTGCATAGAAACGAGCTATTACATTTTTAAACAAATTCTGAAGTACAAACAAGACATCGATTTGTGAGCTTGATTAAAGCAGCTGCTGACATTTTGCTCTACTGGACTAAAACGGGTACCACAGCATGGAAAAAATTCCCTGTTGTGTTGAAATAGCTCGACCAGCCTTGTGAATATATATAAATCTGACAAATAAGCCTGCTGGGGAAAAAGGTAATAAAACCTGAAGTTTAACCTACTGCAATTGTTTCTGCCTTCAAAGCTATTTTTCTGTAGGAGCAGATTGTTTATATAGCATTTGGTTAAAAATGCAGCTCTGTTTAGTAAGTTGGGTTCTGCACAGAATAAGCAGAGAAAATTGGATTGTTTTTGAAACATTTTTGCTCTGACAGAGATTTGTTCTAGTGCTTGGCATCAGATGTGACCCAAGCTATTGGGAGAGTTATCAGCAAAAGGTTCGTGTTCCCTCCTACAAGATGACAGAGGCTTATGGCTTCAAATCCTCCCATGTTCAGGACTATTTGCTTAAAGCAATGATGGCCCCATGTGGTTTTGGGGCTTTGCTTGTCTACGCAGGTTGCCTTGGCTTCTTTCCAGAGCCGCAGTCATGTTCTCACTTAGCCTTAATGCGTGGGAATAGATGTGATCTTTCCCATTCCTTATCTCTTAGCATCACCATTGTGTAATTCCTGGAGGAGGCAGCACATGATTGCCTACTCGCAGCTGATAAATTCAGCCCTTAATTCTGGGCTTATGTCAGTGGTTCCTTGGCTGAAGGCTTCTGTTGATTTCTGTTAGTAAGAGCACACTCAGCAGTAATCTGTGATAGAGCTGGAGTTGGGGTGCAGGAGTTTGCAGTTCTCACTCCAAGCCATAGCACCACAAAATACAGTTCACTATTAAGTCCTCTAAAGATAGGAGTTCTGATGTGCATGTCCACACATCCCCCCCTTCCCTGCCATGTCTTTTAGTTTCGTGTCATTCCAAGATCTTGGGAGTTTTTTCCTGGCAAAATAGTGTGAAAGCTGTTTCAAAATGAACACTTTCCATTTAATAAGATAAATGGCCAAAGGATGCTGTGCTTCAGTAGTTAGGCTCCTTATCCCATCAGTGTGTCTGCTGAGACAGACTAACCACTTAAGCTACTATAATCTTGATGTTGTCAAAGTCAGATGCTCGTCAGATGCATGGATTTAAAGATTTAAGAAGTGGATAAGGAGGTGGTATAAAAGCAACTGTTCTCCCTGCAATGTGAGAGAAGCTACTTGATTTCATCTAACGGTAAGGATACCTTGATATTATTGATAAGACTTGCAGTGCTGGTGCATGGTGTACGTGCAGGCTTACTTCAGTCTCACAAGCTTGCTGTGGTTTATTTGCACTTTTCTAATGATGTCTGCATTAAAATGTTTTAAGTTGAGCGAGAAAGGATGAAGTTGAAGGAAGAGGAATGTTTGAAATCTCAGATGCAAAATGAGTGTGTTTGAGTATTGATTCTTAAAAACAAAAGCCACGTGTATTCAGATTCAGTCCTAAGATTCAGATTTGAGTATAGCCAGGTATTTCTTACTGCTCTCTGGGTGGATGCTGTGAGAAACAATGAAACCTTTGCTGAAATCTGAGAAGGTGACATGGACAGGTGCCCTTTGGTCAGCCAGGTGGGGAACCTCATGGTGAAAGGAGATGGAGTTGTTTATAAGGAGCTTTTCCCTGGGCTGTATTTATGCAGGGCACCCAGGGGTATCACAGCTTTTGGCAAACAAGCCTGGGTCTCTGGAAACTGTTGTAGGCACTGGACAGCAAAATATGCCCTGCTTTGTGACTGCAGCTGGCACTGATGGGTGTGCACAGCTGCTGGGAGGTGAATTCCTGCAGGAAGGGGCTGTGCATTGCAGGCGGGGGCTGCATGGGGATGTTATCAAGATGGAGAAAATGGGGACAAGGCAGCTCTGCTGACGTTGTCGTGCGTTTTCTTTGTTGGCACTCACGTGGATTGTAAGCACTCTTAGCCAAGCAGCAGATGGCCCATGGCACGTTGCACGGTGTGTGGCAGCGGCTGTATGTGTGTGGGGCAAAGCTGGTCCAGGGCTGCAGCATGGATTAAGGGATCCTGGGTCAGTCTGGGGTGGGTGCTGCTGAGCCCTGCTGCGTGTCACTCTTAATTTGCAGGCTAGAGGCGGTTTGTTGCATTCCTTTCCTAAGGTGAGGAGCTGCCTTTCTCAAATGTTTTCCGTTGTAGACCTTTATTTTCATGCTACGTTAATAGGCCGTATACATTCTGCTGCTTATTTTTGCTTTGTGGAGTGTTTATCTATTGCCATAGAAGCCATGCTTTTCTCAGAGGGGAAAAAAAAGGTAAAAGCACTTTTGTGTATACAGATGTCCCATAAACTACATATTGCACAGTGAGCGTGGCTGGCGAGCGCTGCCTTGGGACAAGCAGGCACCAGTTGCAGATTCCAGAAGTCAGAGGAAGACTTGCCATCAGACTTTGCCAGTCAACAAAGGAAACTATTCTGCATGTTGTCATCACTGGGATGCTGGGGACTCGGGACTTAATGCAGCAAGTTGTGGCTTATTTTTCATTAAACTGAGTCATTAGGACAGAACTCATGGCTACGTGATGGCAGTAATATTTTCCATTCTGTTCATTGGAATTCTTTCTCTCCCTGCTATTCCTATTCTAAAAAACATCACTGCTCAAAATGAGCTGGTTCTTAAAAGCTCATCTTTTTCAAATGGTTCATTCAACATCCCTCAAACACTGCACTGTGCACCACTGTGAACCTCAGCAAAAAAAATACCCTAGTAGAGAATAGGAATAAAACTCAGGTGGTTCTGTAACTCTGCTTTTAGTTGGGGGAAATGGGAGCGTGGCAGAGGGTGGGCCTGCTGAATGGGAGCAAGGGGAGGAAAGCAATGTGGGGTTATGCACAGAGGTGTCAGCAGGGGTGGAACTGGAGGAAGAAAGTGCTGAAGATCCCTGCTGAATGTCATAATCTTGGTTGGGCTGTGTTGACTGAAGCTCTGAATGGCAGTGATTAGTTCTTACAAATTTTCCTGCTTTCTAGTAATTAACACTTTACAAATCTGGACGTTGCACATAGCAGAACTTACCTCTCTCCAAAAGAAGTCATAAAATAGCTCATTTTTCTCTCCTTCCACCCAAATTTGCTGCGGTTACAGCACTGCTCCCGTGCAGCTGCCAGTCTTTCCTGTTATATTTTTGTTTTCATCCCTTCTTTAGGCAGTGAGCAATCAGGCAGGGACAATGAGCTACCTGGATGGAGTGCCCTTCCGGACAGCCGTGAGCCTCGAGGGAAACTCTGCAGGAGAAAGCACCTTCATCAAGGCACCAGCCATAGACCTTCCTGACTGCACCGACATCCTCATGAGCACCATGGTGGGTTGGCCTCTTCCAAGTCTGTTTCTGGTACGATGCTCAAAGAGAAGCTCTTTTTGGGGAAGAGGGAAGGAAAATCTCCTCCGTGTTGGTGTCCTTGCCTGTTGGTTGTTTTCAGTAGGAACATGAGGTGAGGATGGATGAGAGGAAGGGTTGCAAGATGGTCTTTCTCAGATGGGAAGTTTGATTTGTCCTTGAAAAGTGCAAATTTCAGGCCCGAGTACAGAAAATGGAGCTGCTCACTTTCTTGCCACTCCTGCTGTTCTGCTGAGTAAGCTTCAGCAGTCTCACCCATAGATGGGGTCAGTGCACTGTGCAGGGGAAATCCCCCTGAGCACCCCCAGGCCTTCCTCTTCCTGTGGCTTGTGCGCCATCGCTAAAACATGCTCAATTTTTGAGGTGTTTATTTGGGGTTCCTCAAAGAAAATGTTTGTGGGCAGGATTCCATGCAGGTGATGGTTTGCAAGTGGAGGTGTCACTGAGCTGAGTCTGTTCCCAGTGTCCCACCCAGGGACTCTGGCTCACTCTGGCTGGGGACACATCCGTGCATGATTCTGGAAGCATGCGGTGGTGTTCTCCTTGGGGAGCTTGGTTTGGGTCAGGCATAGCACAGTAACAGCAACATTCCTGTGCTGTGAATGTGCCTGCGTGCCAGGAGACCTTGTTTGGAGAACTCTGGGACATGCATGGCTTGTTTGTTCCCGGAAAGCACCCAGATGTAAGTAAAAAACATGTTCTAAGGATTCTAAGGCAGGCAGTTTGCGACCCCTGTGCTCTCCTCTGGTTACTTGGGATGCTCCTCCTCTGCAATCTGTTCTTCCCTCTCTGCAGCAGTCAAGCTGACACAGAACCCTTCCGTGCCTAAAGCACCTCTCAAAAGGATTCCAAATACAACTGAAAGCAATAATGCTGCAAACGGGTGTTTCCAAGTGAAATCCCATAGGGATGAGGCTGGGACTGTCCAACCCCACAGCCCTAGTGCCCAGTGGCAATGAAACATTAGTGATATAGAATTGCAGGATCAGAGAATTGCAAAATGACCAGAGTAGGAAGGGACCCACAAGGATCATTAAGCCCAGCCCCTGTCCCCACACAACTGCTCAAAACCCAAACCCAGTGTCTGAGAGTGATGTACTAATGCTCTGTGAGCTCAGGGCTGTGTCACCATGAGGCCTCCCCTCAGCCCCCCTCTGGGCTGAACAAACCCAGGGCCTTCAGCAACTCCTCAAGCATTTTGCCCCCTAGACCCTTCCCCATCTTTGTAGCTCCCCTTCCTAAGGATTTACAAAACTGATGTTCTCACTGGCTCTTACTGCTCTCCCACAGCACGACTTCTCGCTGGAGCGAAAGGTGCAGTACTGGCTGGAGGCCGCTTCTCAGCACCAAACCTCCTGGCAGCAGCTCCACACCGACGCCATCCCCACGGCCCCACCATGCTGGCTGCTGCTGGTGGACCCCACTGAGGGCAAGGAGACAACAGCGAGCAGAGCGAAGGAGGGCACAGTGCGGCGCAGCATCAGCCTCAGCACTGAGCAGGGCCGGGGAAGAGCCTCTGACACAGAGAGTGAGGCTGGATGCTCAGAGGACGATGAGTGCTGGGAGGATGATGAGTATTCCTCCACCTCTTGGGAGGAAAATGACAGGGAGGAGAACATTCTCCGGAGGAGAAATCAGCATGGCTTGCAGCAGATCCGACCAAAGACGTCGCCTGGCTTGCTGGAGCCACCTTCAGAGAATGGCTACAAGGCCGCAAGCCCAGATCCAGGCAAGCAAAGGAGGTCCATGGTTTTGTTCAACAACATGAAGAACGAGCTGGAAGCAGCCAGGAGGAAGCTGGCTGCGTTGGTGCATCCTTTAAACAGAGCCACGGCCGAAAGCAAAGGGGCTCCCACACCACCAGTGCTCCCCCAGCACTGCCGAAGCAACAGGAGCCTCAAGTTCGGACCGGCAGCAGAGGTGTCTCACATGGGAAACCTGGTGCCAGCTCCCCCCATGGCACCCAATGCCTCCATGCCACCCATCCGCAAGCACAAGCCTACAGTCCCGGTGAGCTGCCTCGTGGTGGGGGAGAGGTGGAGGGAGAGGGCAAAGCACCCCGTCCTGGGCTTCAGCCAGCAAAGCTGAGCCAAAACTGGGCAACGATGCTCAATAATGAGTGCCAGGGCAATGCTCTCCAGTGCCTACCATCACCTTTTGGTTTGGGGACTGACCATTGCACATGGGCACCGCGGTGGCAGCTCCATCCATCCCCGCTGGCCAACATGAGCTTCTGTCTTGTCTTGCAGTCCCTCAGCCCCTACTCCTGCCTGCCCCCAGCACAGCCGCTGGCATCCCGCAAAGCCAAGCCAGATTCAGCAGCTGACCTGCTGTCAGCACTGAGCCAGGAGGAGCGCGACCTCATCGAGCCTGTCATTGCCTTGGGCTACCCGGCCCGCAAAGCCATCCTCACTCTTCAGAAGACTGGGAGGCAAAGCCTGGGGCAGGTTGGTGGAGCTGACACAGCTGAAATGGTGTGGGATGCTGTGGAGGAAGTGTTATGGTAACAAAATTCATATTTCACAGTGATGTGAGTGACTCCCTTTTGCTCACGGTGGTCTCCCTTGTTCTGCACTGAGGAAAATGAAGCTATTTTTCTTGCTTTGGTATCAGAGCAGGTTTTCTGTTGGATCAAATGCCAGCATTTTTGCTGTAATACAATCTCAGTGAGTGCTCAACTTGTCAGCGAGCAGTAACAGGCGGGTGCTGCTATCTTCCCCATCTGTTGTATGGAGCACAGTGTCCTTCTAGTGCAAATCTTGCCCCCGTATATGGAAATTTTCTGCACATCATTTTGTCTCGGCTGTTAGGTTCGTGTGACCATTTTCATGGCTCATCCTGTCAGCATAGGACCGTAAGAATATCCCAAAGATTTATCTGGTTGTTCTACAAAAACCCCAAATTCCTGTGTTGGAGCAACCAATGACTGCACGCAAGCGTTGCTTTTGGGTCACTGAACGCAACCATAGCAAGGGCTGCCATTCTCCCAAAGAGATGATTAATGTGCCAAAATACAGAATCTGCCTCGTATGCCAAAATGCAGGGTCTTCTCCACCAAACCTTCCCATTTTTCCCTTTTGTGCCCCATGCATCCAAGATGAAATGTAAGGCCTGGCTGTGCATACAACTGCTATGAGCATAAAACTACCAAATTAGGCTAAGATCTTCCTGGAAAATATGTTTCAAGTTAAAAACAAGAGCTGTGGATGCTCTTCGTTGCTTGCCAGTGTCATGTAAGCTTTCTGCATGTGACAGTGACAGCTTCAGACATGAAGATTGATTGTGGACCAGACGGTAGCGAAAAATCGTTCCATTTCTTTATTGTATCAAATAAAGCTGGCATAGCCCACCTTGGGGAGATAGCAAGCTTTGTTTGGGAAGTTAGGTGATTACAGCCAGCACGTGGGGCTGAGAGTGGGGACACCTGCAGCAATGTTTTGGGTGTGTAGAAGCTCGCTGCAACCCTGTAAGCCTATTGGATTTCCCATTCCATTTCTGTGCTGGAAAACCAAGCACTGAGCTTGCTGGCCCTTGACCACACTCCTTGTAGGGTGAACAGGATCAGCTCCTCCTCCTTCCCCAGTGAACAGTCAGCCCTTTGCTGAACCCAGGAAGTAAGTAGGTCAAAGTACATAAATAACTGGTTTTGTTTAGTCTTGAGGATAGTTTTCGGGTTTTTTTTAATGATAAAAATCATGTAGCTGACAGCAGCACAGATTTTGTGCGTGGCTTGAGCAGCATGTCAGAGTGCCAAGACTGGCTGCGTTCTGCCTAGAACATGGGGAGTGACTCCTTGTAGCAAGAAAATACAGCAGTGATCTCGGGTTTTAGTTAGAAAGATAATGAGGAAAATCAAGCCAGGTTCTGAATGCCAACAAGCAGAGCATAATTCATGTTTGTATTAATAAGCCGCTCCTTAGGGCTGACATTTTGTACAATTCTTGCTCTGCTACAGGAGAGCTAACATTTGAGGGACTGTTTTTGGCCTTGTCATGTGTTTCATGGTCTTTGCATCCCCCTCCCTGGGTTACAGCAGAGCTGAGGAGGGTGGAAGTCTGAGTGCTGGCGGAGCTGGGAGATATGGATCAGCTTCTCCTAGATGGGGCAGGCACAGCTTTGCAGACACGCCTGGGCTGCTCACCATTTCTCCGTGTGGACATTTTCATATCTCCTTTTTTTTCTACTATGGTATAGCCCATTTATTATGGTCTGTCACATGTGTTTTTTGGACAGTGAATGATTCTCGTGGTATTCCAAGGAGACCGTTGGGAATTGTGCTGTCAGCACTCCAAGAACAATGAGGAAAGCCAAAAATAACTGTTTACTTTTGGTAATGAGAGCACACAGGCCTCTCCTGGGGATGTGGGGAGTTCGCACAGGTCCAGCGGGGGCCTGGGGCTGGGAGCATCAAAGGGATGTTGGCCTGGATAGGGTTAGAGATCAGCACGCACCTGGCATTTCACCCAGATGGGCTCTGCCAAATGAGAAAACAACTTGTAGATCCTTGCTTTTTGTTCTGACAGTTCAGGTGTTGCTCTGCTCCCATCCTCCCTTCATGTTATTCCCATTCCCATTTGTGATCAGGATGCATTAACCCTCACTGTTCTCTCTTCCAGTTTCTGGGCTACCTCCGCGCCTGTGACCGGCTGCTGAAGCAGGGCTATGAGGAGGGGCAGGTGGAAGAGGCCATGGAAATGTTCCAGTACTCGGAGAAAAAGGTCAGCAGCACAGTGCAGCCTTTTGTGTTTTGTCCATTTCCACCCCCTCCCCCCTGCCTCCTGGTGCCACCTCCTGCCAGGTCAGGCCCCATCACTCTGCAGGAAGTGAACCCCCATAGACTGCAAACAGGGCTCAAAGCTCCAGGAGAGCATGGTGTGGCCATAAGGACTTGCAGAGGACAGACTCACCTCATGCTGTGTGAGCATGACACTGGTGTGGGAATCCCATACCCAGGCATGCTTGTTGCCTCCTGGCTTCCTGTCTCCTCATCCCATAGCAGGACTGGCACTGGTCCCTATCAGCAGTCCCACTGTTTGGGCTGGTGTAGGATCCTGCTCACCTCTTGTACAAGGCTTAGCACTGGGATGGTGCTGCGTCAGGGCAGGAGGTGTGGTTTGCTGAGAACAGGATTCTGGGTGAGCTGTGGTGATGAGGCTCTCCCTGAGCAATGGGAGAAAGAGGAGCAATGAATGACAGAAATTCCCCAGTCTGGTGTGACAGTTCCACAGTGCAAACACGTGAGTGGAACTCGTATTCAAGAAGAATAAATGAAGTTAGAGGCTGACTTTATTAACTAAAGAAAGACTTAATGCATAAAGACTGTTAAAAGTTAGCACTTGTCCTGGCAGCAGGATCCACGGTGCCCTTCAGCAGTAATACAACCCCGTGGGATTATCTGGCCCTGCTGCACAGCGCCTGCTGAAATGTCGCGGTGAATGCGTCCTCACAGCCCGGCAGTAACATCGCTCCTTTCCCTCCTCCTTTCAGGCAGCTGAATTCCTGCACTTGTTAGCTCAGTTCAATGACATGGGTTTCCAGCAAAATGAAATCAAAGAAGTCCTCCTGCTCTGTGGGAACCAGAGGGACAAGGCACTGGAAGAGCTCATGATGAAGAGGCAGTGAATGTGCCCTACAAAGCAGGATGCATCCTGCTGCCCATCCCTTTCTTGGCCACATTTACAAATACAGCCACATGCAGATTCTTACACCGTGATATAAATCATCTGAACTGATTGTTTTTACAAAAGCTGAGTGCTTTTTGCAGGAACATTGGTTCTTCCTTTCTTGGGAAGATTCTCAGCAGACTTTATGACGTTTGAATGTAGTGACGGGAAATCTAGATGTTAGCGTCTCCTTGTGAACTAGAAACTTGAGAAAAATGCACAGCTCAGTGAAAGGCACAGGGAGAACACGGGCTGAGGTTGCTCTAGATAGCTAATGTGTGACTTTTGATCCAGGACAGTGCAAAATGAGCTTTACGCTCAGGAACTGTCATGAAATCTGAACAGAGAGATGGATGACTGGCTCGCCTCTGCCTTTTATTAAGCAAATTCAAAGGGTGCTTCTCTAAATGGCAAATACAGTGGCTCAAAACCAGGTTTAGCACAAACACTGTGATCAGGAGAATCTGGGTGCCTGGGGGAGTTCCTGTGTATGGACAACAGGAGATTCAGATTGCCTTATGGGACATTGCTCTTGTTTTGGCTGTGGAGCAATGGATGATGTTCTCACATAGAAATACATTATTTCCCTGTCAGTTAACTACAGATGTAGTTTATCAGAGTAAAGATGCTCGGAGGGGTTCTTATAAAAAGTATTAATGTCTTTTCCAATGAAAATGCCAACTGGCGCAACCTAGCAGAGACAACTCCTAATGAGTCCCAAAGTATTTACCATTTTCCATGGTGTCCTTCCAAGCGGTCTCCTTGCAGTTCAGCTGAGTTAATGCAGCAAAATTAATTAACTCCTGCTCCACATCTCTCTGATCAGCTCCCAAACACAGGCATTCGGGTGTAGCTCTCTATGGCTGCCTCCATCCTTGCCAAGTGCCAGAGTGACAGTGACAATGTGCATCCAGATTTTGGCCTGGAATTGACCTTTCCGTACCCGCGAGTGGGTGTTTTACACAGGTGCTGTGATCAACATCTCCTTTGGATGGCGAAGGGAGATATTCTGCTAGTAAAAAGGGCAGGGAAACTGCAGTCAGTGGGGCATGGAGTGGCAGGGCAGATCCAGATCCATCCATCCATGCTGTGCCAACGTGGGGAGTGGCTTTGTCCTGACCTCCTTGCACCAAATCAGCCAACATGGGGCAGTCATCCTTCTCCAAAGCACAATGCTTTTGGAACCCATCTGCACAGCAAGCTCCCAGGCTCTTCTTGGAGCACCCATTTCTGCTTTTCCTGCAGAGCTCTTGCTTGGTTATACAAGTTTTTATTTTTGATATGGTCCTTATAAGGCAAGTCTGTTCTACAGGAGGCTTTTTGTTACGTTAAGCCTTGCCAAGATGATGTCACCTTCAGCAGAAACTTGCAAAAGGTTGAGCTATGATTAGATTGACTGCACTGGGTCTAACTGTGGTCTTTTGGCAGAGTGGACACCATTAAGATTGGAAGGGGCAGATAATGGTGGTGTTCTCATGCCAGCAGTGCAAGTGCTAAATACTGGTGCAATGAATTTGCAGCACCGTGCCCACTCACTGTGCAAAGGCTGAACAGTTTCTCATGCTGGCTCATATTTTTTCCCCCGCTTGCAGAGGTACGAACAGCATCTTTCTGCTTCCCTCTATGTTACAGTCTGTACCACGATCTGATGACACAGATGCAACCACATTGCTCCTCTCTTGGAACATCCATGCCACACTCAACAGCACCTGCCAAGACTGCCAAGAAGAAGTCAAATCTATTTTCTTTGCTGTTTGAGCTACATCGTCTCCTTCTCCTTTCAGATTGGACATTAGCAAAAATTTCTCCAAGAGTGGTCAGGCACCAGAATGGGCTGCCCAGGGAGGTGGTGGAGTCACCATCCCTGGGGGTGTTTAAGAAACATTTAGATGTAGTACTGAGGGACATGGGTCACTGGGGAAATGGTGGTGGTGGGGGGAGAGTTGGACTGGATGATCTTGGAGGTCTTTTCCGGTCTAGGTGATTGATTCTAAGACCAGACTTTTCAGTGGTTCTACAGTAATAATCTATTTTTGGTGGTGTTATATTTGCCAACTTGCAAACTGTTGAAAAAACGGTGCACAAAGGTGGGGTAGAAGTTGTGCTGCTTGGTGGTATTGGAGCTGGAAGGAATGGGAGAGGCTGCCAAGTCAAATGGCCTTGGGTTACTTACAGCAGCTCGCCGTAAATACTTGAGTAACAGAATTATTTGAACTTTATATTGATGGAGTCTTTAAGCTGGTTGTTCAACTTAGCATGGTTTAAAACAGAGTGCTGCTTCCAGTTAGGAGAAGACAGCATAAAATGTTAATGGGCTTCGTCTGAGAAGGGAGCGTGGATTGGACTTGATGGGATTTATGCTTGCAGTGTGCCTGGCGAGCGCCGGCAGCTCCTCTGAATTCCTCACCAGGGAAGGCATGAGGTGACAGCAGCGCCAATGGAGGCGGATGGAAAACACAGCCCTGTTGGATGGAGCCAATGTGGGGCTGCTCCTGGGACTGGGGTTGATGCTGGGGCTGTGGTTGCTACTTCCCTGTCCCAAGCAGGGTTGAAGGGCAAATGGGGACAGGCACATACAGTGTTTTAAATAAGGTCATGGATGCAAGCTTGGGTTTTTCTTGTCTGTTTTGGTTGATTTTTTTCTTCTCTAATGCACTCTGTTTTGAAAATGCTGAGAACTTGGCGAGGGTCAGCAGTGTAAGTATTTGAGGCATCCAGCTGGTATTCCCTTCCCTCCTCATGCGAGGAGCACAGCTAGCCTGGGGCATGGGAGCCCAGCTGGGCGTTATTTGGGGTCTGATGAGTGCATGACTGCTGGATTGACTCTGGTCCCCATCTCCCTTGAGGGACAAGCAGAATGAAGGATTCAGGGACACAGCTAGTGGGCGTGGTAGGGATAGGCTGATGGTTGGACTTGATGATCTTAGAGGTCTTTTCCAACAGTAATGACTCTATGATTCGGCAAGGGGATGAGGGCAGCCCTTCTCCACTCATCTCCTGGGCAAAGCCTGGAGTTGTTGCTGAGGACAACCTTCAGCATCATGGGATTGAGTCCCAGCAAGACAGCTTATCTGGCTGCAGAGCTCCCTTGACCAAGGAGACCTGGCAGCCTGGCATCTGCACAGTCTGAGTGCAGCCCTGCTGGTGCTCTCTCCTCTCCTTTCATTTTTGCAAGTTTGCCATGTCCTAAAAATACCCTCTGGATCAAATGAGAGCATTTGGGTCTGCTGGGAGCTGGCAGGCAGGCTTGGAGGAGATGACGGTTGTCTATGGCACTCATGGGCATGATGGATGGTTCTCAGGGAGGAACCTGCTCACTCTGGACCACAGCTTTCTCCTGTGTGGGTTTTTGGAGATAAACTCCTCACGATCTTTGCCCTCCACCCCCCTCCTGTGTCCCTTTGTCCCCTCATCCCAGGTGATGTCTCCCCAGGGAGCTCGGGACTGCCTGAGAACTGCGTGAGCAGCTCCGAGTGCTGCTGCAGCTGAAAACACTCAGCAGGCAGGAATGGGTCTTGATGTGGGTCCTCTGTTAGGAGGTATTTTCCTTCAGGAGGAGAAAGGAACACAAGAGAAGAGTAATGAAAAACACAGGGCTTTCTACAGCTTTCCTTTTAATTCCAGGATATAAGGAACCATTAGAGCAGAGAGCAGGTTTTATGCTGCATATCTTCAGTATGCAGTCCAAATAAATATGTCTGCATTCTCCAGAGCCTGTTCTCTGCAGAAGCCACAAAGCCCTGTGTGCCCTGGGCTCGCCCTTCATGGTGCTTTGCACGAGGCTGCTGTGACAGCAGCTCCTGTCGCCCCTTCCCCTATCGCAGGGTGCCTCGTCACCTCTGGGTCCGACGTGGAGTATCCTTGGCAAGAGGAGGAGAGGAGCCCAGGGGAGCTGTGCACAGAGCTGAGACCATATGCAAGGAGAGCACCCCGAGGTGGGGAGCGGACGGCTACGTGGCGATGTCGTGATTGCGCCGGGGCAGCCGCAGCAGGAAGGTCTGCAGGGAGCCGCTGCGCGGGAAGCCCGCCCGCTCCTTCTTGACCCTCCAGGCCTCCTCCTCCACCGAGTAGAGCTGCGTCAGCATCTTGTTGACGGTGTACACCGTGTCACCCTTGATGGTGGCAGTGAAGAGAGCTCCTTTGCTGTTCATGAACTGCCCGGGCAGAGCCGTCCACTGCCGTGACCTCAGGTTGAAGCAGTCGATGACGCAGCGCAAGAAGTCGTCTCCGGGGCCGTTGCGCATGACGTAGAGGTTGTCACGGTGGGCCACCATGCAGTGCCCGTAGCTCTGGTGCCGCTTGAGCTCGGTGACGGGAAGCCAGGCGTCCTGCTGGCTCTCGTACTCGTAGATGATGGTGGTGTCCGATGGCTTCCACAAGCAGACGAAGATCTGCCCCATGGCCTGGGCGCAGGGTGCAGCCGAGCTTGGCTGCGGCAGATCAGAGACGAACGTCCAGGTGTTGGAGGCCACGTCGTACCTCTCCACAGACTTGAGCGAGATCTTCTCGTACTCCCCGCCAATAGCATAAAGGCAGCCCTCGTGGCCCACCAACCGGACGTCGTAGCGCAGCTGGTGTGGGCTGGGGAACTCGCTCCAGGCGTCGGTGTCGGCGTCGTAGCAGAAGCTGCTCTCCACCACCTGCTTGCTGGCCCCGTAGACGCCGCCCACAATGTAAATCTTGTTGTCCATGGTCGCCATGCCGGCTAGGAACGTGCTGGCGCTCAGCGGCAGGCAGGAGAGCGTCCTCCATGTGTTGCTCTCCTCGTCCAGGTAGCAGATAGTCCTGGAGAGGTCCTCCAGGAACTCGAAGGTGGGCGTGTGGGCTCCCACCGCCACGAAGGTGCTGGGCAGCAGGGCCTGCACATAGGCCAGCAGGTCGGCGGGCAGACAGCCCAGGTGCTCCTCCAGCTCGGCGTAGCTGTCCCGGATGTAGAGCGCAGCACAATGGAAGAGGTCCAGGAGGCCAAACACAGCGGCAGCGTGGTACAGCAGGAGGCAGTTGTCAGAGTCGATGGAGTGGATGAGGTACTTGGCCAAGGGCTTCACCTGCAGGAAGGCTGCACACTCCACTGCCTGGAAGGTCTCCTCGCCACCCAGCGCGGGCCGCTCGCCCGCCAGCACACGCAGCATGGCCAGGAATCCAGCAGCGCTCAGCCCGCCCAGCCCGATCTCCTCCTGCGTGCTCTCCCTCATGCCCGAGTGGAACAGGGCACGGAAGTACTCGCTGCTCTCCACCAGCAATGCCTTCTCCACCGAGAAGCACTGCTCCTCCACGCGGATCCGCACCCTTCCCGAGGGCCCTACCCGTGCACCTTCATCCTCCGGGCTCATCCTGCCCGGCTCTGGGGCAGCCCCTCCTCGCTGTGCCCACCCTCGGGTGTCTGCCCTGCGTCCCGGCGGTTGCTCGCTGTAACCTAAATCCTTTCAGCTAAAGATAGCCTGGCTCGTGATCGGCCCCCGGGCAGCATGCCCCTTCCACAGGCTCTGTCCGAAAGCACAGCGAGGTTCCCTTGTGGCTGTGGGGCTGCTGGCACATTGGGGCATCCTTCTCATTTCCCATCACAGGCCATGGGCATCACAGGGCGGGCTGCACGTGGCTGCCCTCCCTGCTGGGAAGAGCACAGGGCTGTGCTATTTTTTCTCTATTTTTTCCCTTAGTTGTATGGCCGCAGTGGGGGACGGATGTCAGCAAATCTCCGTGCCTTCAGCTCGGCCGTGGGAAAGGGGCTCTGCACGGCCCAACGCAGGAAGAGCCCTTTTTGGGTTCTTCCTGGGGCTGCCCCAGGAGGAGCAGTGGGGGCAGAATCCATCCCTGGTCAGTAACACAGTGTGTGCTCTGTGGGGACGGTGCAGGCGCAGTGTCAGTGCAGCAGTGGGGCACCAATGGTGGCAGTGCTGTGCTCCCCAAAAGGTCCCTGTGCAGAAGAAGGGTGAAGCTTTGCTGCACCCTGTGCTGGGAAGCAGAGCTTTCCCAGATCGGTAATGGCTTAAGGAAAGAAGTAAGATTTCTTTTGGATTGCTTTGGATCACTCTCCATCTGTATCCAAAGGGGGATGTAGGGCAGGGGCGTGTTGCCATCCCCCCAAAAATCAGTCCCCAAGTGTCTGTCCTTCCTTCCCCGGGGGGTTGATCCAGTCCCCCCCTTGGGACAGCTTGCTGGGACTTCCACGTTCACAGGCTATTTTGGAAGGGTTTAAAAATATCCTCCACTCACTCCTGGGCGCTGATGCCGCCCGCACCCCGGATTGGGGCTGTGCACGGACCGTGGGGGCCGCGTCCAGCCCCATCTGGGAGCCCCATCCCAACCGCTGTGATCTCCATGACAACGCTGCCTCCAGCTCCCACCTCCTCCCCGGGTTTGGATCCCATTGTGCTGATGGCTCGGGGCGGTCGGCAGCGGTGAGTACTGCCTGTGCTCTGTTCTCCCCATGCGTTTTGGGTGGAAAAAGGGTGGTTTTGTGCTTGCTTGTTTGTTTTCTCCCCGCTAACCTTGCCGGCAGCAGACGTTATCCATGCTGAAGTGCATCTTGTATCGAAGGAGCAGGGAACGCACAGGGATAGATGGAAGCACACTGTGCCGGTGGGAGATGCGCTGAGCGCGCTGTCCTCAGCTGAGTGGCACAGGGGAAGCTAGGAGGGTCTGTGCCCATTGGGGGGTCCCAGCAAGGCGCACTGGGATCATTGATGTGCAAAGGCGATACCAGCCATTGTCCCTCTGCAAATTTGCTGCGGGGGCAATGCAGGCAGAGGGACGGCAGTAGGGTGGCCGGGGACGCGTGTCCAGTCCGGCCCCGCGCGGCAGCTTGCCTTACAAGGAGTTTGGCTGCGACCCGAGCGGGGGGAGCAGCACTCGCCTCCTCCTGCCTCATTCATTGCGAGCGGCACTGGGGCCGCTGCTCCCCGGCACCGCCGTGACCTCCGAGCGTCCAACATCCCAGCGGCAGGTGGGACGCTGCTTTCTCTCTTTTCGGGGTGGGGGTAGAAATGGGGTCCCCCCATCGTTGCTTCGCTCTCTCGCAGGACCGAGGATGGCCTCGATGTTCGGCAAACCGCGGGTCAGCACCGAGCGACCGCCGCAGAGCTCCGTGGCAGAGTGCAACGTGGCCATCCTGGGGTGCCGGGGGGCTGGAAAGTCAGGTGGGAGCAGCGCTGAGCCGCAGCTGCTGTATGGCTTTTCGGGAGCCGCGGGTGCCTGCACCGCTCCTGCTTCCAGCATTGGCACCACTGCAGCATCCCTGCCCCGGTGCCGGGCAGCATCCCTGCGACAAGGGGGTTTTGTGTGTTTGGGAAAGGAGAAAGTTCCTCTGCAATCGTTCCAGAGCCCCCTGGGTCATGTGCACGGCTGTGGCTGCGTTTGCTTGTTTTGCATGTGATTCCCTTGGATGTATATTTATATTAATGGCTTTGTGGACCTTTTGGGTAGCAGCAATGTTTCCATCTGTGCGATTTGGGGCTGTGTTCTGCATGAGTCCTGCAGGGAAGCACACATGTCCCAAAAGTGGGTGCCCGGAGGCCATCCCTGTGCCCCACTGGTGAGGTGAAAGTCTTTAAAAATCATCAAATCGTAGATGTTTGGCACAGAATGGCTTTCTTCTTAGTGCAAAGAAAACAACATTGCTCTCTGAGAGGCAATCCTGGGGAAGCGTGGGACAAGTGGGCAGGATTTGGGGGAAAAAAGTTGCTTTTGGGCTGGGAAAAGGGGTAGAAGGCAGATGGGAGAGGGGTGAACAGCCCCACTGCTGCCTGTGGGTGGGGTGTGCGGTGATGGGAGGTGACAGCACGCTGCTCAGTGGGGTGACCATGCCATCCTCCTCCACCTCCTGCAGCGCTGACAGTGAAATTTCTCACCAAGAGGTTTATCAGCGAGTATGACCCCAACCTGGGTAAGGCATTTCTCCCCCCAGTTATTGTACCCCAGCTTTCCCTGCATGTCCCCAACGTGCTCTGTTTCCCATCTCCCACACTTCCCACGAGTACAGCATCTAAAGGGGAGATAAAAAAACAGCACGGCACCAAAAAGCAAAACAAGCAAACAAAACCCACCAAATAAATAAACAAACCCAAAAGACATGAGAAATGTCAAAAGGGCTGAATTCAACTCAAAACAGGCGCGTCCCATAGGAAGCAGTGATTCCTTGTATCACCTCACCAGATGTGGCCCCCCATCACTCTTTGGGGTGTTGGGCAGAGATGGGAAGTGCTGCACTGCAGGTGTCCCTGGGGACCGCGTGGTGCCGTGGAGTGGCTCTGGGCAATTTCTTTTCCACTCTGTTTGAGTAATTAATAACTATTTTCCTGGGCTTGTTTCCAGTCTGCAGTGAAGAGCTGTAAATGATTTATCGGGGACGTTCAGGAGATATGGAGCCTGTCCAGGAAGTGGCTCCAGCCCCTAATCGCTTTTAGGAAAGAAGGAAAAATCCTCTGTTCAGTTTCACAGCAGCTCTGCCATCTTCCCACGGCAAAACCTCCCCAAAAGGCACCCACCAGGAGCAGCCACGAGAAGGCATCCCCCAGTGGAGGAGCCCTCCTGGTTCCCAAAGCGAGGCCTTGCTGCTTTTGCCTGAGTGATGGGTGCTCAGCCCCGTGCTGAGCCCTTGGCTGCCACGTCTCACTGGGTCGTGGCACTGAGATAAGGGCTGAGCCAGGGGGTGATGGCCATGCTGGAGCCCATGGTGGGGGTGGAGAGCAATCAGCCCCCACTTGCAAAAATGCAGCAGATTCTGGGGTTAAATTTCAAGGAGATGAATCCTGTCAGGTTAGTGAGGCTGTGGTTAGGGTGGTTCAGAGTGGGTGGGGGCTCGATTTCTTGCCAGATGGTGACAGGAGGTGGAAAGAACAAATATGCCACCCTGCTTTCTGCATGCAGTGGGAGAAAGCAGCTCCCAGCCAGGCCTCTCCCCACTGCATCCTTCCCAAATGACGCTGTTGGAAGGAGCACAATGTGTCTCCCAGCAGAAGATGCTCCTTACCATAAGCTGAGCTATTTCCATGACACCCCAGCCGGGCTTTTCCTGGCACTGGGGATGCACAACCCATCCTCAGAGCCACCCTTGCCTTGCAGAGGACACCTATGCCTCGGAGGAGCTGGTGGACCAGCAGCCCGTGCTGCTGAAGGTGATGGACACGGCCGACCAGGTGAGGGCCGGGCAGCGCCGGTTCCACAGTGACGTGGTACCATGCTCACCTGCTCCTCTCATCCCCAGGACGGCCCCGTTAACTGCGAGCGCTACCTGCACTGGGCCAATGCCTTCCTCGTTGTCTACAGCATTGACAACAGGAGGAGCTTTGAGGGCTGTGGCCGCTACCTCGATGTCCTCGCCCGGCATGCGCGGGGCTGCCAGCGCCAGAGCCCCGTGCTGCTGCTGGGCAACAAGCTGGACATGGAGCAGTACAGGTACCCACCGCCCTTCTTTTCCCAGTGGGAAACGGCCCCGCTGCCAATGGGGCAGTGTGCTTGCTCGGAGCCCATTGCTGCCTTTGGTGGGATGCCTTGGGGTGGCTATGGGGCCTTGACAAGCTGAGCCTTCATCCCACTGGTCCTCAACCAGTGGTCCTGCTCTCAAGACCTGTCCCCTTTCCAAGGGGTTCTGTCATCACCTCCACACCCTACACCCTCACTTGCCTTTCTTTGTTGTCCCATCGTTGCCAAAACAAGAGGACCCCTCATTCCTTTCTAGTGGGCCAAGTGCATCAAGTGAGACCATGCCGTTGCCCCCTCCACTCTCCTCAGGCAGGTGACCAAAGCCGAAGGGACGTCCCTGGCCACCAAGTTTGGGTGCCTGTTCTACGAGGTGTCGGCGTGCCAGGACTTCGCAGCGGTGCAGCACGTCTTCCACCAGGCGGTGCGGGAGCTGCGGCGCGAGGCAGAGCACAGCCCAGCCCTGCGGCCTCTCTTCGTTGCCGAGGAGCAGCCCTGCCTGGCCATGGCCACTCGGCACGGCCTGGCCAGCTGCACCATCAACACTCTGTCTACTGTCAACCTCAAGGAGATCCCCTCGGTGGCCCAAGCCAAGCTGGTCACTGTCAAGTCGTCGCGGGCTCAGAGCAAAAGAAAAGCGCCCACGCTCACCTTGCTAAAAGGTTTCAAGATATTTTGAGGTGCATCCCTTCCTTGTTCTGCACGGGGCTGGTAGCACCAGGAATGGGGACTTCATCCCACTGACCCTGCACAGCCCTGCCTGGGTGATGTATCTGTGGACTGGGGCTCCACCTGGAGCCAAGAAGCATTGCTGGAGAGCCATGCTGTCCACGGCTGCTCGGGCTTCCATGTGTGAATGGGACCACGCACCAGCAGGCAGATGGGAGCCCCAGGAGTGTGAACCACTCCTTAATCAAACACAGAGACACCTGTGTCTCATGGGTCCCCTCACCAAGCAATAACTAGGAAGAATTTATTTTTTTCCTCCAAATGAGAAAGATGTGGATAATGTCACAGCTGACTATGGGCCTCAGGTGCCCTAAAACCGGTCCCTGTGCATTGAAATAAGTAACACCAAAACAGCTGGTTTTTTTTTTAACCAACTTTTTACAGGACAATGTTCCTTTTCAAAGGTTTTGCAAGCAAAGATGCTTCACCACATTCTTAAAAGCTTTTCTTTAAAAAAACTGTTCTCTTTTCCAAATGTCTTAAGTTATTTCATGGCCTCCACGTGTGCCCTGTGAAGGGTGTGAAGCAGATCCTACTGCAGAGTGCTGTGTGCCATGAGCAGGCTCTGCCCGTGCCAAGGCCCAGGGCTGTGTGCTTGTGTTCCTTGAGGTGAATGTTCTGCCTCTCCCCAGAGTCGCATCTATCCGCAGAGTAAGATTTCCATGTGCATAAATGTACATATATTCATATAGATACGACTAGAGTGATATATAGAGATTCAATACAGGATTTTGATCAAGCACTTTGGAAAATATTTTAATAAAGGTAACTTTTGAAAAAGAACAAACACTCCCCTGCTTCATTGTCAGTGTTTCCACATCTGCAGGTGAGGGCATGGTCCCTGGCTGACTGTGAGCCCCCAACTCTCCTCCCACCCCAGCAGGTGGCAGCTGAGCGTGGGGCGTAAAGATCAGCCAAACGAGGCTGCAGCGGGGAGGCACAGGTTTGCCTCTGAGACCTGAGCCACTTCTACTGACACAGCTCTGCTGTTTTCTTTTCTTTTTTTTTCTTTTTCCTTTTATTTCTTTATTTTTTCCAGGTAAAATTTTTCAACTTTTTGATCTTCTGTTGCTGTGAATTGAGATATTCTGGTAGGTTCCTTAGGGCCTAACTGCCCTAAGGCGTTTGACATCAGCTGTTACATGGCATCCTCTGCTGTCTCTCTGTACAGAGTGGTGACAGTCCCATCCTTCCACTGAACCAGCACCTCTCCCGATCTCTCGTCCTGTGGCAGCGGCTCTGGCTTCTGCAGGCTTTCTGGGCTGTATTCTGGCACTGGTAGAAGGGCTTGCTTGCTTTCCAGCTCAGAATTCTGGGGAGCTTGCACTGCTTCTTTATGCTTCTTCCTTTTCCTGCAGCGAGAGCATAAAAAGGAACTAAGGAGTGAAGCAGTGAGCCAGGCCCACGTTTGGGGTGCGTGCCTACCCGAGGTGACTGCTCCCTCCATCTCTCTGCACGCTCAACACTGGGAATACTTCAACTGCTTACAGGAAGCTCTGCCAGCTGCACTGTGTCATGTAAGTGGTCTCAAGTGTTTGAGTACACACAGCCACAGTGTTTACATTTGAAGAACACACAGTGCACCACATCGCTTAAAGCAAGGCAGTAACACTCAGCAAGCCACCATTTAAATGAGAGGATGGCAGGGCAGACCTGCAGCATCTCTGTTGCTCTTACTTCAAGATGAAAGCTCTGACGCAGGTGTATGTTTTCTCACCCTAGAAGGCAGTGAGTTATCCCTCAGCTAAACGACTGTTGTGCAATGGGACAGCACACTCCCACACTGTGGGAATGCAGATGGCTGAGAAGTCCTGCTTGAGTCCCTGAGTGCTCCTGTACTTATAGGAGAGCACCTCACATACACATATTTACAGAATCACAGAATCACAGAATCGTAGGGGTTGGAAGGGACCTCCAGAGATCATCGAGTCCAACCCCCCTGCCAAAGCAGGATCCCTACACCAGGTCGCACAGGTAGGCGTCCAGGCGGGTCTTGAATATCTCCAGAGAAGGAGACTCCACAACCTCCCTGGGCAGCCTGTTCCAGTGCTCCGTCACCCTCACTGTAAAGAAGTTCTTGCGCACATTGGTGCGGAACTTCCTATGCTCCAGCTTCTGGCCATTTCCCCTTGTCCTGTCTCCGCACACTGCTGAAAAGAGTCTGGCCTCGCCACTTTGCCCCCCACACCTTAGATATTTATAGACCTGGATCAGGTCCCCTCTCAGTCTTCTCTTCCCAAGGCTAAACAGACCCAGCTCACCCAGCCTTTCCTCATAGGGGAGATGCTCCAGGCCCTTCACCATCTTTGTGGCTCTCCGCTGGACTCTTTCCAAGAGATCCCTGTCTTTTTTGTACTGGGGAGCCCAGAACTGGACACAGTACTCCAGATGAGGCCTTACCAGGGCAGAGTAGAGGGGGAGGATCACCTCCCTCGACCTGCTGGCCACGCTCCTTTTAATGCACCCCAGATAATGGCATTTTCCTCCTAACACATCTCTTGGGCTAGCCAATGCTTTGACAGATGCTTTACTAAGGATTCACAGAGAAGTAAAGTGGCTTGTTCTGAGTGACACATGAGGAGAGCAAGGAGCCATGCAATGTTTTACAATGAACTGTCCCTCTGTTTGAGGCTCTTACTGCACCACCACACCTCAAATGACCCCTAAGTTTTCCCCAACTTACCTGTTTCGTGAAATGTTAATGGCCAGAAGGACAAAACCCAAAATTGTGACCACAAAGGAAAGCACAAGGATGGAGTAATTCCATGCTGATGCTGGGGAAAAGCACAAACAGGCAGTGTTGGCATGCATGGAGAAGTGTGGCCTGCAGAGCCCAGCCAGGTTTTCTCGAGAATCCCTACACTCTTGCTGCTATATCTCAGCTGCAGGCTGAGGCCAGAGGTGTTCAGCATCAAGAGCAGAGCCCTCAGCTCTTGTTTTTGGAGATAACCCCAGCCAACCCTCCCTTACTGGGCTGGAGACTTGCAGAATTGATTCCTGCCTGTCACAGCTCCCCAAACCATATCACAGCAAAGCCTCATGCCTTGGCCTCAGGCATGTCCCACTTCTTTTGGAGGTGAAACAGAGGGTTTGTATTTCTGGGGTAAATAATCCCCTTAGATAAATCTCTCAGGCACCTCAATTAGGCAGGAGGGTTCACATCCAGGAATTATACATTTCTATGTCAACTCTCAACCCCAAAACATCGATAGGACTTACGGTCTTCTCTGCGGAAGAACCACAGCAGCTCCTCCAGCTTTTCTGGCTCCATATCCAGCACAAGTTCAGCACTGAATGCTGTGTGGTCATACACACGTGTGCTGGTAAGGGCTGCGGGTAAGTAGCTATATTGTGCTGCTGTGGAGGAAAAGAACAGAAAGATATGGTGGTCTTTCACTGCAGGCAAAAAATAGCCTTCCCCTTAGCTCCCAGGGTTGTCCATGACATCTCTTCAAGCAAACAGAATGAAGCTCTGATGCATAACCTTGTTTTATATGCTCAGAAAGTAGGGAGCATCTTTGATGAATGCATTTTTGCAGGTCCCAAGTGGGGCACTCAGGGCTGGAAAGACCCCAGGATGCTCACTGCCCTCCCACATTCCCCAGCAGTGCGTGTCACGGGGCCCCATGGGCAGCACTGACCTGCTTTCTCCTTGCACACACTCCTCTCTGCAGTGCTTTGCCACTGAGCCTTGAGACCTCTCACATTATCGAGCGTGACTCCTTTTTTGCTTGCCACCAGGTAGCCCTGGCTGCTGCCCAGAGGAAAGAGCAATGAGTTGGAGCAGTCCCACCTTGTGAAGCCCATGCTGTCACAAGGACTTGTCTGCACTCTGTTGGCTTCCACCACGGAGAGGCAGCTCTGTGTGCCACGATTCCTCAAATAATCTCCTTGCCAAACCCAGTTCTGGAAATCTGATGCTGAATTACAGTCCGACAGCAATAAATTCCCGTCCGTTGGGCTGGCTTGTAAACACTGTTTGATTTTAGCATTCTGCAGCAGGAAAGCTTCAGTGTCTGCAAAGAAATCAGAATATAAGTGTGAACACCCACACGCAGTTTGTGTGTCACCCTCACGACAGTCAGGTGTCTTCCTTGATGCAAAAGAGGTTGCAATACTGCTGTGAGCAAAGGTCTAGGGTGCAGACTTCCTTATGGCTAGGCCCAGCTGCTCATGGTGTACTGTGAGAAAAAGAGGGCCCATGTCCTGGAGACGGAAAAGACCTGTTTCCAGACAGCTGTATGCATGCCTCTGCCATGATACTACATGTGCACACTCAAAGAGGTGTTTGTCCTCAGCCAGTGAGGCGTTTGTAAGGTCATACAACAAGGCTGGAAACACTTGTACATGGGCCTCCAGCTCCTGTGAGCCTGCCCTGCACACAATGTCATGCTGTAACCCCTGCTGCGCCTGGAATGGGTGAGTCTATAAAGAGGCACAGCCCTAGCAAATGTAACCTTCTTCACCCACACCATTGTGCTCTAAGCTAACACTACCTTGCAGCAGAAAAAATGAGATTATCCAGAGTAACTTCATATTTGTCTGTGCAACTGGGGTGGATCACGACTTCACCAGTGTTTCTTCAGTGTGCAGATTCCTGGGAAAGAAAGGCAAGAGGTGAAGATTCTGTCACCAAGAGCCCTGGAAGTTACATGAGTTATTGCGCACAAGGAGTGCAGACAGTGGGCCATTGTGTTCTCTTCTGATGTCTACAGAAGATGAGACAAAAGTACAAGTAGAAATGATAATCTTTTAAACAAATCTGTGCTCATAAGGGTGTGGGATGAGGGAGGAGAAGGCTCACCTTCAAGAGGAATAATAGCCTGCTTGCCATTGAGGCAAAGGTATCTCCCATTCATACGGGAAGCAGAAAGCAATTCCTTGACCTTTAGTCCCCCATTTGTCAGTGGCATTAGTCCAAGTTTTATAGCTGCTTGTCCAATGTAGTTCTTCAGCCTCCCTTAGAGGGCCCTGATCTGAGCAGAAGACTTTCAGTTTCCCTGGTCCCATCCCACCCAGCTTGACTGTATCTCTGCCACTTCCCAGTCCATGAGGCAGGCAGGACCATGTGAGCTTGGCCAGTTTTGTCCACACAGCCCATAAAAGCACAGCTTGAGCGCAGCCAGCACTACCGAGGATACTGCCTGGAGACTAATGACTGCCAATGGAAGGAATGGAATCAGAGGCAAGGAAAACTGTCCATTCTAAGTTATCTTGAGACCAGAAGTGTTGGATCTACTCAACCCACTGCTCAGCCACAAGGCAGTAGAGATGCTGTCACTGCTCACTGGCTTTATCTGAATTGTCATCCACTCATAGGTGAATGGCCCCACAGGCGATTAATTATTATATGAAGGCTGGACTTTAGTGGCTGTCTGATACTCACAACTTTTAATTGTATTTATAGCATGGCCAGGAGCTGACTGAAGCTGTTCCCTGGAAGTCACTCACAGACATGTTCCACAGCGCCAGTTGTGTCAGTAACGCTCCAGCTGACTCCTTGGGCAAGCGTTTGTCCTATCGGTTATAGACCTAATGATTGCTCCCATTTCCACCCCCCACTCTCAATGTCTTCACAATTCAAAGTCCACAGTTTATAGCCAATCATGCATGCAGGCTTGCTCCCTGCTGCCAGAATTTCTCCTGTTAGCGATGCTTTAGGACAGGACTCTGAAATATATCACGTGGTCTGCTTTGATCTTACACTTCGGAATATACAAATAAAACTGTTTGCAGCAGTTAGGTATGCCAATAACCTCATGGTCCAGGTAAGCTTTAGCTGTTCACACAGCTCACTCCCCAGAAAGGAGGAAATGGAGTGCTGGTGCCAACGAAACCAACTTATAAGTCTGCTACACCCTTGTAAGAAATGCCACCTGAATGTGTTAAATCTTGCTGTGCAGGGCTTTTGTCTAATCATTTGCTTGAGCAGGAATATTTGACATACTTATTGCAGATTTTCTCCTGAGGTGTTCCTCAACTGGAGAGACACCTCTGAGCAGCTGCACAGCAGGAACACTCCAGAAGACTGCTAAAAGATGCCTCTTGGGAAAATGGATATTTATCTTGTATTAGCAGGACAAACAGGTAAAAGCCTTTAAAGGAAACTCCTGTTATTATAAGGATCTTTTACATCCACACTGAACTGACCAAACTAGTTTGGAAGTTTCGTTCACCAAAGCTACAAAACAAAGTGCTCTCGGGTCTGTCTCCACCCCAGGGGAGAGCTCCCTCAGGACTGTCGATCCTCCACGTGTGGCTGTCCAGTGCGATCCAGAACACTGCCTGCACCACCAGTTTACCCAGTAAGGACCAGTGAGCCCCACATCAAACACTCTCTGAAGAGTTTGGATGTCCTCCAAAGTCATCTCCTCCACCTTTCCCCGAGGAGATGCTTTGCTCTGCTCTTCATGTCCCAGCTCGGGTGAGCACTGCATCACCAAACAAGGTGAGAGAGCGCGGGTGATGCCTTTGCCACTGCTCCCCTACCCTGTGTCTCAGCAGCTGCCCTGGCCGCTGTTGGATGGGGCAAGCCCCTAGACACAGGCTTTAGACAACTCAAAGCTGTGGAATTTGGTCACAGCCTCTGAAGACAGAGGGTGCTTCCCAGCTTTGGTACAACATGGGGAACACAAATGAGAGGCAGTACATGCATTTTGAGCATGTGTGGAAGCAGAAGGAACAAACAGGCCAGCATCTATGAAGGAAACATTCTGCCTGTGCTGCTCTGATTTTATGTTTGTACCTGAACCATCTCATCTTTGTTTTCGTTTTGGAAATGGCATTTTCACACTGAAACCTGCAAAATGCATATGCTGCATGTACTTGTCGAACAAGGAGTCACTCACCAATGCCACCCCCAAATCCTCCTGCTCAAAACTAGGATTTCTGGAATTTGATGGCATTTTATGAAACCTCAAGAAAACTAATCTTGTTCCACATATGCTGTGGAGCCACCATGTGCTTTCTATCTTGATCCTTATCAGGCCTAACACTTTGCTTGCTTTTCAAGCCAGATACTGCCCTCACCCTGCAAATGACAAGTCCTCGGAGACTCACTATAGTGATATAAGATGGAAACAAAAAACATCTGGAAAGACCATCCTGTTAGTCTTTCTCCTCAATACTCACTACACAGTGTGAGACAATGAGCTTGTTGCATCCCAGACTCTGTAGAACAGTCTCCTCTTGTCATCCAGACCCTTTCTCTGCTGGTTGTCTTAACTGATCATGTTCAGCTGTGTCAGTTATTCCAAATATATTACCCAAGCGGGACGCCCTGTCTTTGGGATTCATAAAGGATATACAGTGTCACACCATGAAGAAACGAATGGATGAGTTTGTATATACAAAGGTACATTGAGAGCTGAGTTCACTTAAAGAACACAAGAAGAATCTTTAGTATTTAAAACATTGAGACAGGAAGGCAGACTGTACTATTTTTCAAGCTTCAAAAAGTCAAAAGATAAAGAGCAAATCTCAGTTAAAGTAGACTTCCCTCTAAGTGCTTTCAGGGTTGTTTATATGCAGGAGTTATCCCAGCCCACCTCTCCCTTGCCATTCAGTCTCCTCTTAAATGAGACATGCAGCCTTTACTTAAAATTGAGAATCTTAGCTTTCTAACCAAAATAAATAATTGAACTTTCAAGGAACAGTAGCTGTATATGAACCCACAGGCGAGAGCACCATGAATGGCAGTTAATCCCAGCTAACTCACCATGTCTTCAAGCCCCACTGTGTGAAGACGTCTCCCCGAGCACCCGTCAGCTCCTTCCTATGGCGACCAGGTCCTGTCCTCTTGGAGTGCTATGCACTCTGATTCATTCTGCTTCTGACTCACCTGTGAGGGGAGTCCAACAGATGAGGTTTGCCCCAGTCCCTGAAAAAACACACCTCTTTAGTGGGGCCATGCACAGCACAGGGTGAATGACCTTTTTCCAAAGAATGAGCCGTCGGGAACTTCCAGTTTATTTGCTCAGGCTATTGGCATAATCAGTATTAAAAGAGCACGCTGAGTAAATGACGCTGCAATCAGTTACCCTGGGGTTAAAAGTGATACTGCTTGTTCTGACTGGCTCAGCCCTAGTTACATAGAGGAAATGCGTCCTGATAAATCAGATATTAGGCTTTTTTTTTCTTTCTTTCTTTCTTTCTTTTTAAGAAAATAGTCATTCTGAAGCTCTCAGAGCATCTTAGATGCCAACTGATTTTGCAGACAAAGAGACTGTGCCACCCTTTCTTTACAGATACCAGTGAGTGAGTTAGCAAAGTCAACAGGCTGCTAAGAGGCTTTACAGCCTGACAAGACTGATGTTTAGCATTTCTGTGCCAGTCACATCTGGGAAGAATGATTCCTTTCCAATACAGCCTCACTGCACTGCTTGACTCATGAATGAAGCTGCATATGGCACACCAAGCTTTGTGCACACAGCTAGCACTGCTTAGCTAAAGCTTAATGGGAGATGGGCACAGTCTCCATTTGCTTGTCCAGTCCTGGGTGTTTTCCAGCCTGGAACAAAGCATCTTTGGCACTGCAGCCCTGTTCCAGAGTGATTAATCTTTTGAATCCCACTCCACATCCGACTGAGAGTTTCCTCTGGCTGCCCCTGTGAAACTTCATCCCACAGACATGCATCCTCCCCAGAGGGAGATGTTCTGCTGTTCATTGTCAGCATGGCAGGGCTCAGGTCAGAGCTCTCACTTAGAACTATGTTCTCTGGGAAACAAGATCTCCCCACCTCAGAGGGAGACAAGTCAGAGCAGGATGTCACACCATGCTGTAAATCATCCTCTTGTTCCTCCCCATTTCAAGGTGGACTGTTTCAAAAAATGCCGTCACACTAGGAGAGGTGTTTCCAAAGCATCCTTGTGAGCCTTTCTTTATGCCAGGCACACAGTGACAGGCCAGCAAGTGGTCCCACAGGCAACACAACCAAACTCCCTTGCCCACTGCCTTTGAAAAATGTGCAAGGAAAGAGGTGCCCAGTAGCTCCTCTTGCACAGGAAACCCCCGATGTACCGCTTCCAAAGCTAACAGCCAGAGTGGGGTGGCATGAGACAGCGAAACGTATCAGTGTACCAGGAAAGTAGCTCCTGTTTCAATCCTTGTCTCCCACAAAAAGAGGCAGAATGCAGGCTCATAGCCAAGGTGCCTTTAGGACGTAGCACTGGAAATAAAACCAGTTCCCCTATGGTTACAGCAGGCTCTTGTTCCCAGTAATCCTCCGGGGAGGCACTCAGAAGCAATCTCTTCAGCAGTGAGTGTTTTATTTCATGCTTCCCTTGACAACACTGGCACTCTAATGGGAGATATCTATTTACTTCTTGGAGACTCTTTCAGTGTCTTTGGCAAGGAAGCAAAGTGTAGATATGACATTGATTTGTGTTCTGCTTCCTCATTGGATTTGTCTTCACTCCTCTTAAGAAGAGCTCCTCTGACCTTGATGTTTTAATTTTGCTTATCTTTTCTGAACCCTTCTGTGTCTTTGACCTGAAATGCCTGGTTACAGAATAACTAAATGTTCAGGCCTTTTTTTTTTTCCCCCATGTAAAAAAAAAGCAGAGTTCAAATCCAGCAGAAAAGCAAGATTTCAAGATTTGCAAGCTGTTCTTTTTTTCTTTTCTTTTCTTTTCTTTTTTCTTTTTCTTTTTTTTCCCCACAAAACGATCAGGTTGTTACTTTCATTCTGCTATAAAAATTCACATTCAGATAAATTATGAGTTAAAATTCATGTACACTGTAGGCAAGGCATAAAGTAGACTGTTTGAATTACACAGTTATGTTAAAGCTGAGGATTGATTACTTGGGAGTAAGTATTTTGAAGTGAATTTAAGTCCACTTCATAAATGTACTTCAAATGAAACGTTAATTATTTCACGAGTATGTCTGGCAAAATCTCAGCATGGACTTGCAGTATGTCCAAGAGATTCAACTAATGTCAAAACTGAGAATACTTCTGGGTTTAAGATCCTTGATGGGCAGAAGCTGAAGCTTCTTACATACTGCAGATGTGCCACTGGCACTGTCAGCTCCAACTGTATTGGGTTCCAACAGCAAGAAACTAACACTGGGTTTGAACTGCCAGCTTCTTGGGCCATTCAAATGCGTGCAGTAAATTCCTGGCTGTTCTGAAGGCCACAGAGTGGTGGTGATAAATACAGGGTTCACCCAGGGAGTTGGTACTCTTCCGCAAGACACAGAATGTTGTCTTCAGTTTGGTGAGTGCAAGAGCTTAACACTAGTGATGAGAGTGGTGAGAGCAAGCTTTAGGGTAAGCTGGCATTGTAGGGCCGCTCTATGAGCCTTCCTCCTGTGAACTGCTCACTCTGCTTCTGGAAACCTTGAATATTCTCAGAATCTGAGATAATTTACATGGTCAGATTACGCACTGTGTGGAATGCTGCTTCCTCTCTTGTGGAGCCTGATATCAGTAAGGGCCTGATAATATTCTTTGTAATCTCACAGTTATTGTGCAACAACTAATTGTTCCTTGTTTACCAGCCTCATATTCAGGTCAGATTGCTAGGCTGCATCTTTCCTACATATTTTCCAAGCAGAAATACTCCAGTTGCTTTAATCTCCTCTTGAACAGGTGCCATTCCTTCATCCTTGTTACCCTCTTGTTTATCTATTTTTTGCTATGTTCTTGCACCCTACACCCTGAGGAGCTGGCTGGAATTGCAGAGAAGCCCAAATGTGTCCCAACTGAGGATTTTCATGGGCTCCACAAGTAACAGAGAATTCCACAGCTAACAGAGAATTAAGCTTTCTGGAGCACATAGATTTTATGTGTTGATGCTGAACTAGGAAATTCTTGCTCTATTTACTGTCTCATTTTGCCAGGGTACGTAACTGACGCTTTTAGGATCACTTGGCTTTTTTCCTTTTCTGATGTACACTTTCTCATTCATTCTTCTCTGCTTCTACCAATGGAGATGGAGGCATTTGTTTTGCCAGAGGGAAAAATAAAACCCTAACGATGGACAAATACAAAAGAGAGAGTAGAACTACACAGCACCATTCTATGTGGCACAAAATCTCATTTTCCCTGGTGTACCCTTCTGTCATCACCTGCCCTCTATTTCCACATCTTCTTTCTTTTTTTTCCCTGGCATATATAAATTGTTTACAGGTTCTCACGTGCTATATTTTAGAAATTCCTAGCATCAAAGGTACTGGGATATATTGTGATTGAGACGTATAAGGAATTTTGGATACAATATGCATTAAATGAAGTTCTACATGAGTAAACCACCATCCCAAGCAGAGAAAGAATGTTCTCAGCAAAATGATAAAATATTTTTGTTCTTATGTTATGGGAGAAGACAGTTCTTTAAGTGATTATCCTGACCTCGTGGTTTACAAAAAAACATTCTTTAAACTATAATCACTGTTAGAACAAAACTGTGCAGAGCAGGACACAGCCATTAGCTTCTTGAAAACTGCATTGGGGCCAGGGGAAAACAGTGGCTGCGGTGTCAACACCCCTTCTTACCCCGCACATTATCTCTGCACTGTGGCAGAGCAGCCAATGGCCAGGAGGGCAAGGGGGCACTGCCCCTGCAGCACACAGACTGACAGACATGTTGCTTTCCCCCCGCCCCCAAAATGGCGGCCCCACCCCCAAAATGGCGGCCCCGCCCCCAAAATGGCGGCCCCGCCCCCCAAATGGCGGGCACGCCCCCCAAATGGCGGGCACGCCCTCAAAATGGCGGGCACGCCCACAAAATGGCGGCTCCGCCCACAAAATGGCGGCTCCGCCCTCAAAATGGCGGCTCCGCCCTCAAAATGGCGGCTCCGCCCTCAAAATGGCGGCTGTGCCTCGCAGCACCCCGTAGGGAGGGGGTGCTGCCCACTTCTTGACGTAATCTTTTTGCGCCGGAAGCGCCGCCATGCGGGGGCGCCTTCTCCGCGCTTGGCGCGAGGGACTGAAGGCGGCGGGCGGCGGAGTGGGGTCTCGGCGGGAGCCGCCATGGCGGGTGTTGTTCTTTGGCACCGACCGCTTCGCTGTTACTACTTTGCGTGCCTTGCAGGCCGCCAGGTACTGCTCGGAAGGCTGGACGGCGAGGTTTGGGAAGTCGGGCTGGTGATGGAGTGCGCTTTGGAGGCTTCTGGGGGAGGGCAGGGCCCAGGGGTGAGCGTCGGTGTCGGTATGGGGGGGAAGGCAGCGGCTGTGCTTTGCGGCTGAGACCGTGGGATCACGAGTGGGTCGGTGGTGAGGAAGCAAGCTACAGAGGGCCGAGGAAACTGATAAGGGGGTCTCGGTTTGAAAAGGGGTTGGGAAGAGGGATGGGCTGAGTCTGGGGACCATCTGGAGGTTGGGGTGCTGAGAGACAGGCAAGGAGCGCAGTGAGGTGGGGATCAGCAGTCTTACTCTCCTTAGTTCTGCTTGCACGAGTTCTCCAATTCTTTTCCCACCTTAGGGAGCCCAGCAGGGGCTTGCTTGTGTCCAGGTTGGAGGTGGTGACGCTGCCCTCCTGCCTGCCCGTAGAACTGCCTGTGAAGAGCTGTGCCCATGAGCTCCAGCTGCCTGTGCACGAGTGGCCACAGACGGGGCCTGTGGGGCAGTTTGATGTTGGTGTGGTGGCATCGTTTGGGCGTCTCTTGAGTGAGGACCTTATTCTGCAGTTCCCATAGTGAGTGAGTTGACATCTGTGTCTGCTTTCTTAGTTAAATGAGCTCTGTTTTTGACTGCCATTGCATTCTATGCCTGTGACTTGCAGCTGGTGAGGTGAACATCTTCCATGAAGTTATCTGCTTAGCTGAGTTCTTCTGTTATTGTAAGGCTCTTTATCATGTTGATAGAGATCTATGCAAACATTCAGTGTAATGTGTTCATTCCTTCCACTTTCATGTTTACTGACAAGTTGAAAACTACATAGTGTGAATTTCCCTTATGTGTGTATTTAAATCTCAGAAGTTCTGAGCAGGTAATTTCTGAAGTAGTTGCAGTGTACTGTTGCACATACATTAACATAAATTTCAGTTACTGTTCCTACTCAAACTTCATTTCAGTGGCGTGCTGAATGTCCATCCCAGCTGCCTCCCGCGGTGGCGTGGTCCTGCACCAATAGTCCACACAGTACTTCATGGTGACAAAGTGACCGGGGTAACAGTTATGGAAATAAGACCGAAGAGGTGTGTTCCCAAAACAACTCTCTGCTGCTGCTCTGTGTAATCACTAGTTGATGTTGGTTTTGTTTTTAAATGCTTGTTTAATATTAAATTTTGAAGCACTTAGAATATGAGACTTGCCACAGATATAATGTGTGTAATTTGTACTCTAGGCTGCTGTGATGGTGATTTAGTTTTTTAATGTTTTAAAAACTAGTCTTTATTGGTGAAATTATTATTATAGTCATGATAGTCAGAATACTATATTTTTTGTATTAATTGCTACTCAGTAATCTTTAGATGTGTGATTAATATTGAAATCATTACATATGTTTGAAGAACTGCAGTAATGATTCCAACCCTGTTGTTTAATTTTTAATGTTATTACAGAGAGCAGACAGATCAAATGGTCAGTGCAGATGGATTGATAGGTTTGGTATGACAGTACAGAAAAGAATGGGCTTTCAGTCTCCAGAACTGTCCGCAACCTACTGTAAGAGAGGGCAAGAAACTGCTTGACTTGGGAAAAGAGGGGTAATCTATTTTAGCTTCAGCAAAAGCTCTGGCTTAGATGGCTTGTGAAAACACATCATAGTTTGGTCTTTTCTTTGATAGATGATTGATAACAGAACTCAGGAACGTATGGAAGAAATTCTTCTGAATGTTTCAGGTTGTTTCTTCTGAAGTTTTATAGTTCTGAGCTGTAAATTGTATGTTACTGAAATCTGAGTCTTGCTTGGTAAGATGATTCCCATTTTCCCCGTTTCATCATATAAGCCAATGTTTAAAATTTCAGTTTTGTTATTAAAAAAAAAGTGAGTAACAGAGTTAACATATTTAATGTAAAATTTTGAACTGTTAGCTGAACCAAAGTTTTTCCTCCTGTAAGCTTGTATGTTTTTCTGCTTTGTAGGTTCGATGTAGGCCCAATTATTAAGCAAGAAGTGTGTCCTGTTCCTCCTCAATGTACTACAAAGGAGTTGGAAGTGATATTAGCAGAGATGGGTGCAAACATGGTAAAGTCATGCAAGCTAGTATTGCCTCTGATCAGTACCTTGCTCTCAACATGCAAGCTATTCTTTGTAATCTTGTTCTGACTTGGCTACAATTGTTAGGAGGAGAATGATCCAAAATTTAGTGTTTGTGAGTATTATCTCTTGCTGAGAGGAAAGTTTAAGTGGTGTGTGATAAACTGTTGGTCTCTCTGCATTGCTATTCTGTTTGTAATCAGTGAAGAACTCACTTGCTTTGTGTGGAAGCAGTGCAACTGCTTCTTTTGTTGAAGAGAATGTTTGCTTGTTGATCTCAAAAATCAGCTTTCAGCCTGTTCTAGGGTTAACATCATAGAGCAGATCATCCAGAAAAGATTACTTGTGTTTTTTAATTGTGAGAAATGCCTGTGCTGTGTCTGTGCTATGCTCAGAAGGTTTATAGTGATCAGATTTTCTAAAATCTGTGATAAAGGTTGACTGATGGAAAAATGAAGTCTTGCATTTATGTCTTGGTTTTAGTCTTCCTTTCACTAAACATAATCAGATTTCCCAATGTTCTTTATTAACATTTATTTTTCCAGCTGCTGTCAGTTTTGAAAAACTTGCCTGAAAGCTTAGAAAATAAAAAAGAGCAACCAAAAGAAGGAGTAACATTTGGTAGGTTTTTTAATAATGCAACTTTATTTTTTCTCTTATTGTTTAGATACCTTTTTCAGTGTGGTCTCTCTGCTGCTGCCTCTGGCTAAAAATCAGATATTAATTCTTCTTATTTATTTTTCTCCTAGCTCCTAAAATATCTGTAGCTAAGAGTTGTATAAATTGGGAAGAACAAACAGCTGCACAAATAATTCAGCTGCATCGTGCCATAGGAAGTATGGTAAGAGTAAATTTTCTAACTCTTTTCTGTCCTCCAGCAGAGGATGTCTAGCATAAGGGGAGGGGAAAAAAAAAAAAAAAAAAAAAAAACAGAAAGCAAACAACAACAGAAACTAGACAGATGCCAAGAAATGATGAAAATTGTCCCAGTGTGTTGTCTGCTCCTGTTTCCAGTTTCCTTTGCAGACACTTTGGAAGGGCAGTACTGTTAAACTTCTGGATTTTGTGGAAGTGGATAATATCCTTGATTCTGTTGGTATGTACTCTTAAATTAATCTGCTAAGTAAGGTTCTTGTGTGTTGTAAGCACTGACTTGAAGATTGTACACAATTGTGCTAAACAGGTACTGCTTTCTGACACTGATATAACTAAAGCAGTTCTGATGTAGTCAAAAGTGTATTGAATTTCTGCACCCAGAGGTGGGCATGATACTGATTCTAAGGTTGTTCCTGCTTCATGATGATAATGAGAACAGCAGGCATAGTTCTGTAAATCCTGAGATTTGATGATTTTAATTCTGTAATGAGTTGAGAGATGTAATTCTTGTAATTCTGTCGCCTCATGATTTCCAAGAGCGAAGCTAGATCTGTGTTGTCACTTAAACAATTTTCTGTAGTCACCTGTGAATTTGAGAGCTTTGCATGCTCTGGGTGCTGTACTGACGTGTGCAGCTTAATGGCTGCCTGCAGGTGGGGTAGGGAGCAATGCTAGAGTGACTGATCTGATTCTTTCCTGCTTACTTGAGTATAATAAAACACAGAATATGGTAAAATATTATTGAGCAAAATAGTAACACAAAGTAATTATATTTCAGAGACAAGTGCTTTAAACCTCTTTTGCTTGTTTGCATTAAAAACACGAAGCAATCTTGTGTTGCTTCTAGATCAAGTATTAAATGACCACGGAGTTGTTCCTGGCTCACTACTCTACCATAAAACGTCCCAGACACTGATAGCTCGTTGCAAGGTAGGCTTCTGTTTTTGTATTCATTGCCGTAAAGATGAGGTTTTCAGTATCTGTTACTTAAGATCTATCTTAATTGTCCATTGTTATTCACTGACCTAATTTAGATCAGCATCAGTCTCTTTACTTGATACTTCAAAGAGCTTTTTATTTCCAGTAACAGACTTTTCATTTGCAACTGGGAATTCTGACTCATAGCATAAGCTTGGTGATACAGAACACATTTGGTAAGTCAACCTAATATTTAAAACATGGAAGAAGCTTACTGCTGTTCTTTGTTGTTTTTTATTTTCTAGGAGGGCTGGGTTGGAATCAAAACAGTAGTATTAAAGAAGAAGCTTACAGCTATTGACTTCTACAATGGGTATATGCACTCTTGGTTCCAGCAGAACTCAAGAACAGTTCATCAGGAATGCAGGTTTCAAACACTCAAACTTAACACAGCAAAGAAGACTCTGAAAGAGAGGGAAGTATTGTTGCAGGATATAAAGCGGTAGATGTTTTTTTTCCATATCTTAAAGTACATCTATAAGTTAATATAAAATATTTTGATTCCAAACAATAACATTGAACTTGGTGAAGTTTTTCTTCCCAGAATGTGTGACCTTATTGTCAAGCATTCTGTTCTCATCTTGGATTTCTGATGATGATCATTTCTTTTACCCCATTAAGGAAGAGAATCTCTGTATGCACCAACAGCAGTGAATAAATCTGTTTCCACTGTTGGGTAATAAATATATTTTTATATGATGTTTTCAATTTTTTTTTCTTGGACTTCCAGTATAACTTTCTCCAAGCTTAAGCTGTGCTCAGTTGCTTCAATCTAGAAACATTCTCTTGCTTCTCTGTAATTCATACGCAGTTTCAGAAAAGCAAGACAAAATCCACTTTAAGGAGAGCAACAAAATAAAGACCAGACAGGTGATAGGAGCTGCTGTAGCATTATTTGCTCAGTATATTCCTTCTTTTTTTCCTGAATACTGTTGCAATAAAAGCAGAGTCACTAAAGCTATTCAGAACTAGTGAGGCACCATTCTGTTAGCTTCTTATTTTTACAGCATTTGCACTGAAATTTTGTAAGCTTAAAAACAAACAAACAAACAAAAAAAACAGAATTGCAAGCCACATCCTCTTCCATCTGTCACTTTGGCTCATCAGGGTTTTCTGACCATTCATGCTTTTTCAAGCAGTTGTGGCGTAGTATTAAAGCTAAAGTTCTGTGTTGAATGATGATACTTACGTCAAGCTGACAGGAACATGACACGCTTGAATGTGACTCACTGAATGAGAGCAAAATCTAAAAAAAAAAAAAAAAAAGTGTTATAAATGTGGATTAAAATGTTTCTGAAGAAGCATCTGTTAAAGCGAATGCTGCAGTATTTTTCTTCCCCTGCCATTGGTCCAACGATGAATCTGTCTCTGACAGGTTGTCTAGAACACATGATCCTCCAAGAAATCCGTGTCTGTGAATGTGAAGCAAAAGCTGCAAGCAGCAGTAAGGTAGAAGTTGGGCTTCTGTGGAGAATTCCTTTGTATCTTCTTGCAGCCTCCAGCGTGCAGTTTGTGCTGCAGACTTTTTAAAACTGCTGACAAAATTCCTTGGAAGTTCTTTTAACTTAGGCTCCTTTGCTTTTCTTGAACCTGTTGTGGCATCATAGTAGCAAAGAACTGTGTAGGGATCCCAGAGAAAGATCCTCTGAAATTACTTAAGATTTTACCAAAGATGCCATTCTTTTCTTCTGCTGTGTTTAAATTATTCGGAGGGCAAACCCCTTTGATCAGAGCATGTCATTCCTAACTGATGTGAGCAAAGCAGTGTTCCTGCTGGGTGGCATTATTTCTGATAGCTGGAATACTGGCTTCCAACTAACAGTGTCTGCATTAAATGTTGGCATCAACAAGAATCCATGGGGCAATCTGCACATCTCCTACTGACAGTTTGAGATTATGTCTCGTGTGAGATGTATTGCTGTTAGTCACTAGTGGTGGTGGTGATGATTTCAGTTCTGAGGCACGGGGTAGCAGTTTCCTTCCATCTTTCAGGGGGTTTGAAGAGGCATACACAAGTCACCCAGTAGGTGGTGCTCACTGCATCACTTCTAGGGGAAGAAAAAGGTCAGCAGGCAGAAGATCTTGAAAAATCTGGTTCAGGATCTCTTCAGTTATGTTTAATACCAAATAATGTCTAAACTGTGCAGTGGCCAGAGTTCCTATATCTTTTGAAATTAATCTTAAAATTTCTTTCTGTACAAGAGCTCATTGAAGATCAGACAGTTTGCTGTAGCTTAGCTGTTGGTTGTCCTAGCTTTGAATATGCACAACTTTTTCCAGTTGTTTTATGGAGGAATTATGCTTGCTTTATTTTTTTATGGAGGAGATCTTTGACATGGTGGAGAAGTTTTAAAGGGAATTGGAGTTCCCCAGGCAGCTCTTAGCCAAAATGTTTTTTTGGAAATTTCTCCTTCACCTGACTCCATAGGGATTTAACCCAGAAGGTAATGAAAATCTGATTATTTTTGCAGATTAGGCAAAACAAGAATGGGGCATTCACTGATGAGGTGTGGAATAGCATGTCAAGGTTGACTGTGGAACATAGAAATGGTGATTCAATCCCCCAGGACTACTGTTTTGCTCAAGCACAGCCACCCTAGCAATTGGAAAGCAATACTAGCAAAATAAAACAGCTGTCCTCTTGGAGAGAGGAAACACAGCAGAGGTATTCATAGACCCAGAATCTGCTAGGGCTCAGTTCAAGATCACTGAAGCCAAATTACTGTTAGAACTGCAAAACCTTTGGTTACCAGATGGGCTCTGGTGTTCAACAGGGATGATTTCATCTTGTGTTTCAAGTAAATGTTACAGGGAGTGATATTTTCTAGTATGCTGATGACTAGCAGTTGGTTGCATCTGTTCTATAATCAAACTTTACCAGTTCCCCCGCTTCCTAGGAAACCTTATTATTCCTGTTTTCTACTGAATACAAATAAGTAGTGTAGGTGATTAATCACAGTAATACTTCAGGCTTTTAGAGAGGTTGCTTAGGGAAATCAGTGAATAATACAAAGGTTGAGTTCAGATAAGAATATCTCTACTTGTGTTTATCCTCACTGCTGACAGCCTGATAACTTCTGGGAGGCACTGTTTTAACTTTCTTAAAAACAAGAGGAGAGAGAGGTCACTGGGGTTGGAAACCAGGTGACCTTAATGGAAGCTTCTTTGCCATTAGTCCCAAACCTACGGATGCTTGGGAGCAAGGCTTCTCAAGGTTGGTGGTCTGAAAACTAATGCAGAGGGAGGAGCTGAGTCACAGTCTCCCTGCGTTCCTGGAGTTGATGCTCTGCTTTGATATGTGGGAGTGTGCCTTAGGTTTCAGGTTGCAGAAGGGATGCTGTAGTACACTGACCATAAACATAGGCACTCAGGAACTGGAAAAGTCATATTATTGAACTATAGCATAAAACTGCTGTGAAGGGTGAAGTTTAGGACGTGCTGTAATTTTTCTCCTACATAAACTTTCTTGATTTATTTGACATGGTGACTTATCGGTGGTGAAGAAGTGTTAGCTCTGAGTGGTAGTTTTTGGCTTCTTTTCTGGTAATAGTATTTCAGTGCCCATGTTTGAAACCTCTCTGTTCTGCTTTATATGCAATGTACTCTGTCAGCAGTCTCTTCTGAGGGCTCAGGAACTCAGAGAGTGCTGTGATAAGCTTGTTTCTCCAACTTGGAGTTAAGCTGCAGTGGGGGACAGCTTGGGGAAACTTGGAGAGCTTCTTGCTGTTTCATGGGTAGGCAGAATTTCAGGGCTGTCACCACTTCACTGGGTAGAAAATTCTGTTTAACAGCAAAGTAAGAGCCCTAAACACTGCCCTTTGGCTCTGGCAAGCCCCTTAGTAACACAGGGACCAGATTCTGAGCCTGCTTTTCTCCCTGTAACTCCTGGGTTGATCTGGAGAAGTCATTTGCATTACTTCACTCACAAAGTGATGAAATCAGGGCCAGGATTTGGCTGACTGTCTGCATAGAGAAGAGACATTTCTCTGTAAGTCTGCAGTGCAAGCCAAGAGCTCTGTGGGAAGGTCTAAGCTAATGCTCCCCACTGGCTGCCTTGGCTCCAGCTCGTGCCAAGCCCTTGCAGCAGACTAGACACAAAAGAAAACACGCAGTCTAAATTCATTGGTATGAAGAGGTTGTGCCAAACTATTCCATAGCTCGTCTTTTTATGTTTCTCTTTGTTAATTGTCAATTTGCATGACAACAAAGACTATAACGATTTGTTGTTTTGTTTTGTTTTTTTAAGCATAGTTCAGGCTGCATTGGCATTTAGTCCTGCACAGTCCTGAGTTTAATATCCAAGATGCTTCATGACAGACCTGAGAAGCTATTCCAGATGTTGCTAAAGGCTATTGAAAGATTCCCCATACCCTTCATGAGCTCTAGGTAAGACACAGACCTGTATCAGGACTGTATTCATATCTGTAGGAGAGGAATGAGTGATAGGAGAGAGGGAAATCCACAGTGGGGCGTGTGTTTCAAGTCAGTTGTCATTAAAAAGGAGCCCTTTTTTTGTGATCTCTGTCTGTGAAGATTTGAGTGCTGGAGGCCTGTTGGCTTACCTGCTCCAAAAAAAGTTTGTCAGGTATGTTTGGGTGTAAACCTGGTATGTGCTCTGTGCTGATGAGGTCCCAGATTTCTCTCTGAGTAATGGCACAGAGGCTGTGGGGTTTTGTAGGGCAGCGTGTTAAATAGAGCTCTTGGAGTTTGGTCATACTCTGACCTCCTCTGTGGCCATCTGTGTTTATGTGTTGCCTAAATTTTCTGTCATCTTTAAAACACTGGTCCCCAGCCTTTTTCCTCTTCAGTCCTCTCAAACTCTAGGAACTCTGCTGCTCCCTCTTAGGCACCCCTTGTCCTGATCTGCTTCTGCATCTCCCAACACTTGCTGCCCCTCTTAATCTCGTGGATGTGGTGCTGCTTGCACTGATTCCCTGACTGCAGCATTCTGTAGCAAAGCCTTAGACTTGGGAGCGGCAGTTACCCACCAATCACTTTCGAATACCCAGCATCAGTCTCACGTTGAAAAGTGAAATTTTGTAGGTTGTTCTTTGGTCAGCTCTACACATGGTTTATTTACTTGGGCATGTCAAACACAAAGGTAATACAGTATTGCCAAAATTACACAAAATGGCTTTTTAAAAAAATTCTTCTACCCTATTGTAGAGCATTATTTGAGAAGAAAAACCACACAAGAAGCAAGAGAAAACTAATTTTATCCATGCGGAGCCTACAAATCCACATGGCTTCTCTGTGCTCTCAAGCATGTGAGTTCTTAGAAATGCAGCTGATGGTAGTTTAGCTCGAATACAATCATTCTAAAACAAGCTAGAAATAAATAAAATACTTACATTTCAAGTACAAAACCTTGCAGTTGAATTCAGAATGGGAAAATCAGTTTATTCCTTTTCATGTTACCAACTACTGTACAGGTACTTGGGCTGGCAAAGTCTGCAGATGCAGAATAGAAGGATGTCTTATATATATGACTTAACTGAACTGTGTGTTTAGTTTTCCCTTTAGGCTATCAGGTGAAGTTGTTTTATCTCAGATTTTTTTGACACTTTTAGTAAGGCAGGAGTTAACTTACAAGTACTGCCTCTCAGTTTTGGCCTTATGTCTTTGTAGTGCAATGCAAAAATAAAATTAAAAAAAAAAAAAAGGGGAGTGGGAGGGGAATATAATGTCTCAAAAATACTGACAACTACCTGTTTTGAATTAGGCTATTTGCAGGTAGATATATTTTTTTTTTAATCAAATGTGAGTGATTTTACCTAGGCTCCTCTATAGCTCTAGTATGAGGAAGGACGTTGACCTCTCATCTGGATTCTGCTTTGGGTGATCTGGCGGGTTCCCACCGGCCTTTGGTATGCAGGGCTCTCCCTTGATGGTACCCGTATGGACTGCTGGCCTAAGTTCCTCTGGGACTCAAATAAGCTTTGCTCTGCTGCGCTCCTCTCCGAACAGGTGAAAGTCAGCGCAACACCGATATCACTCTTCATGATTCTGGAGGTGCCATCTGATGTGCCATCGAAACACCTGCCCAGAGCAATTTCCTTGGCGATCCTTGGGTCCTGGTCAGTGACAGTGTAAATGCCATAGTTATGCCCCAGGGGGTCAAGGGGTGCCAGCATCGTGTATTCACTGGAATCGTTGTTGGTAGCCATGGGGAGGTGGTTCACCAGGTACTCATGGAGCATGCTGTTAACGCTCTCCCGACGACAGCTGCCTTGTGGGATGACTTTCACAAGCGTGCGGTCCACACGGTCTTGGTCGAAGAGCATGCCACTGCACTTGAACTCCAGGCAGGCTGCTGACACATCCCGTTGCTCAGGATCTCGAATGCTGCGGACATCCCTGATGCCATAGAGCTTGCCAATGGTGCGTGGATGTGTCCCACCCATGTTGCGAGACCTTATGTTCACTTCTTGGGGTCCATTAATTTTGACTTTTATGTAGCAGGCCCTAAATTCCATGGGTTTTGGCCACCATGCCAGGTAGTCATCGGTCCAGCTCATGAGGTCATCTTCACTGAAGGGAACAGTATTGTAGTCGTACCGATCCCCCTCTATCCTGTAAAATCTGAAGTGAGCAGCGCTGTATGGAGCTTCCTCACATTCTTTCAGGTTTTCATAGGCATAAATAGGGCCATTGTTCTCATCTGCAGAATTTGGACTTGGCTTGGCCATATTGATTCTGAATGCAGTTTTCTTTGTGTTAGGGTCCTCGTGGTCTGTTCTCCTGTAGTCGAGCTTGTTGAGATATGGCTGTGGGACCCCAATAGCATTAGGATTGAGTTTGGGAGCAGAGGGCACTGCTTCGAGTTCTTCACCCCCCAAGCTCGCCAAAATGTAAGCTGCGTAGGCCTCTGGATTCTGCTCGTCACAGAAGGCTGGCACGCAAGCACCATTTGGACCAGTGACCACACTATCAAAACGGCCCCATGCTCTGGGGTTGGAGGAGAACCCTGGTTCTGGCTCCGTGTTTATAACAGAAATCACCACCCCTTGGATCTGCTCGCTTGGCAAAAATCTCTCACTTCTGTATGCTCGGACTTTGACGTAGCACCGTCTGCTCTCTGGAACATCCAGGTTAAAAAGCCGCCTTTCCTTTATCTCCATGTTACCAACCAAAAAAGTTCTCTCCTCTCTTCTGCGCCGTCTGCTTTTCTCCAGGTTGAAGTCTCCTTCTTCCTCCCATAAGCCTGTCTCAGGGTTCAGTGACCAAAGCTTCATTTCTTGTAGGTGCTCTGGCATCCTCACCTGAGCAGTGTCCAAGTGGACTTTCACATCTTCTGCATTAAGAGTCTCGGTGCCCTGTTCATCAGTGAAGTCCAGGGAAAACATGCCATATGTGCGGAGTGGGAACACATCTCCTTCGTCATCTATGAAGTTCAGGTCACTTTGTGTCACAGGCGCTGTTGAGAGTTCTCTTGGGTCCAGAAACGTCACGCTGGCTTTCACTTTTCCTCTGTAAGGTTCTCCATTCTTCCTGTAAAATGAATCAGGAGGGATTTCTAATTCAGCAATAGGATCATCATCTTCCTTTTCTCCCAAAGGAATTACACTGGTTTCAGTGGATTCCAGTGTAACAGGGGCTTTCTTTCGTAGTAACTTAATGTCATGAAACACAGCACCTCCATTTTCTTTGAATGGCAAAACTTTTGTTGTGTTCACAAACTTCTGCAGCCGGTCAACAAAGGTTAGAACCAGTCTTTCAGTATCTGGTGGGACGTGGATGGAGAAGGTTCCCTTGTAGCCAGTCATACTCACTCTCTTGTTCCCCATGTAGATGTGGCCAAACCTCAGTGGCTCACCGTTATCCACCGCCGTAGCTCTGCCCCGAACTGTTATTTTTGTCTCGGTGCATTTTTTGCAGCCACATTCTACGGCGACTTTAGTGGGGAGCGTGTACCCATCGCACAGGATCTCTCTCACTTCCATCTTAGACACCCCACAGCAGTAGGAGATGTTGTCCTTACAGCGGAGTCCCTTATCCAGCTTCCCAACGCAGGTCTTTGCTGGGCACTTGCCCACATCGTAGTAGAATGAGTCAGTTGCTTTTTGGAAACAGTCGTGTGGAAGACGAATGAGGTGGCTTTGGGGCTGGGAGCTGCAGGCTGCCTCTTGTTTTCCTGTTGAATAGCATTTCTTAATGAGCAGCATGAAATAATTGTACAGTCATCTGTATGTGGTCTGAAACCCTTTGAGCTAAACATTGCTTCCAATCACAGGGGGGCTTTTGCAGCAATGAAACAGATGGTTTGCAGAATTTTGGTTAGCTGGATTCATCTGGCCTTTGTTACACTGCAGCAGGTGCTCAGCTTTAATTTAAGGCACCTGATTAAGAGCAGTGCTGTTTGCAGGAATGTCCCAGCTCCTGCTTACCAGCTACATGCTCTGCAGCTGCCTGGCTTCTTGGCTATGAACAGACCTAAATGGGTCCCAGGATTTAAAAAAGAAACAGAAATATTCACACGCTGGGCAGTGATTACAGTGAGAAATGGCTGCCCAGCGGATTAAGTTTGGCAGGTCATCTGAAACCCAGAGCTCTGGATTGTAGCGAGTATCTGGCTGATAATCAGCACACTCAGGCTTATCTGCTAATGGGTGCGTAAAATAGCACCCAAATATTTTTCCTGCACCTTTCCTTTCACGTATGTGTCGTAATTTCTGAGCACTTTCTGTACCCCTGATGCTTGGAGCAAATCACACACATTTTCTCTTACCTATTATAGAAAGCGTGGCAGGTTGGGACTTTGCTGAACCTCCATCACTGATGGCCTTGCAGAAATACTCTCCTGCCTGCTCTCTGTTCAGGTTCTTCAGAATCAGGTTGTTTTTGTATCTATATATGGAAGGATCCAGCAGGGAGCCATTGTGGTACCTGCCAGGAACAGGCAGATGGTTAATGGGACAGAGACCTGACCGCATGGCTTGGGCAGAGCAGGGTCCAGATCCTGTCTGTGTGGCTTTTGCCACACCTCCTGCCTCAGTTACACCACTTATATCATGGAGCAGCCGTGTCCCAGGAGCTGCCCTTTCAGAGTTGCGGTCATGCTTAAAAGCATCTCCCCACTGTGTTGCATGGAGTGCTAGTCAGGCTGCAAATTCATGCAGGGGCTTCCCCTAAAACCAATTCCAGACACAGCTGTCAGTCACGCCTGCCAAGGTTTTTGAAACTCCTATCTGGGTGTTTTTTCCATTAAGTCCCTCTGCAGATTATATTACTGCACCTGCGAGAAATGCCAGCTCTGCAAATGTGCAGGAAATGATCATTTGTTGCACTGAGTTCTCAGTGTATTTAAGCTTAAAAAAAAACAATCCAGCTTTATGGAGATGGAAAGGAGGTACAAATCAACAAAATTTTTAGGATCACTGGAGTTGGAAGGAACCCTTAAAGACCATCTGGTCCAACTCCTCTGCAATGAGCATGGACACCTACAGCTCCATCAGGTGCTCAGAGCCTATCCAGCCTGACCTTGAGTGTCCCAAGAGATGGGGCACCCACCACCTCTCTGGGCAGCCTGTGCCAGTGCCTCACAGCCCTTATTGTAAACAACTTTTTTTCTTACATCCAGTGCAATCCTCCTGTTTTAGTTTGAAACCATTTCTCCTTGTCCTCTCACATCAAAACCCTATTGAAGTCTGTCCCCTTCTTTTTATAGCCAGCTTGTATTGATACTAGCTGTTGCTGCAACCCAGTGCAAGACCTTGCCCTTGGCTTTGTTGAGCCTCATGAGGTTCCCCTGGGCCCCCTGCTCCAGCTTTCTGCCCTCCTGCCAGGTGGTGTGGGATCAATGGGAGTTCCTTACCAGAGATAGCGATCTGGGGCCGGAGTCCCCACAGCATTGCAGCAGAGTGACACGCTCTGCCCCACTCTCCTCGCTTTGTCATCAGGGCTCTTGAAAACATAGGGTTTGCCTGTAGGAGGAGAAAAGGCAGCCTCATTACTCTTATTTTTGTTAGTTGCTCTTAGAGGTGCTGGGCTTCCCCATCTCTATGGTTCTACCTGATCTCTTCAGCTGCACTTGGAGCGCCAGGTTCTTCCTGTTGGTGTCCGGTACAGTGATGGCTGCAGTCGTGTATTTGGCTTTCTTTATTTTGAGGGTGTTTCTGCCATCGGGGCAGACCCCAGGAATCCTAAACGCGCCCTTATTGTCAGCTGTTGTCAACAGTTTGAGATTGTTGGCTTGCAAGTAGACCCGGGCGTTGTCTGCAGGTGAACCATCCTCCAAGGAGACCTTTCCATGCAGGGTCACATCCTCGCACATGCATGCATCGCAGTCGGCGTTCACGCGGCCCATGGGGCAGGTGATGTTGCAGTCTGGGGTGAGGCAAGTAGGTAAGGAAGCAGCCTGATGCCCTGCCACGCTCCTAGCATGGCCTCACGCCTGCTTTCCATTTAGGTGCAATAGGGCAGATACTGCATAAGGAATAGATTGTATCCAAAATGTATTTCCAGAGATTATCAGCAGCTGTGTATTAGAAATGTGGGACTGATGGAGTGCTGAGCCTTGTAATTAATAGAAAGCAGCCACGTGGATATAATTACAGCTAGCAACTTTTCATTACCATCCCCAAAGGGCAGAATTTTAGGGAAGCCTGAATCCTGAGCTGCATGTGAGCTGAACCCTGGCAAAATCACAAATCCAAATGCCTTCAGCTTTGTAGATTCCTGTTGCCAGCCCATGCCCAAATGCCATGGCATTGGTTTGTCTTAAAAGCCGCCTCTCGTAGCAGCATCCTGGCTTGCATAGGACATAGGCTAGGTCCTAATAGCCTAACTGTTGAATAAGCATTATCTGATAAGTCCAACAAATGTTCTTCTAAAGAGTGATTCTGTGACGTTTTCTTACCTATAGCAGTTAATCTTAAATATCCCTGTTTCTTTACATTTACAAGGGCGCTCCCTTTACAATCACAGAGCCTCCCCCTACAGCAGCTGTGTGATAATCTATTTATTTGCAGCAGTAAAAAGAAGAACTCAGAGAAAACCCTATAACAACTTTCCTGGAGAAAACACAGACCATTTTCAGCGTGATTTGTTTAAAAGGGGAGTATAAGAATAATACAATTAATTACAAGCTGCTGTAACATCTTCCTGGGGCTGGCTGCAGGCAGCTCTCAGAACTTTGGCAAGGAGGAGAACTGTGGTGACATGGCTGTGAGGGGAGTAAAAAACATAACTGAGATTATGTGAGCACCTGAGCATACGTGTCCGATGCAGAGCCGCCCTTCCTCCATGACTTCATTACAGTGCACACCCCAGAGGCGATCCGCCAGGCAGGATCGGGTCCGCTTCTGCACACCAGTTTGGCCACACTTTCCTGAGCACTCGCTCCATTTTGACCACGGAGACAAAAACTTTCTGGAATCTTGCACCAGAACAGCTTGAATGACATCATTGGGATGTTAGTGAGAGATACATTCAACGCAGGGCTGCCCCAAAGCAAGCACTTTTCATACAGCTTCTACGTGGCTCAGACATGAGCTTGTATTTGGATATTATGCACCACATACTCAAAGCATGTTGATGAGGGAGCTGGGAAACAAAGCACGTGAAGGTGCCTGAATGCTTCAGACATCATTGCCTGGATTCAGGACGATTAAGGTAAGCCTAAGGGGCAGAGTGCAGCAACTCATGCTTAGTCTTGAATAACATTGGCTTAGAGGAACTCAAACCCACACTATCAATTGAGTGCTGCCTGAGTGGCAGTGCTTGCATGGTTAAATGAAGGGTGCTATTGTTGGTATGGTTGTGCTGAATGCCTTTAACCCTACTTCAGCATATGTTCTCTATAAGGGAAGTGTGTGTCCCATTGGGTACGCCAGCTTTGCTGTGTGCAGAACAGAAGGCTGAAATGCTACTGAGCATGCTGGGGCTCTGCTGATTTGTCAAACACAAAGAGGTTTACTGGGGGTTTGGTATGCGGTTGGATGTTCCAAGGAATTCCTTTAAAAGTTACTGGATGTAATTAATTTAAGCTGTTCAAATGGGTGAGATCCACCCCCAGCCTGTGGTTTGGGTTTATTTTTAAATGATGTTCTAATAATGTTTACGAAGATGTGTGGTGACTAAATGCTCTAAAAATGAAATCTCCTGGAAACATGTGCATGCACCACACATCTCCCACACCTGTACTTCCACAAGGCTCACTGTATGCCAGGGTAAGTTATGTCTGCCGAGAGGCAGGCAAGGCTGTGGCTGAAGTGTTGGAATAGCAGATGTTGAAAATGAACCGCTGGCTTCCATAAGCAAGTGGAAAAGGGGGATTTTGTGGCTGGAATAGATGACTTAAATGGCAGCAACAGCGCAGTGTCTGGTTTGGAGCAAGTGCCTGGCTTAGCTGGGTAGATTCTTAATCTGTTGGTACATTGACTGCTCCACTTCAGCATCCCCATTCGTACATAGTTAGACATTATTTAATAATTTGGGGTGACACTGAGGGGACGGAGGAGGAGGTGCATTTGGAGACACAGTCTCTTTCTAGGAGCACACTCAGAAATGCTGTTTGTCTTTGCCCCAAGCAAGCGTTCAGTTTGCAACACATAGAAGTGGTGTTTCTCTACAGCCCTTCACAGCTCTGCCTGCCAGCAGCGATCAGCTGCTTAAATCTGCAGGGGAGGGGAGGCCTGTGGCTCCAGATAGCACCTTGACTGTGGGAAAAGCAGAGGGCAGGGAGAAGCCAAGGGGTGTGCAGGGAGTGAGGTAGGGATGCAGGACGTACTGCGTCTGGCACTGGTGAAGATCGGGTCCAACCGACGGGAGCTGCTCCTTGTACCTGTGGGCACAGCATGTATGGTATGACCCTCCCTGCATGCTCAACTCATGGAGGTTTTCTAGACCCACTCCCAGAGGTAAAGACTGAGTTTGGGGCTTATTGAAGTGAAAGGCAGATGTCTTGTTTTGTAATTGCTGTGGCCCAAACCTCAGTATTTTGCTGGGTGTAACCCACAGCACCGCCATCCTCACCCCATGGTCTCAAGGACAAGCTGTGGTCACGCAGCTGACCTTCAGCTTTCCAGGACTGGAGCCAGTGGTGTATGTCAGCCAGAGCTCCAACCCCACAAGAGGGTGCGGGGTCAGCACCATTTGTTCCATTGTCTCAATGTCCCATCTGCTCCAGTGATTTGGTTCAGTTTGAAATCAAGACTGCAAAGAATAAAAGATGTCCCAGTGAAGGGAAGCCGTCAGGGTGGAACGTAACTCACCCTCTAGGCTGAGCATCACTATTGGTCTGAAGGTTCTCTGTCCTATCTGGATCCTGCCAAGGCCTTGTCTTACAAGCCTTTGACCTAGGGGTTCAAGAAATCAGAGATTAAAATAGATTATTATTAATAATATAATTGGATGTGAGTGGTCAGGCATGGCTTGACTGTGTTCCATGTCCCTCCTGCTGGGATTTCCCCTGGTCCTGCTGCGTTTTGGGCTTGCTGCCCTCTGTGTTGGAGCAGCTGTGACCAAAACATCTTTTTATATCTGAAGGTATAAGATGTATCCCCCCTCTCCCTGCATGGGGGAGGAACAAATCCAATGAGGGGATGAGCTTGGGTTAACCCTGGGAGTTGAGCCCAGGGCTGCCTGATGTAGAGGAGTCTGGAACCTCCCCACCAAATTCTGACCTTTCTGTGCTTATCCCCAAGCTTGTCACCAGAGCCCTTCAGAGTGAAATTCCTCCACGACCTCAAAACAAATCCAAACAGCCTGCAGGCACCCTGCTCTGCAAAACCTAAGTAAATTGGGCCCTGCTCATCTTAGATATGGGCACTCTGCCCTCGCCGTGTCTGCTGATAGAATCATCAAGGTTGGAAATGATCTCTGAGATCATTGAGTCCAACCATCAACCCATCACCACCACGCCCAGTAAGCCATGTCAGATCTGTGTTTGGGGACACCAGTGTTGCACCTTCACCTGAACTGGTTGTGGCTCCCAATAGCAGCAGCAGCAGCGCCCATCCTCTTGCAGTGACCAGCATCACGTCCAGAGGTAACTGGAAGCTTCCTCAAGGACCTGGAGCTGTCCTACGTCCCTCAGACCTATGGGGACAAACCCAGCTGTGTCAAATCCTACCTACAGGATGCTGCTCCCAATGGGTGCCCAATCTCCCATCCTGGTTGTTCAAATGTCACCCCACTCCCATTGCAAAAATCTCACTCAGAGGCTGTCCAGTTGTGGCAGCTCCTATCCATTTGTCCCCCCACAGTGGAGGCAACATATCCTGCTGACTTGCAGTGGCATCCCATCCCCACTCCAAATCTATTCTGCAGAGGAGCACAGATTGTAATGACATCTCCTTACTGAGTCCTTTTCAGAATAAGTGCTTCTGCAGAACCTCAGCCCCCGTCCCTCTGCCCACAGCCTGGGCTCAGAGCTCCTGGGAAAGGGAAGGCTCACAGGCAAAGCTGGGAGCATAAAACCCCGTGCAGAAGCCAAGCTCTTACTGTGATGCTGTGATTGTCAGCGAGCAGCCAGAAATTGTCTTTTTTTTTCCATCACAGCCCTGTGGCTTTGAGCATTGAAGTACCAGGTTTTGAGCAGCTGTTGCTCAGTGGCCCTGCTGCAGTTATGAGTACATTGTGTTGTGCACCACAACAAATGAACCTGGGGGATAATTGGGGTATTCTGTGATTCCATGTTGCCGCAGCTGCTCAGTGCCTCAGTTTACCCCAACCCAAGGCTGCAAGCAACCACTGCCGCTTGTAACTAACCTCCCCAAGAACGGGTGCCATGGGAGTAGGAAATACTTTGATTACAGCTCAGCGAATCCCAGTCAAGCACAAATAACGAGCAACACATGAGCAGGATTTTGTGAGCTTACGGCAGGGTCACGAACTCACAGCCAGACAATAACCAGGAGAAATGCATGCAGGCGGAAAGCCCCGTTCCCACTCACGGGTTATTTTGGGATCCGGCTGCAACTCATACGGGGTTTCATACGGATGTGGGGACACATCCCCCCCTCTCTGGGGCTCAGTCCCAAAGTGCTGCAGGACAAAGTGCAGGAACAGAGTTCTGGTCTCCCCAGACCCCCCTCTGAACCCTGTGCGAAACCCATTTGGTGACGTTGCAATGGGATGGCTGGCGATGCCGAGCAGCCCGGCAGCCTCCCACACCGCAGCAACAATTCCCACTTCACCCTCAATCACAGCCGCTTGTAATTACGCTGCCTTAATTACGCAGCGAAGTTATATAACGCCTGTGCTGCGAAGGAAGGAAAAACTTAAGAGTGATTCTTTAGTATTATTATTTTTTCTCTTACCTACAAAAACCATAAAACCCCCAACGAAGGAGAGTCCCGTCCTCTCGTTCCGAGGAGCGCGGGCTGGGAGCAGCCGAAGGGATTTGAGGAGCCGTGCTTTCCCGGATCTCAGTGCTGCCTGCGAAGCGCAAAGTTCCCGCAGCTCGAGCGGAGAGAGCGCTTATATAGCGCGGCGTGAGGCTCCGGGATGGCACCGCGCCACGGGCTGCAGCGGGTCGGGCGGGCGAGGAAAGCGCCGGCGGAATAATCCCTCGGCGAAGTGATGGTAAACACGGGGCTGGGCTGCGGGGCTGACCTGCGGGAGTGGGGCTTTGGGGTTGGGGTTGTGGCCAAGTCGGGGACACTGAGCTGTTAATGCCATCAGGCTGTGCTATGGGAGATGCTCTGGGTTTGATTCCCAATTGAATGGCAATGGCAGTTTGTATGGGATATTCCACAGGTGCCGCAGTGAGGATGCTCTGGGGTTTCCAGCTGGCTGGGGATGAGGTGGTGCCCTTCAGTGCCCTAAGGGTTCCCCACATTTGGGATACATACAGCTGTCCTGGGGGTATGGGACATGGGACAGATGCTTGCTCAGATCCCATGGTGTTTCAGGAGAAGATTCTGCCCCAACATGCAGTGGGCATGGAATGCTCCCAGGGCAGTGGGCACAGCCCTGAGCTGCCAGAGTTCAGGCAGCTCTGGAAAACCTCTCTCAGGAGTAGGGTTTGGAAAGAGCTGCACTGACACAGACTGCCCAAGGACTGGTGGGGTGTTCCAGAACAGTGGAGATGCGGTGCTGAGGGACACAGAGTCAGTGGGCAATGGTGGGGGTGAGCTGGTGTTGGACTTGGGCATCTCAGCAGTCTTTTCCAACCTTAGTGATTCTATGGTTTTGGGGTGGTCCTGCATGGATACAGAAGGTGGATCAATTGCCCAATGGGTTATTTCCAGCTTGGGATATTCTCTGATCCTATGGAGCAGCACAGAGCTGCAGAGGCAGGATCCTTGCTGGGACCCTCCTTGCAAGTCAGTGTGTCCTCATCTCACTTGAGCCATGGGGACAACTGGCAAAGCCCCCAGTGAGACCTCCCCTCTCCCCCCTTAGAACTCTACAAAAGGAGATTTGGAGCCATGTGTAAGAATGTATGCCTGCAGAGCCGTACCTGCTGCAGCATGGCACAACATGGAGTGTACATTCAGATACGGACGGGGACAGGATGGGGACAGGACAGAATAGGACAGGCTGCCCTCTTAGTAATCCCTCCTGGCCCTGCTGCCAGAGGGAGCAGTGCAGGAGGACATTGATCAGTGTCACATAAAAATTAATTGGTGGTGCCCAGCGCTGACTCCTGTTTCTGTTTACAAGGGAAAAGAAGAAAACAAGCTGGGATTTGCCAAGAAGTGGTAGAATGTTTATCCAGCGAGCAAGGAGCAGCCAGATCAGGGGTTGCCTTGCTGCAAGGTTGGGCTGATCACAGCCCAGGGATGCTCAGGAGAAGGCAGGATGCTGCCCATAGCCATGGGGAAGGATGCAGCTTGCACGTGTAGATGTGGTACTTAGGGACATGGTTTAGTGGATAATATTGGTGGTAGGTGGGTATTTGGACTGGATGATCTTAGAGATATTTTCCAACCTTGATTCTATGATTATTTGGTCTGCTTATCCATTGCTGGCATTTCCCTGCACAAAGCCAAGGGCTGGAGAGGCCATATTCCCCTCCCGCCCCACGCCATGATGAGCCCTGGGAGGCCCAGCTGGCTCTTACAGACTTTTTTCCATGGTTTGCTCACCGATGCATAATTAGAAAACAATAGTGTATTGATGGGAACGCTGCCATGCTGAATGCTTTCCCTCAGCCCAGTGCCGAGATGCAGTAGTGCACGAAAACCGTGATAGAGACAGTGGGACCTCACTTCCCTGTCCACAGTCCTTCACAGGGCATGTCCATTGCTCTTCTCTTGCCCAAACCAGGGGAAAACGTGGCCATGATGTTCACTCAGCTGTCTGTGCTTCCCCTCCTGTCCAATACACCACCGACACAGTGACCATCACCAAAATCACTGCACTACACTGGGGGTCAGTGGAGTTTGCACCCTGTGAAGTCCACGAGGGACCGGTGGGGCCACGTTCTGCTCCTCTCTGCCCGTGGCACCAGAAGGAGCTGACGCTTTTTTTCCCCTGCTCTGTGTCTCTGAACTTGCTCCTGTTTACAGAGATCGGAGTGAAAATAACTGATTGATGACTTTGTTCCATCCCAAGCACTTTGGGGAAGGCTGTGTGTTCTCGGAGCTGGGAGCTGGGATTTCGCTAAGCACTTGGCTCCCAGCAGTGCTCCAGTGGTGGCTGATGCAGAGCTGGAGCTGTTGTTTTTAAATCCTGTTTTGACATTCCAGGACTTGGACCGTCCCTGTTTATGGGCTGGATGAAATTTTGGAGGTGTTGTGGGTCCCTGGACTTAGCGCTGAGGTTTGAACCACCACCAGCAAACCTCTCAGCTGCCACAATATTGTTTCGCTTAAGCCCTCCTCCACCGCTTCATCAGCACAAAAGCAAACTCCAGCTGCCTAAAAGCTTTGGGAAAAAGCCCAAAGAAGGAACTACTGGAGTTTGTTTTTATTACACAGATGAGGATTTATGGGCTGTGGCTAAGCAAGAAGGAGCAGTCTGGTGTTTCCCCCTGGAAGGATTCTCTTAGGGGCTGAACCCATAGTGCAGGCTCCACCTGTAGCATTGATAGAGTTATAGAATTGTTTGTGTTGGAAGGGGCCTTTAAAGGTCATCTGGTCCAACTTCTCTTGCAATGACAGGGACATCTCCTGTTACAGAGGAGGGCCACAAAGATGACCAAAGGGCTGAAGCACCTCTCAGATGAAGAAAGCTTGGGAGCTGGTTTTGTTTAGCTTGGAAAATAAAAGGCTCAATGAGGGCAGACCTCATTGTGGCCTTACAGTGCTTGAAAGGAGCTTATAAGAAGGAGGAGGACAAATTTTTTACATTATCTGAAAGTGACAGAATAAGGGAGAAAGGCTATAAACTAATAGAGGGGAGATTTAGGTTAGATGTTAAGAAGAAATGGTTAGATGTTAGGAAGAAATTCTTTATTCAGAGGCCAGTGAGGCCTTTGCACAGGTGCCCAGAGAAATTGTGGATGCCCCATCTCTGGAGGTGCTCAAAGCCAAGTTGGATGGGGTTCTGTGGCAGGATGGGCTTTGAGGTCCCTTCCAAAATAAGGTCTATAGCTTGATCAGGCTGCTTGGAGCCCTGAACAACCTAACCTTAAATATCTCCAGGGATGGAACATCCACTCACATCTGGGAAATAGGAGCAGAAAGCACTGCAGAATGGGCACAACACAGTGGTCTTGGGGTCAACAGAGTCCCCTAGCATGTCCCTCCTGATGTCATGGCCATCACTGGGCTCACTCCTTCCCCATCATACCTCCGAAGAGGTGAGATGGAGGTTGATCCAAGAGCACCAGAAAGTCTCAATAGCAAATCCCTTTATAATCACATTGCTGAGCATGACTCATCTCAACACCACAAGACGTGGCCACTGTTTCATAGAGTCACAGGGTCATTAAGGCTGGAAAGGATCACCAAGTCCAACCATTGACCCATCACCACCATGCCCACTGAACCATGGCCCTCTGAGTACTGCACGTCCCAGCCAGCACCTTCCTGTCCCACGCCTGCAGTGCGAGTGGTGCCGGATTGGTGCAGTCCAGAGGTCAAGGCAAGGCAGGGTGTGATGGGACCACATTTGGATGGCTCTGAATGGGGACATTTAACATGCAATGGAAAGACAGTAGCAGAGCTCCAACCCACAGCCCTCCAGGTGTTTGGTTTTGCTGCTTGGTGGACAAAGATCATCCTGTGTTGGCTTGAGCAATTAATTAGTCTTGAAGAAATCCATAATTTATTGCTCTTATTTACAGGCAATTGCTTCAGGCTCAGATGCACTCAGAGCTGGAGGAAGGTGATAGGGTGGTAGCCTTTGTTTTACTCATAATTTTTCTTGCTCCGTTTTTCTCTCTAGATCAGGTCAGGGCAGGAAGGGTGGCAGCTGATTGATGCTGGCAAAGCACTGTCAGGATTTCATGAACTGGAGCATCAAGCCAAGAGCTGCTCTTTGGCAACATCTGGATAACCAACAGTGCCTTCTGGGAATGGATTTGCAAATGACAATCCCCAAAAAAGCAGCACCGTGTCCTCCCCAGGAGGGAAAGAGGATGCCATGGTGAGTTCTGTGGCTCAGCTCCATCCTGTGGATACAGCTTTTCCCGTAAGAAACATCAGATTTGGGTCCAAACACCCTGGGGAGCATGAGAGAGATGAGGGCGTTTGATGCACGCGGCCAGCAGGAAGAGGCGGGAGACGATGGAAGCAGAAGAGTAAAAATAGGATGGATGAAAGAGGGCACGGAAGATGAGGAGGAGGAGAGCCACCAAAACCCATCCAAAACCAAGAGCAAAATTGTTCGCTTCCGTAGGTTAGTCACAATGAAAACATTTGGATTTCATCACTTCTTCCAGCTCAAGAAAAATACCAGGCTCAGGCAGCAAGGTCACTGGGCAGGTCACCAAACCCATGTGCTGATGGACTGCACCTTGAGGCTTATTCTATGGAAACCATCTCACCTCTTTCAAACATTTAGGCATGGTGAAGGGTGGGTGTGAGGGGACAGCATCCTCCTTATCAGCTTGCTCACCTTTCTGCCATCCTTCCCAGCTCCCTGTGGACATCGCTAGGAACGACTGACCATGGCTCACTGAGCTCAGCAGTACCATGCTATCAAAAACCAACCACTCTGATGGGACTGAGCACTGAGAACATGTTTTTCCTCGATACTTAGAGGCATAACGCGCTTGAAGAAGGGTCTGAGTGCTGCAGCAACTCTGAATCTAGAAACAGAGCATTATTGTACAAAGAAACACCCCAAAGAAGTCATAAAGATGTCTGCAAACAGCTGCATGCACCTCACTGGGTACAGCCTTCTTGCTCTGTAGTTTTGCCACGGTCACACCCAACATACAGATTGAACAGGTGCCCTGTGACCCCCTTGCTGCTTTCTGCTGTGAATATTTCAGCAAACTGGTGTGATGCCCAGCCCCAGTGCTGTTTTTAGTGAGCAGGAGGAGAGCAGGGAGCCACGCGCTGTCTGCTGTGGACTTTGGGGAAGAACAGAAGCCATTCCAGGGCTGAGCTCATCTCTAACCCCAGGAAATGACTTCATGGACACTGGTATTTACTCACAAAAACACTGCATGTCAGATGTCCCTGACTAGACTTTCTGTTTCAAGTCCAGTATGAGACAAGAATTTCCTTGGACGAGTGGCTCCGGAGACAATTCAGGGCTTGGAGGAGGAAAAGAAGAACCAGAAGAAAAATGTCTGCATTTGAGAGTCTGAAGGGTGAGGCTCTCTGAGCAAACAGGGATTCAGGGATGCCAAAAGCACCTGCACAAGGGCAGGGAATGAGGGTCTGCAAGACCCCAATTTATATGGGATGTGCAATGCAAAACGTGCTCCAGCTGCACTTCTGCTGCAGGTGATCCCGTGCTCCTTTTGGTCCCAGGACAGCATCCCAGCCCAGTGGGGGCTTATGGGAACAGCCCAGCAGTGCTGCTTCCCAGTCCTGCTGCCCAACAACGTGATGGTTAAACCAGCACTCAGCAGGCAGCTGACCTTTACGGAGAGGAGCAGCAACAACAACAAAAAGAAAACACAGGAGATTTACTTCGAAAAAATAAAAAAATGAGGAAAAATAGTCATTTTAACAAGGGACCACACCCTTAAAATGTCTTATTAGTAATGCATGCCCAGGACATGGCTGCGTGATGGCATGCTGCAAAAATCCTCTCTGAACAGGGACCAAAGCCTTTGTCGTGGCATGAGTGAGGCGGATGGTTCCCAGGAAAAATCCTGTCCTTCTCTTGCATCATGCATTTGGGGTCGGGAGGACGTTTCCAGACAAGGGGCAGCCGGCCAGGAGGGAGGACAAACAGGGAATGCATTCCTGACCCACTATTTAATTGCCTTAGTGCAGGTGCAAAGAGCTAAGTGAAAGGAAAAATCAAGATGTGGGGCTGCATTCCTCTCCGCTTTGTCCAGAGGAGAAGGCTGCTGCCATGAGTGGGCTCACACCCAGCTCCTGTGTGCTTTCAGTGCTTTTTTCAGCCTCAGGAGCAGTCTCTCCTCACGGATGTCCATGCCAGGTAAGGAGCCAGTGGGGACTTTTCCCTCCTGCTCTCCCCACCATGGCTTTGGGTCCTTGGGGACAAGCTCCCTCCATCCCCATGGGCTGGCATTTTGGGGGTGGCTTTGCTTTTCTCTTTCCCTTTGGATGTAGAAGTGATGCAGGGTGTAGGATGCTGGATGTGGTCCCGTAAAGGCTGTGCGTGCCCTGGATCTCAGGGTTGTGCCACATGCTGCCTTTACCCAAAACCTTGCGTGAGCCACCCACTGCCATGGTAGGCAGCATGACTGAAACTACAGAGAGGGGAAACGAGCCCCAACTGTGTGGTTTTTGAGCCCCCATGAGCTCTTTGTCCACTCTGGGACTTTGTGTGATCATGGAATCCTCATAGAATCATTAAGATTGGAAAAGACCTCTAATATCATCTAGTCCGCATATCACTAAAATGCTGAAATAAACACAAAAAAATAATGAGATGTGAATTGGGAAAGCAGAGATAAACGAGTTTATTTATTAAAGCGGCAACATGACCAAAGTTCCCCTTTGGGTTTTAATCCCTCCTTATGGTAGTTCCACACCTGAGCTCACCTCCGGGCTCACACAGACCCAGCCAGTGGTGAGCATTGCTGGGTGCGCACATGGCCATGTAGGCTGCGAGCTCCCGGTTGTCTGAGCAACAGGATGCTCATCGCCAACCCCGGTGATAATTAACTCATTTCCCTGTATTTATAGAAAACCGATGCGGTGCATGCTGGCACTGGTCCCTGATGGGGCCACGTTTGGTCACAATACCACAGACAACATCCTGAGCGCTGGCCACTTCTTGCCATCCATCAGCTCCACTCCCACAGCCGGCTCATTAGGACTAAAAGCGGATCGCTCGTTAAGCCAGCAGGGCAGGGGTGCCCACCTCCAGGTTTGCTGCAGGGGATGTTTGCGTCGGTGTTGCCTTCTCCAGATGCCAGGGGCTGCATACATCTCTGCTAATAGCAGTGAGCTGCCGGCTGTGCAGACGCACGGATGCTCAGCACTGGAACTGCCTGACTTGCTGCGGGGACGGGCAGCATTTCTCTTCGCTTCAGGGCATGTGTGTGCCAGGTACGTCCCCATCTGCTGGGACAAGTCCACAAGGACAGCAATGTCTTGGGACTTTGTACTGCTGTTTCTTTTCTCTGCTTGCTTTTTGGGTGTTGGGGAGGAAAGGGATGGATCAGCAAAGGGACTGGAAGAGGGAATTGATGTCTCCATCCCACGGGCACATTGGGTAGGATGGACAAGTTCCCCAGGGGAACAGGTTGGTCTTTGCAACTCGTTTCAAGGTGGGGAATGTGTTAATTGGGTATTGGCAACCAGAAGGCTCTCAGGATGCTCCTGGCAATGGGAAGCATTAATGCTTGTGTGTATGAGGGTTCGGAGCATTTGCCCTTGAAATGCAAGCTGTCCCCAAGCTGGCTGTGCTTGGGAATAAAGGGGCAATTAGATCAAAGCAGAGGCACTCATCAGCTGGGCACAGGGGACCCGGCACCATGGTTGAAGGCAGACCATTAAGCGTTAAATTGCTAATGGGAAGCACTGTGGGGTTTTTTAAAAGGTTGAAATCTACTTGTAAAGGAAGGATGTGCTATCCCATGGCTGCAGCCACCGCTCATCAGCTGCTCTACTGCCTTGCAAAAAGCTAAAAATACATCTGGGCAAGCAATTGCTATAGCTACAGGGGGCTGAGTGAGAGCTGGGGAGGGCACATGGGCAGCCCAAATGAGCATCACATGGATGGGCAGTGCGGAGCTAGGGTTGATTGCTGCCAGATTGCACATCCCACCTTCTCCTGATCTAAGGATAAATGTTGCACTGAGTGATGTGGTCTGGAGCACTCACAGGCATGGGTTGATGGTTGGACTGGATGATCATATTGGTCTTTTCAACCTTAATAGTTCTATGATCTCTCCCTAATTACCAGCTGCTTTAATTGAAGCTGAACCGCCCCACCACCCCACCACGGAGGGGGTCACCAACACCTCGGCTGCTCACTGCCCGGAGCACTGGGTCGAGCCCCAGTTCACACAGGCAGCAAAGGTGCGCGTGGCCGTCACGGCCATCTTCTTCTTGCTGGCGGCGTGCAGCAATACAGCAGTGCTGGGCAGCCTGCTGAGGAAGAGGAGGAAGTGCCACGTGCGGCCACTGATCCTCAGCCTGGCGCTGGCCGACCTGCTGGTGACGGTGACAGTGATGCCCTTGGATGCGGCATGGAATGTGACGGTGCAGTGGTACGGCGGAGACCTCTCCTGCAAGCTCCTCAACTTCCTCAAGCTCTTTGCCATGTACGCGGCTGCCCTGGTGCTGGTGGTCATCAGCCTGGACCGGCATGCTGCTGTCCTCCAGCCCTTTGCCCGTGCCCAACGCCGCAATGGGCTGCTGCTGCGTGCTGCATGGCTGGGCAGTGTGCTGCTGGCATCACCCCAGGTAGGGCTGGATGGCTTCCTTATGGGGTTAGCGGGCTGGTTGGGTTGGAAAAGGGCTTCAGCAACAAATCCATCCCAATCTGTGATCCCACCATGGCCAGACTGGCTTTGCAACTAGTCCATCCCAGTCCATGGATTCCACCATGGCCAGATTGCTGTGTTTGGTGCACTGAAGAGTGGTTGAGGTCTCTCTTGGTTTGTTCATTCCAGAGACAAGGAGGCTGAGGGGAGGCCTTATGGTGCCCTAGAGCCTCCTCATAGCATCCTCCAGCTTCCTCCCAAGGGGAATGGAGAGGCAGTGATCTCCTCTCTCTTGTTACAGTGACATGATCGAAGAGAATAGCACAGAGCTGCATGCATTGGCCCCAAGCACTGCCTGGATGCAGTGTCCTGCCCCAGAGCTTCTCTGAGTTGTGATTTGGTTCTTGATTTCAGCTATTTCTCTTCCACCTGCACACGGTCCCAGGAGGGAACTTCACACAATGCGTTACTCACGGCAGCTTCCGAGCACACTGGGAAGAAACTGTCTACAACATGTTCACCTTCACCACCCTCTATATCACCCCCCTGAGCATCATGATTGTTTGCTACGTCCGAATCATTTGGGAGATCAGTAAGCAGCTAAAGATCAACAAAAGTAAGCAGGTCCTTAGGCTTCAGCAGGATTCTGGGATTCCCACTGGTGGTTACATTCTCCTTGTTCTCTCACACCTCCTGCTGTCCTTTTGACTCTCCCCAACAGGTCTGGTAAGAAGTCAAAATGACCACATCTCCAAGGCACGCATGAAGACTCTCAAGATGACCATTGTGATTGTTGCCACCTTCATCATCTGCTGGACCCCGTACTACCTCCTGGGCTTGTGGTACTGGTTCCAGCCAGCCATGATCCAGAAGATGCCAGAGTACATCAACCACAGCTTCTTTCTCTTCGGCTTGCTGCACACATGCACTGACCCCATCATTTACGGACTGTACACCCCCTCGTTTCGGGAGGACGTGCAATTGTGTCTCAGGGGAATTGAAGCAGCCATTACCAGGCATGAGAGACACAAACCCAACTTAGTCTCAGAGAAGACCACCAAGGATGGGGCTGTCAATGGCCAGGTGGCATCGGGTGGCTCCAATGGGACAACCATTAACACGGTGTGCTGAAGAGACATACCCAAAAGGAGACTAGAAGTGCAGCATCAGGGGCTGCTTTGTCTGGGAGGATGAATTTGGAGACAAGTTCACCAACTGACTGTGGGGGGTGGGGGTCTATAGCCAGAAACCATGAACATTTCTCCTGCCTGTACTCAGAGTGAATCCTCAGGTAGGAGCTACTCTCTCACCCAGCACAAGGAAGATGCAGTAGAGGGGCTGAGCTTCACTCATTAGAGCCTGACAAGCCTGAGATCTTGTCCACTTTTCTTGCTGTGACATCCATAAAAGCAGTTTTGGGGTCACTGCCTGACCCTTCTCCCCTCAGTCTACCTCTGTAGGGAGGCAGGAGATGCTGTGGGGATGGAGATGGACAAGAATGATACAAAGAGCTGCAGTAGGCTGAGGTAGAATTGGAAGGGACACAGTGGTGTCTCTTCTCATGCAGCAGTGGTGTGGATATGTCCTTATGTAGCAACAATCTGAGACACAGGGTTGACCAGAAGTGAGGATTTGGGGGTAACCAAAGGGTGAGACCAAGACCTGCTGCTGCCTAGCCCCTCTCACTGGCAAGTCTCACGCCAGGCACAGGCCTGCAACTGCCATCTTGCACACGCTAACAGAACAAACCCCATCTTTTCTCTTCCCTCCTTTCCCCTTTATCACATGCTCATATTTGCTCTGCCCTAACACCCACACCTCACTTCTGACTCCAGTCAGAGTGCATGCAGCCAGGTGCAGTTGATGGCCCTGTGCATCCTAAGGAGGACTGTGATGGGAAACACCTGTGGGTGGAGTGCTCATCAGCTGCTCTGGGTGCCAGCTGGGTGCTCGTGGCCTTTAAATGCACTGCACAGAGAAGAGAAGCTGCTAGAAGAGTCAGGGTGGTGGAAGGAAGGAGTTGGTTGAGCTCTGGTGAGTAAAATGGTTTATTTTTATTTTGTATTTTATTTATTTATTGTCTTTTCACTAATGTGCCAGAAGTTTGTGGAGGTCTTTGTCTTTTAGGTGTGTGTTAAAGATGTGAATTTATTCAGCTGTGTTGTTATCTTCCATGCAGTTAGGGATGATTGATTACTTCTCTGTGATATGCTCATTGTTGTTGAATGTTTTGTTTTCTTGTTGCTGAAGGCGGCTTTAGGTGGAGCTGAGTGGAGTTCTTTGGGGTTGCTGGTTGGCTGTTTTTTGTTGTGTGAAATCCTTGGACAATTGAGGTTCTGGATTTATCAGGAGACAGTTCTGAGTATTTTTGTGACTACTGTAGCTTTGAATGCTGCTGGACTTTACCAGAGTGAACATATTAATGAGACTCTTGACTTGTTGTGGCTGTAAATGTGTGTGGGGAAGCTGAGATCCCCCAGGAAAGCAAATATTCCTTAAGAAGTCTGGAGTGATGAATCCCTGCTGGTAAGAAAGGACCTGGATTGGTCGCCCAGTGCCCAGCCCATGAAAACTCAGTGGGGTTTGAACTAAAGGAGTGGTAAGTGGTCTTTGCTGAGTGGTTTGGGTGATACCAGGCTGGGGACAGGTGTTGAGTGTTTGCCTTTCCCTGTGGTAAGCATCGTCTCTGTTAACTACCCAAGGTGGGGGGGGAAAAAAAATCAATCAGAGCTGTAGGAGCCCAGTCAGCTAACTGGGGTTAATTTGAGCCCTTCAGAAAGCATCTGAACTCCAATGAGATGTGTAATTGCCATTTGGCTTTCCTGGGCTCGCTCCACTCAAGGTTAATTATGCAATGCTAACTGAGTAGGGCTCGCTGGTGCCAGGCTTGGTCTTGGTTTGACTGGTGCCAGTAGGAGTTTCTTCAAAGGTGGTGAGAGTGGCTTCTGGTGGGGAAGGCAACTTGGTAATCAGACCCTCCTTTAGCAGCCCTGTCTGTAGCAGGGGCGTGGAACTAGATGAAATACAAGGTCCACTCAACTTATGCTATTCTATAACTCCATTGGAAGGGAATTGGAAGACTGAAGATCCATTCAGGGAGAAAAATGTGTTGGTTGTTTGAGCCTTGAATTAGTGGTAAAGTGCCTTTAATCTCTTAAAGACATTCTTTAGTGAATTTCTGCTGAGTGGGAGCAAATGTATCCAGGCTTATTTAAGGCCGCTTCTCCACTCTTATATGGCGTTAGGAGAGCTTGGAGACCTCTAAGAAGTGTTTTCCCTTTTGGGAGGAACTTGTCACCTTTATGGCCTATAGTATAGTGGAAGAGCATAAATTGTTCTGGCTCTGGGATACTTTTAAGGAATTCTTTCCTAGGAGGGTGGTGAGGCATTAGAGAGGTTGTCCAGAGCTGTGGCAGTCGCATCCCTGGAGGTGCTCAAGGCCAGGCTGGGTGAAGCTTTGAGCAGCCTGGTCCAGTGGGAAGTGTCCCTGCTCATACTGGGGGGGGGGGTTAAACTAGATGATGTGAAAGCTCCATTTCAACCCAAACCACTCGGTGATTCTATGAACTGTGCCACAATAGGAAAACTCTTCTCCTTGGGGTGCTGGGGAGGATACATACCTCAGTCCTTGGGACGTGGTCCCTAAGATGCTTGTGGGTGCTTTGTGCATGCTGTGTGTTATTCCCTATTGCTTCCTTTCTTCCCTTCTCTGGTGCTCAAGGCTGACATTTCGGCAAGCCCAGAGCACAGGCAAGATGCCCAAAGTGACAGCTTTCATGATAGAAGGGAAATGTCACGGGGGGGAGTGTGCTACCAAGCAGTGCCCTGCTTCTCCTCGCCCTGCATGCTTCTGCTTTCTGCCCTGGTTGCCTGCCTGCATGGCCTCAGCTGTGGCACTGAGGGACGTGGCCTGGTGGGCATGGTGGGCATGGGCTGATGGTTGGGCTTGGTGACCTTTGGAGGTCTTTTCCAATCTTAACAATTCTGTGATTCTTACACACTGCTTCAGACAGTTTCTTTGTTCAGGAAGAAGCTCTGATCCGTTTTCCATTAGCATTTTTATAGCACTGTGTGTGTTCAAAAAGCCACACAAGTGGCTTAAGAGCTTAACGTGAACCTCAGGTTAATTCAGAATATTGTTGGTTACTCAACACAACACTCGCATTAATTCAGTTGACTGCATCTCACCACGTTGGGAAACACATGCTGAAATCAGCAGGGAGCACGGAAAACAAGCACAAGAGTTGGGTATTAAGTATTTTGCTGGCCGGCTAAGATAGAATGCATTCATTTTCCTATTGCCTTTGAGATCAGCAGTCCCAGATGGGGCTCTAGAGCTCCAGAGAACCACCAGGGCACCAGCCTGTGGTTCCCTGCCTGCAGCCCCTCTCTCCTTTGGGTCTGCTCAAACCTGGGAGTGGAAAAATCCACTCTTTGGTACTGCTGGTTTAACACAGTGCTGGTTTAAAGCCAAATAAAAGCCCAGCCAGACACTGGGAGATAGTGCTGAATGGCCACTATGCGTTAATTCATTCTGCTTATCCTTCAGGAAATTTCCCTATGCAAAGGAGCCTTCAAACCCTGCCACGTTTCTTCCCATCTGTTCCTTCTGCCTGGCTGGTGGGCTCCCAGGTCTGTGCCTCTCCCTGCAGCAAAGCAACCATCCATCAAACAACTGCTGCTTCAGCCCCTCCTTTTTTAAAGGGCCTTGGATCTCCCATCTGTTCCCAAAGATGTTTCATTTGCAGGCACACACCAAGGCTCTTACCAACACAGCACCACCCTCCAGACAGTACCAAACAGCTTTAGGATTTCTGCCTGGCATCCTGCTACCCTAAACCCATGGCACACTAAAGATCACGTGTTGAGATAGACCAAAAGCAGGCAAAAAAAATCTCAGAAACACAATGCATGCTTCAAACCTCAAGTTCCTGGATTGGAATATCCAGCTACTGTAGTTGAATCTGTTGTGCAATAAATTGTTGGTTTATGTATATTTTAATTGCAAATCACTGCTATAATTAGCACGTATGTTTCGTGGGCTGTGGCAATGCAATGTGCTGTACCAGTGAGCATTATTAATGGACTGTAAAAGGCAATGGGGAATTGGACTATAATGTTCTTGTTTTGCAAGCTGTATGGTGAATAAATAAATTGGTCTTGGCAGTAAAATTAACTGGAATAAATGCTTCCAGCTCTATCCACCAAGGAGAGGGGTTGCTGTACATGTCCTCAGAACTGAGTTAGGAAACCTAATTGGCAGGTTGTTATTTCTGGCAATTAGGTAGCAGAACAATGTTAGAGAAAGAAAGAGATCTTTAAAGTATGCCATGAGTAGGGTTGGTAATCACAGACTCCTTTGCTATGGATATGTGGTGAGATCATGTTCTGGTTAGCCCCAACCCTAAAAAGGCTGCCAGGTGGCTGTGCATGGAACCCTTTACCCTCTCTCTTCTTCCTGTGGAAAATAGAAGTGGAAAGCAGTCTGACAGCAAAATGCACGCTCAGAATTGATGCTGAAGTGCCCAAGTCTGTCTGATCTTATGTGCCCAAGGTGTGGGTCATAGCTGAGAGCACCAATCCTGTACGTGTTTCATGGGGAGGAGGGATGGCACTTCAGTAGAAGTCATTTAGTTTCTTCCATTTTGGTTGCTGTTTTATTTTTTTTCTTACAATCATTATGCTTAAATATAAAAATTAATGGTCAAAATCATATTCTGTTTTAAATGTGAACCCACCTGCATTGATACATACTAAACATCACTACATACAGTTTCTGAAAACAAACTTGGACTTTGTCTGACATACAAGGAAAAACTTTCCCTTCTACGTAGTGCAAACATTACTAACCCCGTCTGACAGAAAATAATGACAGCAGAATATTTCCACACTTAGTTTTCATTAATTTTAAATAACTTTCTCCATAGACCCTTAAGAATCAGTTCATGCTAAGCTGCACCGTTAAGATCCTTTTTAGCTGTACTGGGTGTCTTCATGAATCACAGGAATACAGAAATAATAACTGGAAAGCGCCAAGCATCTTTTATTTCCAGAGCTCTGGAACAGATGCAGAGCTTAGTGGATTCCTTGTTATTAAGGCACGTAGTGAAAATAGCAGTTATTATCTCAGAGGGCAATTCATCCCTCTGAGTGAAACATTCTGTGCCAGTAGTAGAGGAAGGCTGGAGAGTTGCTGGCCCCAATCACGATTAGCAGCAGGAGGTACAGCATCATTGTTATGGCGAAACGGTGGGTGGAAAACCAGGAGGACTGACCTGAAGGCCTGCAAAGGGAAAAGTGCATGGATTTCATGAGATGCAGGTCTCTGCAGCTTGTTCCTGTTGCTCTTTCACAAACTGGGTATGTTTATCTATCTGTTCCATGCTCATTGTTCTAGGTGGCTGAGCTCTTACCTCCTGTGCTGTTTCTGTGAATATACCAGCAAGTATTTAACTCGGAGGAGCTGATTGTTTGTGACAACAAAGTACTTCTGTGGCACATCACCACCTTCACTGTTCTTCACTCTTGCTCTTTTTCTGTCTATTTCTTCTGAATCTGCATGGGAAGGAGAAAGAAGAGCTCTTCAGGGAACAGAAAAGTCAAACTTCCAAGTGACTGTAAAAAAAAAAAAAAAAAAAAAAAAACCCTCACATGCATGTACGCCCACAGGAGTGGGAATGAGATAATCAAAGATCTCAGCATTCCCCAGAATCCTTTAGCATCCAGGAATAGACCGAAAAGTTTGCTTGAGGCTATACCACTCCTAGACATCCCTGGTATGGGTGGTATTCCAGCACAGACCAGGGTGAGATGGAGGCGGGTCACACACAGTGCTGGAGAGCTGCTCATGTTAACAGGGAGAGAAAAACAACACTGAAGGACTGAGCCCTGCAAGCAGAAAGGAGATGGACAACATGAGCAGAGGCTTCTTAGTCTAGGTATCTAAGATAGTTCCTTTTTGCTACACTCTGCTCCTGTCCCAACATCAGAGGCATCAGGGAAGATAAATTTATCATAAGAATAAACGATGCAACCAAATTAGTGTTCTAATGCATCTACAGAGAGGATTGCAAGGCTTCTATGTGTTTGTTGAGGGGCAATCAGAAAAGAAAGCTGCTGAAGAGTATCCATGTGCCCTGTATACCACACTGTCCGTAAGGCTGTGTATGTGCCCAGAGCTGAAATACAAATGCTGCTGAACAAAGGGTTGAACTGTCTGTAGTTATTACTGCAACAGGCTCACCTTTCTTCTTCACCTGGCACTTGACATCGGGGTGGTCGATGATCTCACAGACAGCAACGCAGCTCAGGATGGAGCCCAATGTGCTTCGCTGCCAACCGAGGCCGTGTGGGCTGTAGAGCAGAGCCAGGCTGAGGTCACTGGTGAGATAGGTGCCTTCACCAAACAGCGATGTCTGAAACAGAACAGAAACGTATCCAACATCCTGCAGGGCGAGTTACAAACAGCATGCAAGTGTTCTTTACTGTCAGTCCGGTGGCTCTGTTTCTCAAGGTGAATTGGGAAAGGTTTTTCTACCCACATTTGGCCTGGTCCTCTGCACTGCTTTTGTCCTGGCACAACTTCCTGCCCTCTCCCATCCCTCAGATTAGCTGTTTGGCACAGCCCTTGGTGAGGACAGATTCATGCCTTCCTGGATTTGGATTGAGCTCGCCAGTGTAAGCATTTTATATCAACATGACTGCACTGCTGTCAGGGGCATTGCACTGATTTATTGAGACTGCCATCATTCAAGTAATCCAGCCTTCGTGTACCGACAAGGCTTTAACTCACATTTAAATCCCTGCTTCACAGGAAAAGAGGGGAGTATGTTTCACTTGTGAATTCCTTTCAAAAATAACTGTTTCAATAACTTTGAATCAGAGGATTTGCCACGCTGACTGCAGTTATTAAGCCAGTAGATCCAGCATAGCTGAGGAGCCTTGTTCACAAAGGGCATCCGGGGGGAGGAGTGGAGGGGGAAAACATGGTCCAGGTTAATGGGAAGGATATGCAGCTGTTGTGTCAGAGCTGCTTTACAGACAGCAGAGTCCCAGCTTCCTTTCTGTTGAAATTAGAAGGGCTGAAAATCCTGTGGGATATTTCCCTTAGCTGGGCCACTTAGAGAGGGATCTACAAGTGGCACCTGAAGCTACTTGAGCTGACCCTGCAGCCAGGTGGGGAGAGAATTCCCTGTGTCCTCTGGGTTGCTGTCTCGTTCTGTGCACAGACATGTCCCAGCTGCAGGCTGCTATTTCCAGAGGCATTACACCTCCTTACAAAGGAGCAAAGGATAGACAGAATTTGTCATGCTGGAGGAAACTATTTCATGCTGCTTCCAGTTTTTACCCTTAGGCTGGAGCAGAGGATTGAATGCAACTGGAGGCCAAGGCCTACACTGAAGTGAGCACGCTTCGTGCCCTTAAAGGACTCTGCATCCAGTCCAAGCGTGACTGGCTGCAGGTGACCAAAAAGAGATGGTGCCCATAAGGAGCATCAGGAGCCTCACCCTGTTCAGATGGCAGTGCAGGCCGTTGTGCAGAATGGAATGGAAGTTCTCCAGGCGACTGCCATGGAAGGCATAGATGAGGTCCTGCTCACCCCTAGTCTCAGCAAACTTGGCATTCATTTGATCACAGTATGTGACCTCAAAGAGGAAGTCCGGAGCAGGAACAGCAGCACCAGACATCCCAGTGAGCTCCTGGATCTTCTCATACTTGAAAACAGGAAGGAACAGCAGTGTCAGTTCATGGGGCTGGGCCATTCACTGGAAATCCTCTTTTTCATCCCTTCACCTTTCAGACTGCTTCATGTATTTTGATCACGCCTCCTGGGTCAGAATTCAGTGTTCCCAGGGAGAACAAGTGTGTTCAATAAGAATTTTGATAGGTTTTGCTCTCAACTGATGTGAGAACATCACCGTTCCACCAAGCTGTGCTGGCTGCTAAGATGACCCCTCATCAGCTGATCTTGGAAAACGTGAAAAGAGAAGTTGTTTTCTTGCTGCTAATCCCTACAACTATTTTGATCCCTGTTACAGAAGTGCTCTTAACCTTTCTGGTTTTGGGCCAAGCATGCATGATACAAACTTGTCTTTGAGCAAGAAGCAAGGCCCAGCCCCAGGAAACCTGAGCAGGACTATCTTGGTCTGGTACAAGCACATACACGTCCTGTTAATGGCAGCAGCACTGCCACCCATCAGCTACTGACAGCAATAACTATTTCTTCTACTTGTTTTTCCTGAAAGCTATTAAAAAAAGAATTCCTCTCTACCTACGGGAAAAATGTGTTGAGCAGCAAAGCTGCCTTAGGCAAATTCTAATGGGCCGTCTGAGTTCAGGCCTTACCTCCTGCTTCTTAATGCTGTGTATCGTGAAGGTCTTAGATGACAAAATCCAGCTTAACAAATCCCAGGTCCTTTTCTCTTCGTTCGGGACGGCTCGCAGGAGTTCCTTCAGGCTGGGCAGCGCCTCGGTATCTGCAAGCTGACAACAGGAGCTCAGTCCGAGCTCCTCACCGTGATTAAACAGAGACCTCTAGTGAAAACAACCGAGCATTTCAGCCCAGCGGGCTGCAAGCTGAGAACAGCCGCTGTTTATCGCAGGGGCAGACGGAAGGGAAGCGGTCTGCACGCCGGGCCGCGGCGGGGCGGACACGAAGGGTTGGGAGGGGAGAGCCGGCCGCTCCGGCGTCGTTTTCGTGGCACAGACGTAACGGCTCCGCATCCCCGCTCCGGGCAGCGCGCCGTGTTCCCGCTGCGGCTCGAGTCCAGCCCCCGTCCCCCCCCCCGCCGCCCGGCTCGGCCCTCGCCCGTCCCCGCCGCGGGTCGGGGTGCAGCGCCGTGGCCGGGTGCCGCTCACCAGCGCCTCGAAGTCCTTGGAGGCGGCGTCGGCGCCGCCGTAGCGGCTCGGGAAGGGCCGGAGCGCCGAGTCCCGCCTGTAGCTCTGCAGCGCGGCGGCGAACAGACTGCAGCGCAGCTCGGCGCCCAGCGGGTCCCTCCGCACCGCCTCCCGCACCGCCTCGCCGGGACACGGCGGCCGCATCGCTCCGGCGGAGGGGGAGGGGAGGGCAGAACCGCGGCCCTTCCGCCTCGGGGCCGCCGCTCCGCCCCGCGCCGCTTCCCGGCCCCTCCCGCCCCGCGGCCCGGCGCTCACCTGCGGCGGGAACGGCCTCGGGCCGGGCGGCCGTCAGCGGGCGGAAGCAGCGCTTCGTTCCCGGCCGCGGAGCTCGGGCGTTGCTCACCTACGCGAACGGCTCGGGAGCGTCGGAGCAGCGCCGGCGTTTGAGGGCAGAGCCTGATGGATCGCGGGCTGAGCGCGGTTACATCACACTGACAGCGATTTCACGGTGATGCAGACATCGGCTCGAGCTGTGGGTTCGCTCAGCGGCTTTTACGAGAAGTGAACCTTTTAATAAGAGCCGTGTGAGCAGCGCCCATTGAGCTGCCGGTGCTAAGGCAGCTCGGCGACCCTTAGGATCTCGTCCAGCTTGGGAGATGCTGTGACCGCGAGCACGGCGGCACGCTGATTATAAAGGCTGCTTTGCTTTACATCAGTCAAATTGCTGGATGCCTGCACACATTGGTCTCTAAACCCATCCTGTGGCTCAGTGCTAGCTTTCCCTGCTTGCCACGCTGGACGTGGATTATTGTGTGGGTTTGGGGTGAAGGTTTGAAATCTGGATTCTGCCCTTTCCAGGCACCGCAAACCCACACGAACTCCGTGCATTGATGGAGGTTTGTCTGAGTGTCACAACTGGTGCACGAGGGGTCATCCCAATGACTTGAAATTAGCCCCCAATAGAACTAAAACACTGCCAGCATTATAATGGTTAATGGAGATTCTGAGAGCATTGATCCCAAACCTCTCCCTATCTCTGGGATTTCTAATGGACAGAGCTTCCATTACGGCAAGCTGGGCCAAGCT